CACCCATATAATTCTTCACATTATCATGATTATTTCAGGGGAGCACTTGCAGATTCGGGTTGGAATTCACAGTGGTACAGTTGTTGCGGGAATTGTCGGGTTAAAAATGCCCCGTTACTGCCTCTTCGGTGATTCTGTTAATGTTGCATCCAGAATGGAAGCAACAAGTGAGGCAATGCAGATACACATATCGCAGTCAACAAAAGAATTACTTTCTCCATCGTACAAAGTTAAGGAACGGGGTGAAATTCAAGTGAAAGGAAAAGGATCGATGAAAACGTATTGGCTGGAAAAACGGATATCCCGAATGAACAATCCAAAGAGCATGAAGAATCAGAGACCACCGGAATGGATGAGCACTGGTGAAAAATTGACGTCAGATAGTAATACTGCTGTTGCAAATAAATTATCTGATCGAGTACCGTATATGGAGACATTGACGAAAACATTGTCAAGTAAAATGTCATCATCTGTTCTGTTGAGCTCCACAGGATTAGCATCTGACGAGAGACGAATTTATTCGCCAATAACTTTTCAGGACGTGGCCCGACGATCCGTCGCGAATTCACCCACCAAGAATATTGATACAAGAGGTAATTTTTGTTATTAATTGCACTCAGTCATCTGATTATCAAAATGTTTTTTTTTTAGAAATGCGATCGAACTCTGTGGGGGCAGTCTCATCAATCATGTGTAATTCTAAAAATGTTTTTGGATCTTTATTGAGTGATACACAAGAGCATTTTCGTCAACATCGCGATAACATGTTATCAAGAAATCAGGATCCACCTGGGGTTCACAGTAGACTTGATACTAAATACAGTCTAGTGAACACATCATCAGACGTATCGATTGAGAGTGCCTGCTCAAATAATGGAAATCATGATGGAGGAGTTTCCCTGAATGACGAGAGTAAATCATCAAGACCTCCACAACTTCTTGGGCAACCTGACGAGTGTTGTCCCGGTTTTCCATCAGCAAAAGGGGGAAAATCAAAAATAAATCAGAGCAATACCTGTTGCATTTGTTGATTATCAACAAAAACTTCAGCGCACATTCATCCTGATGAATCAGTTAACGCATCGACCGTACATGCGGATTGTTTAACTCACTGTTGTGTTTAGAACTTATCGCAAATACATTATTCGTATTAATGTATCAGTACTGTGTGTATTACAATTATATACAGTTTTTTCTTGTTGCAATCAATAACGTGGCCAGATGTATGTATTGTTAGGTTGTCTAGAGTTGAATACGAGAGATGAATGTTATGTACGATTTAGAAGAATTCCAGTGTATTGTGTACAATAGTACAGTACGACTGGATGGCTCGAAAGACTCAGTATTTTTCAAGCTCAGCTCATACAGCCATTGTTATCACCGAGAAATAATTTCCAGACTCTTCCGTAAAAATCATTCCCACCCACTTCCACTAGAAAAAAATCCACAAGTAAAAAACGATGAATAATATTTTTATAGACCATTTTTACCAACCCATAGTGAAAATAAAACACTTGTGAATAATCAATAATTTCCATTTATCCCCGCACAATGCAAAATTACACACTGCTGTCCAATTCGATGAAATTTTCTCATCATTTTTTCCTGTCTGAGTGGCAGTGCGTATGCATGGAAATGTGGAAAGGTAAACCTCGAATATTTACGTTAGATCGTGATCGTACGTTATATGAATGTTGATGCAGTTAAATAAAAAACAAATAGTGACGTAGTGGACGAACCGATGAGTTGAAAAATTTGAGGTGTATACTGTATTGAAAATAAATGAAATAGAATACACTACATCGTGTTATTTAAATAGTCCAACATTTGCCCTCGACAGGGCAAATTATTGTTATTTGCGATAGCCATAAATAACGGGGGATGATTACGTAGGTCGGCTATGGTATAATTGAATCAAAATAATGTTGTGGTATCGTGTTGTAAGCGCGACCAATCATAATTCAGGTGAGGAAGACTATATCCCGACAGTATAACTCTGCTGGGTGTGGAGGATCCCATTCCATTCTGTATCCCTCTGCGCAACAGGACTTCTATATAAGAGGCACATCTCACCCAACACTCAGGACACACTCTTCAACCGTCAGTGCAACACCATCCACTTTATAAACAAAATAATAAAATATTCATTAAAAAATTCGTAGAAGTTACAATTTTTTCCTGAATATCTTCATCAAAGGATTAATCATTGGAGCTCCAGTGGTGATTTGATCGCAATGGTGAGTGCTAGTTTGTTTTATTTATTTCATCTATAATCTGTTTATTTGTTTATTTAGTTAGTTAGTGAGTGATTTGGATTATTTAACTATTCATTTACTCAGTTGGCTCAGTTAATCTCGTTTATTCCCTTTTTTAGAGTGAATGTTAGGGAAGAGTTGAATAATTTTGGTTCGCGTTTTTTATTACTTTCAGATCAATCACGGATTAATTTATGGATTACTCATCACCACGAATTTGATGGTCGTCAGGGGGACCATCTTGAGACCTCTGAAGATGGACTCACCCTCGCACGTTTATAAAATGAGCTTAGATAATGAATTTGATTACGTTTTGAAGCGGTCTGGGTCGCAGAATGTGGAGGAGAGTCCGGATTCGAAGGAGCGGAGAAGTCAAATGGGTTCATCATTCATCAGATTTGGGCGCAGTCATCAGGCGAATCTGGAGAGTCCAGATAATTCTGGAAACAATATGAACAGTGATGATTCGGGCTCCTCCAGAATTCCCAGGGGACGTTCGGATGTTATCATAAGATTTGGACGATCAGGAGTCCAGAGTTTTAATTTTCCACGAGTTTCATCCGCTAGCAGAAGTTCAATGATACCTCTCAATTTAACTAAACTCGCTGCTATTTGTCCCAGTATTTTGACTAATCCTGAATCTGCTCTTCATAATGACTTACTCCTCCGTATCTGTACGTCGCTCACTCTTCAATCCTCGGACTTCGATGTCAATCAATGGAATAATTGAAATTTATCTTCATTTCCATATTTTTTTTTCACATATTGAAACAAATTCATAACTTGTACCCCTGATTTTTTATTAATCCAAGCATGCACCCCTGTAATATATTATTTCACTTATCTTTCAGTTGAATCATAAAACATATGTAGTATATTATGGCTATATTTTATTTGATTATCGCTTAATCCGGATTGACTTAAAATTAAATCTTCCATATATTCTGTGACCGACGAGCGATACAAAACCAATGGAAAATCTTATGTAACATTCAATGTATCGGGTAGACCGTTGTTTTCTACTTCAAATTTTCTCCGCCGTTAAAAATGTATTTCAATTGTAATAATATTAATTACTATAATTTCCCAACTCAATGAGGCTTACAATTTACGGAGGAAATATCTCGAGGTAACTGATGCTGTGTATAGATTTAATACTCGAAAAAAGCAGAACCAAAGTATGAAAAAGTAATGATAATAAAAAAAAAACCACGTGGCTGAGATAATTGGCATTATCTTTTCTCAATTCCCACGCGCATATCTGACACAATATTCGGTAGTAATCCAAACATGTGGGATTGTCCTGCGAAAAATTGATGAGAAAAATGAAGAAAGAATGACTCGACACCCCCAAGATTAAGGATTGTAAGAGGAAAAAACCACATCGCCATCGCCAGGTGAACAAGCTGCATTAGCACCTCTAATTTCTCATTGTAGGATGATGATAACCATAATGAAGGGATACTAACGAAGAAAAAGTGTTTGAACACGTAACCAACATTTCTAGCACCTTCTGTATCTCGCTGGTGATTTTTTTTTCCTCTTATCCCATTGCGTTAATCCCAAGAGTTATGTCGTCTGCACGTTAAAATCCACTGTTGATATGTTTTCATCTAGCTCAATCACCCAATGAAAAGATGACAGAGGGAAAAAAAATATAGTCAGAGCAGAATGAAATATCTAGAGCATCAATTCACTTTTGTAGTTGATGCTGTTTATTTGTTCTTAATCCAGTTCAGCCCCTATACTTATAACTACCTCATTCGTAAGGATTCACCTGAATGTAGGTCTGAATAGATCAGTACAGCATTCGCTTGCCACAGGGCCAACGGGGTTCACTGGAATGATATACTACATAAGATGAAAAGATTTAAAAGTTTTTAAAAATAATAAAGAGGATAAAAGATGAATCCATCTGAATCGCAGCAAGATTTATTGGAGAATGAAGCTAGGGCATCATCTCTGCCATCTCTCAATCCACCGGTTGAGTACGCACTTGGCCCAGTTGAAAAACATTTTTTACTCAGTGCAGAACGCGGTGATTGTGCAACAGTCAAAAGGTATCGAAGCTATTTGCTCGGTTTTTTTCTTCTCAGTATGACGTATTGTCGGCTTTTTCCCTTTTTTCTCACTCTTTCCTGGATTTTATCCGCTTTTTCTCTCATTGTGGGTGTTGCTTGCCCGAGATGACTGGGTTTTTTGGTTTTTTTTCCTAAAGACTACTTGAGGAACATAAGGGCCATCCGGAGATACTCGATATAAACTGTGTTGACCCGTTGAATCGATCTGCGCTCATCGCTGCCATTGAAAATGAGAATATTGAGTTGATAAAAATTTTATTAGAGCTTGGAATAGCTGTTAACGTAAGTAGATCATGTTCTTCAATTTATTTTTCAATATTTTTATTGATATTCTTTGTATTTCCTCTCCAAGGACGCTTTATTACATGCAATCAAAGAAGAGTACGTTGAAGCTGTCGAGATGCTCTTAGATTGGGAAGAAAAAATTCACGAACCGGGAAAACCTTATGTCTGTATAATATTTTTATCTAGCGAATACATTATTTTTTATTTACCTGTGTATTTATTTCGATTGCAGAGTTGGGAATTCACTGACACCTCGTCGTCGAATTTTACTCCGGATATCACGCCACTCATTCTGGCTGCTCACAAAAATAATTATGAAATATTGAAGATTCTTCTGGATCGAGGAGCGACTCTTCCCAGTCCTCATGATGGCCGGTAATTTATTTAATATGATTTTTAGCTATTTTTTATTATGAATAGTTAATGAATTTTAGGTGCGGATGTGATGAGTGCGTTAGTTCTAGTGAAAAAGATTCGCTGCGTCATTCACATTCTCGCATAAACGCCTATCGGGCTTTAACTTCACCCTCTCTCATAGCCTTATCATCACGAGATCCATTGCTGACTGCTTTTGAATTGTCATGGGAGTTGCGACGATTGAGTCGGATGGAACAGGAATTCAGATCTGAGTACAACGTAAAGAGATTATTTTAAAAAATACAAAATACTCAATTATAAACTTTTGGAAATTTCTCGAAATTTCATGATCTGCATTTTCCTATGAAATACAATTTAACAATAATAATAATAATATATAATTTTCCGACGAAAGTTCAACAAATAAACGAATTCATCAATAAAAAATTCTCTGAAAATTTCATACGAATTTTTCGTTCGTAAAAATTTCAAGTCTAATTTTCCAAGAGTGTATTTCATTTATTGTAATAACAATTAATAGAATATGATTAATTATTAGGAATTGAAGGAACAATGTCAAGAATTCGCAACATCTTTACTGGATCACGCTCGAACGTCTCATGAACTCGAGTTGATGTTGAATTATAATCCAACAGGTGAAAATTGGGAGCCAGGTGAAAGACAAACCCTAGATAGACTCAAACTCGCTATTAAGTACAAACAAAAACAAGTACGGTTCATTGAATTAATTAAGAGAATGGCATTGAGAAGAATTTTGATGATTCGGTCTTTCAGTTCGTGGCTCATCCCAATGTTCAGCAGCTCCTGGGGGCAATATGGTACGACGGTTTGCCGGGTTTTCGCCGACTCACAATGGTTGGACAACTCGTCAAAGTTGCCAAGCTCGGAGCAATGTTTCCAGTCTACAGTACCATTTACATGCTGTCACCAACCTCCCAAATGGGCCAGTTCATGAAGAAGCCATTTGTCAAATTCATCTGTCACTCCTCCTCCTACGCATTTTTTTTAAGTCAGTATATTCAATTAAGGCTCAGGTAGATTATCTAGAAAAGATAATTTACTTCGAAATTCGGATTCCTAATTACTTTGGCAATTAATCGTTTTTATCAATAATTGTTAGCTAGCCTTCTAGCGGTTGTCAACAACTAGGCCGCTAGCTAACAATTATCGGAATGAACGATTAATTGACGGAGTAATTAGAAGTCCCAATTTTGGAGTGAATTATCTTTTCCAGGCAGTCCATCTGGGCCTTAAACATGTTTCAGACACTAACAATTGACTTTCACCGACAGTGCTCTTGGGGATGGCATCCCAACGAGTTGAATACCTTGCGATTGAATTATTCGGAAATGCCTGGATGAGAGAAATCCTGGAAGGATGGAAAAGACACGAGAGAGGATGCATCCCAGGTTTTGTCGAGAGTGGAGTTATGATTTATGTGATAAGTACGTGCAATCACTAAAATCTGAAATAAACCCCAGAATGGTCCAGTGGTACTTTAATTGATACTTTAGGTCTGATTATTGGAGAAATTCGATCACTATGGAGTGATGGAATGCTGGAATATGTTTCCGATCTGTGGAATATTGTGGATTTCATTCAGAACATGTTCTACGTTATCTGGATAACCCTGAGGATGACCGCCTGGTACACAGTTCAGGTGCAAATATAAACATTTATCAATAGCAATAATGGATTTACTTTTGATATATTTTTTGTTCAATATATAATAAATCTCCAGAGAGAATATTGGAGTGGGGAAAATCCTTGGTACCCGAGAGATCAGTGGGACGCTTTCGACCCGATGCTCCTCTCCGAGGGTGCTTTTGCAGCTGGCATGATCTTCAGCTTCCTAAAACTCGTTCACATATTCAGTGTGAATCCACATTTGGGACCTCTTCAAATATCATTAGGGCGAATGATAATTGATATTATCAAATTCTTCTTCATCTATACACTCGTTTTATTTGCCTTTGGATGTGGTATGAATCAATTGATGTGGTACTACGCAGACCTTGAGAAATCCAAGTGTTATCATTTGCCAACTGGATTACCTGATTTTGATAATCAGGAAAAGGCGTGTTCTATCTGGCGACGATTTGCCAAGTTAGTGGTCAAATAATTCCAATCAAACACTGAGGAAAATACTAATTACTAATTACTTCCTCAATTATCTTCACTAATTACGAGAAAATCCACGAATTTCAGTGCAAATACCATATAATATTGCTATACAGTTGCTCAATTTATTTATTTAATAATTAAATTAGCAGTGGATATTTTTCTCAGTGTGTCTGATGATTATGTAATGCGATTTGTAATACTGGGATGATTCACAGTTTATTTGAGACATCTCAATCCCTTTTCTGGGCGAGCTTCGGTATGATCGATTTAATGTCGTTCGACTTGACTGGAATAAAGAGCTTCACACGTTTCTGGGCACTCCTAATGTTCGGTTCGTATTCGGTTATCAATGTAATCGTTCTCCTGAATATGCTCATTGCTATGATGTCCAACTCCTATCAAATTATTTCGGTAATTATTATTCAGTACTCCATGCAAAATCTCTAAGATACACTAAACATAATCAATTAATACGACTTTTGCTTCTTTTCGTTTTCATTGAATGCAAAAAAAAAAAAAGAAAATTGAATAAACTTTTCCGATAGGAACGATCAGACACGGAGTGGAAATTCGCGAGGAGTCACCTGTGGATGAGCTACTTCGAGGATGGAGATACAGTACCTCCACCATTCAACATGATTCCCACAGCGAAGACCTTCAACAAAATAATTCGATGCGGAAATACCGGACGACCCACCAAATCTCTCATCGTAATTTTCCCACGATTGCCATATTTTTGAATTATCACAGACCCATTCCGACTAACGGATAGTATTTTTCAGAAAAAATCGCGTGAAAAGGCGAGAGACCGTCACGAGACAGTAATGCGATTGCTTGTTCGTCGATATGTAACTGCTGAGCAGAGGAAACGCGATGAATTTGGAATAACTGAAGACGATGTGATGGAAATTCGTCAAGACATATCAACACTTCGATACGAATTGATTGATATTTTGCGACAGAATGGTATGCGAACGCCAGCAATGGAAAAGGCAGAAGTGTCCGGTAAGAAAGGACGAGTGATGGAGCGTCGTCTTCAGAAGGATTTCCAAATAGGAATAGTCGAGGGAATAGTTAATGCTGTAATTCAGAGTGAAAAAGAACCCAAAGATGTCTTCAGTCAATTGGCTAAAGCAATTGGTCGACGCTCGAGTTCCAGTGCTAAAAAAGATTGGAATGCTGTCGTCAGGCAAAATACTATTCCAACTGATCCAATTGGTAGTAAAAATGAAGCTGCCATTCGGCAAACTAGAAGAAGTCTCCGTAGACAGCAGCAGATGCATCCGGACTCTGATTTGGCGTCGCTCGATCCAAATCGATTGATCGAGTACAATCCAAATTTGCTCGATGTATCTCCGGTTACTAGAGTTGCATACGCTAAATTCATTATGGGAAAAAGTAATAAACAGATTGATGCATCTGGACAATCACCCGCGGCTCCTACAGGTTCCATTTTAATTGTGTCATATTATTATGATTTACCTTGATTGTAAATTCATTTTTATTGTTTTATTATTTTTTTCAAAGGTGCAGCTGAAACCACTGACACCACGACTAAACCAGCTGTTCCTCCAAGATCAAGTGTAAAAATCAACATCAAAGAGGCTGTAACTAGAGCACCATCAGTCACTTCAGCAACTGAATCAGTCAAACGTGGGGTATTGAAGAAATCAATTTCCACTCACAGTCAGGACAAAGCGGATGTCGAACGAGTGATTCCCTCACCGATTCCCGAAGATCCTGAGGATGATCAGGCAAAGGCCAGTTCGTCGGTGAAAATTAATAGTAAAGTCAACGTCGAAGCAGAAAAAAAGGAAACGACTGTTGTCAAAGTGGAGAATGAGAAGAAAGATCATCCCCCAGGAAAAACAGAGAGCAAAAAAGATGTCAATACTAAAGAAAAAAGTCAAACTCAAATGCCTGTTAAACAGGCTTCCGAATCGCCAGAAACAAAACCACGAGGAAAATCAAAAGCCACTGGTCGTGTAATGGGTGGATGGATATAATTTCTCCTCCAGTAATTACTCCCAATACCAATATTGTAGACGATAAATATGAAAAACCATTCATTTTTTGAGAAATCAATAAATAATACATAAATACATAGTGTCACAATTCAATAATCATATCCACGAATTGTCACGTGGAACAGCTGCGGAACAGTGGAAAAAATATTCGCCGACTTTTACGTTTTCTCTCCCTGATCTCTTTGCTTCTTTTATCGCCCTAAAAAGTGGAATAAAATTCATGAATAGGCCATAATTTTTAGTGGATAAAGAAGGGAGAATTGTTTTCAATTGAAACCTCAGCGAGTTGTCCAATTTTATAAAGCTTGAGATGAGCAATTGCATCTGATGAGTGACCGAAATCATTGAAGGCCGATGTAGCATCCCTCCCGGCATATTCGAGAAGTAATTCTTCACCCCCCGGATGCTATTCAACAATAAAGCAATTACTGCAATTACTGCAATTACTATCTTCTCATCTTTCAAGTTTTTTCGAAATTTCTGATAAAGATATACTAATAACATCAATAAAAATTATTATTATATTGTTTAATTATATTATAAGCAATATAATTATAAAATATACTACAATATAAATATAATAAATTAATCAGTCAGTAATTTGATATTTCTCTGTAAATTTCACAAAAAAATGAGAAAAATGAGAGGATATCGAGAATAATTCGGTGAATTCAAACTCCCTATGTGTTTCACACCCACATAATTAAAATATTGAAATTCATACCTCGTGTATGTACTCTGTCACGTCGTAGACAATATCTTTGATAACAATCCACAGTCCTGTGTCTGATTTACCATTATGACATGCTACTTCCTCGATTGTATATACCGTATGTGACATGATGAAGGAATCACGTACGACCCGCTACCTCTGGTCAATCTCTTTCAAATGGCGAATGGCAGGTGGACTTGAGAATTATTTAAAGCAGTGAAAATGCATCGCGCAATAAATCTCAAAAAATGATATCGAAATACTGATTATAAATTATAGCCTCGGAGAGCCGTCAATGAATTTCCTTAAGTGATTATCACATCACGTAATACGATTGAATCGATCACGTACGTGATTAGATATTATCATTAGATATCATCACGAGGGGACTTCCAGTGGAGATTAAAAAAATGGAAAAAATGTACGCTCGGGAGGTGCGAGGGGAATGACGTAAAATTCTTGATAAAATAATTTATCCTTTTGAAGAAGTAATTTATGTATATATATGTATATATATATTTTTTGTTTAGTGACCTGCCATTTTTTTTTCTCTCCTATTTTTGTTTACTTGTTCATCTGCCAACAGTCGAATACTTCATTCGTTTTTGTTTTTTTTTTGTTTAAATTATACAGATTTATAAACATATACGTATTGCGGCATGATCGTGATAACAATGTAATAAGTACATGTACAAAGTCAACTTAACAGTATCACAAGAATACGTCGTGTTTGGGGAATGTGATAGAATTCTTTCTCCATTCACTGTTATATTGTTTTTATTTATCTAGTTTCATATATATTAACTTTCCTGGCAGATCGCGTTGCATCTCAATTATCTTTGATAATTCGGATAGCGTTGTCTGTTATTTATTGTTTAAAATAAATAATGAGATAAATTCGATTGTGAGGAGTTCCAGTGAAATACAACGCGACCGAGCATATCTTTGTAATAACGTATTTAGGTCTTTGGTAACTTTTCTTTTTTTTCTGGAGTAGAAAAGAATTAATGAACAAGGTATACAGCTCTACAAACATTTCCAACGATATTTTGCAATTACACCAAAAAAAATTTTATGCGATTTTTGTGGAAATTTGAAATTTGTGGATTAATGAAAAATGTGTCAAGAAATCCCATAGGCTTTCTAAATGCGGTACAGTAGAATCCCATTATAGTCATGCCTTCCGGGGACTTTACTACCCCCATGCCATAAAATATAAACAATTAATTGTTTCATCCACTGAGGAATTAAATTCCAGGAGAAATAAAGCCGAAAAATAAATTCTTTCTTGTATTCGAAATTGTCATGAAAAAATTCAGTTTACCGTGGCGAGGAGCGGGTGGCGAGGAGAGGGTGGCGAGTGGTTGGGGTAGTTCCATATAATCGGATCTTCTGAATTAACTTCCCCTACAGCCCCTTGCACGCGACTATAACGGGAGTCTCCTGCAATGAAAATCCCAAAACTGCTCTTTAGATTTTCAGATCTCATTTTTAGAGAGTTTACAGAAAGTTATGTTCCCGTTGAGTTGAAAAATTTATCTGACAAATGATCGATCTGCTTATTTTTTATTGATCTATGTAATTTTATCGTTTTCCACTCCTTATCGAGAATGACTTAGCTAAAAATATACAGCTAACATTCATACAAATTTCTCACTAAGCATTTTTTTTTTTTCAATTTTTTCTTTTGTAAACAGTTTTTATCATATTGAAAGATTTATTTATTTTTTATATTGTTTTTTTAGCATTTTTTTCTTATAAATATCTATTAAATTAGTAACAATTTTCCGACAAGAGATATTTTATGTTTCCGTAGGATATCAGTTTTGCAATAACAAAAAACTAAAAAATGTGATTATAATCAACACTTCATTACACTTGCGAATTCTATCCAAATATTCAATATCAATAATTTTCAATAAAAATTTTTGTTATTCATTAAACCTATGTAATAAATTTCATCATAATTCTCAGTGAAATCCATTAGATATCCTACACAATATTATCCATATTCCATGATAATTGTTTTTAGAGATTGTACGACACATTATGTGAAATTTTCTATCCAAAGATTGAGAAAAGAAAATCCAAATACTTTTCTTTAGGCTCAAGAAATATCATCCGAATACATATAAATAAGAATGACTCACATACAGCGAGTAATTGTTGGCTTAAATCCTAAGTGTATTAATGGTACGTGTATTCGTGTTGTATACCATCTGTTCCACTGATCTGCCTCTCGATTAATCCATCCAAAATCTTTTCTCCATCCCCCCACCTGCTTACGTAATTGACACATTTGACAGCCGAATAAACCGACGCCAAGGTATGGAAATAAAAATAATCTTGTACTATTCTCGACTCGTAATTGTTTTTAGTTGAGACAATGGGTAATTATTAAATTCCAGATGAAGTGAAATCGTTAGAGATATTCAACAATGTCACATTTGATAGATATATTAGGACAGCTTGCAATATTAGCACCATAACCACCGCGTGTTGTGGTTTTATGACGTTCTGTCAATAATTTTTGAAATATCGGCAGTATTTCAAGATCAAGGAGTTCTCCGTCCGAGACAGCACTATACATATTAGAAATATCGATAGTCGATCCACTAACACCACTTGAACTACCTCCATTGGCACCTCTCATCACTGCATTGCCACCGACAATATTACCACCAATGATACCACCCCCTCTGCCAACACCACCGCTATTTCCACCACTGCAATGACCACGATGACCACCACCACCACCACTCCCAATCCCCCCAACACCACCACCACGTGGATTAGCGCTTGCAAATTTGCTGTTGTGAATTGTTGCAACATTTGGTGTACTCTGCACATACTCCAGTCTAGCCTGATGACGAAGCTTTGATTCTGCATGACGACACTCATGATGTTTATGAGATGGTGTACGATGACGACATTCAGCGATAACATGAGATAAATTACCACGTGCTCTCTGGCACTTTTCCCGTGATTTTTCCGATACAGAGCGATGGATGACCGTTGATACGGAGTCATCGTGCCTCTCAGTGTCCGAGTAACTCGCATTAACACTTCCATCGCGCTGCTTCCTCAATATCTCAGCTGAACCATTTGTTGTTGTATATCCATGAGATGACATACCCCGATTTGCACTACCACCGTGTTTTTCACAGCGATAACCAGTGGTGCTTGAGAAACCCGTCACTCTTCGATGTCCACATTCACCAATAATGTAATTGTGATCGTCACTTCCATCTGTCTTTGAAATATTATCTGTTGAAATGTAACTTATTGTATTTACTGGTACACTCGTACGTCGCTTTTCAAACAACTGATGATGTGAATGAGCGAGACCATTATTTTTCACTGATGCCCGACGTTTTGTTGAGCCCTGATGATGCACTTGGTGTCGGTGTTTAGGTACAAATTGAACTGGCGGTGGAAGTATAGCTTGCTCCAGATAACATTGTTCGTGTAATTCACCAAATGATACATTTTTCACCGGCGGCGGGGTTGGAAGTCTTTTTTTTTTATCAACACTCATCTCTTTTTCCTTCTTCACAACAACTACGCTATCTCCATCACGGGGTATATCAGTTTCTTCAAGCACCACTGACTCCTCAGACTCCTCAACAGTCTCACCAACAAACTCAATATTCGTTTTACCAATCTCCGTATTACGGCATTGCAAATTGTCATTTGTTAATTTATCAATAAGTGGTTCACTCTCTTGATATTCCCCATTCCGATACTTTCTACACTGGGACTGAGGTGAATTCGTTGCATTGGAAATAGCTTGAGTTCGCTTAGTACCCTCTGATAATATTCCCGAGGTTCCTTGCTTTCTGAAATTTTAATGGAGATTGTTTTTTTTTTCTTCTTCATCTTCTCCCTCTTTTTACTGTTCATTAAATAATTTATCTAAAAATAACAAGTTACTTCATTATGGACTGTTGATCATCTACAGCCATGACATTGACATATTCACCCTCTGGTTGTGATACTATTGTGGAATTCAGGCTGCATAATGACATTGAAATATCCGTTGTTTCAGTTGCCATTGACGGACCTGAAATATTCCATTCCAAATAAATCAACCGTACCTCATTAAATCAACACATTTAACATACCTTCTCTCTTAATGAGTGTCTCCTGATTTTGGGGGATGGTAAGTTTGTCCATAGTTTCCTTAGTATTCTGCAATCCCACTTCATCACCCAAACGTCTCATGCACATCTAAAATTTCCCCCCAAAACAATCAATCCGAGAGAAACCATTTAATCCAAACAATCAGAATAAATTCCCAATAAATATTCACCTGCAGCTCCGACTCTTTCTCAAGAAGTTCCTTCCTAAATTTCTGATTGGCCTTTGCTGCCTCCTTCAAACGCTCCTCCAGTTCACTAACTATCGAATCACGTCTTGTTTTCGATGACGGTCTCAAAGTCGCTCTAATCCTTTTGTCGATAGCTCCCTGAGGATTTCTTCTCAATTCAATCAACTGCAACACAAAGCCCACAATTTATCCCAGATAACTTGACCGATACAAAAATAATACGATAACACAACAGATTCGATTGAAAATTCTCACTTTTGGCACAAACACGAGACAAAGGGTCCCCGTACTGCAGAATATTATGAATATCGATAGCATTATGAACATTGTGTCCTGTTTGTCAGCAAGTACAAAACTTATTGCCGCACCCGTAACACACATAATTACTACATTGTAAACACTCATCCCTACGTATTTACTATCATTCAGTGCTGGTATGCTAACGTGACGAGTCTCCCACGCTAAAAATGCCCCGAATATCTGCAAAAAAAAAATATATAATGACAATGGAATAATATTATTAAGTTCAAGACTTCATTCAAGACTTTAATCGACATCTCACCATCAAAAGACCTTTATAAACATAAATTCCACCAAGATAAAGAGTCATTCTATTGCTTTGGCAGTACTCATTCTCCGGAATCATCATTATATCATCACTCGATGGATGCGGCTAGTAAAAACAATACCATTACAATTTCAATAAATTTATCTCATCCATTTGATCCATTCTATCCTTCCTACATTAACAATAAATCCGCTAAAAGCTTACATAAGGTTCCATCTGCTTGGTCTCTCTGTAAAAAGGATCAGCCACTTGCCACGTTGTCATTATCGCCAAGTCAATGATCAACAGAACACCGACAACCATAAAAAGTTGATAGTCTTTAATTACCTAGAAATAATTCAAATAAAAAATGAAACACTCAAGAATTTATTGGATCTGGATATTTTCACATGATTATGATTCAATAACTTACTTTTTTATTGAGCTTGACATCTGTAAATATAGAATGTACGCGCCATGTTTTTGAAAACATTGCGCCAAATGCCAATGAAAAACCAGCCATGAGAAGCCACGCCCTTGCTGTACAAATATAGGGAAATGCTGTTACGCTTGACAGGGTCGAATCGAGACCGAGAAATATAACACTGCTGTATGTCAACATGCAACCGACGATAATGAGGTTGTTCAGATGTGGCGATGACATTTTTATATACCTTGAATGAAACACACGAAAAAAAAGAAGAGATAGAGAAATAAGAACATTTGCAAAAAAAAAAAAAATCCTCAACTCATCTCTATATTCCATTCCATTATGCAGATGAAACATGTCGTGTTCTAATTAATTCACCCTTTATGCGATAAGATTGGCACTTTAATTAGTGGATGCAATAGCAGTACTTGGGTGCAAATTGTCGATCATGAATGCTCAATGGTAGCTCTGATGAAATGAGTGAGCGGGCATGAAACAGAAAGAGGAGTAACAAAAAAAAAATATATAAAGAAAGAGGAGAAACATAAAATTGGTGGAATGAGCTGCTGCAGAGGTCGAGATCGCGCGTGCTCGAGACACACATGAACCCCTCGGTATTCTCCCTTCCAACTTTAAACAATCAGGCGCGGACAAACAAGCCAGCCAACTGCCTCAGGGGAAGGTAAACGTGTAGAGGTACGATCGATGATGAGGAACTGGAGATGGTTTGAGGTAACTGGTAACTTGACAAACGTCTATACCCACTTTTTTTACCCCCCATTTACACGCTAGAATTGTAATACATGTACTGAATATATACGTATTCATCAATCTTTCTTTTTTTTCAAACTCTTATCCCTTTCGTAAACAAATATCCATTCACCATCTGCATATTGTGTTGTCATATACGTTGAGTGTACATATTGATACCTTTGATTCCTATATCTGATATTGATAGCAAGGAATACTGCGGCCATAACAATGCCGACAGCAGCTGCCGATGCAATAACTGAGTAAATTGTGATGTTAACGGTTGAGTGTTCGATAACGTGTACTGTACGGTCCTTGGGGGGTGATCTACCACGCCAAATCAGAGATTGGCCTCTGCTGAAATCCAGGGAGCCAGTGATACCATCGTACTCACCAATTTTAACTTCCTTACCGCCTGAAAATTACCAACAATTTACCAAGGATCCATCAATCGCGACAATTACGAAAAACTTTCACATTAACTTTTCCTTACTTTGAAATTGTTTCAGTAGGATATAAGCTTTACGCTCGTTGTCGTAAAAACGAACGGGACCCTGCAATTACCGAGATACCAATATTAATATCAACATTGATTAATTATAAGATTGAAATTAAAATAGTGGGATGATATTGGGTACTGAGATCCATCACTGTTGCTGTGAAGACTGAGATTTGGGATTCGGTGGAGTGGATTGATGTTGTGGGTAAATATGTACTCACAGTAACCCCTTCAAAGCTCGTGTTTCGCAGTGCTTCAAGAAATAGCTTTTCCCAAAGCGGATCTCTGTATTTGAAGTCAGCGACAGTCTGATTTCTCCTAAAGTGTCGTATCCTTCTGGCTACATGTTGAATGGCAAGAGCAACTGCCCAGATACCGTCATACGTGTAACCATGGAATCGTGAGTACTCGCTGCCCCTTCTTGAGTCATACTCCACTTGATATTCGTCTGGTGTCTGAAAGTATTATCGGTGTCTATTTCATTTTCTTATTTATTATTTATTATTATTTATTTACCATATCATCAGTCACTTATGGATTTAGACTCTAAATTTTAGAGACTCATCGAGTGCTGATGCTATTGGATTTAATCCGACTATCACCTCGGATTGGGGGTTTATGGTGTAATTAACTTTGAGTGAAATTTTCCGAATCTCATTCAGTTTGGTACTTACGATGCCCGAAACTGTAATCTGACGTTCAGTCGAGAGTGGAAGTAGGTCAGTTAAAATGGCGCCATGAAGAGCCTCTGCAAGCTCAGACGGTGCACATCCACCATCCTCGTTTAACCACCATTTTTCAGTGTATGTACCCATTATCATCCACTGGTATTTCCGTCCGAACATTCTGTACCTGGATAAATCCGAGGAGTTATCGGTTAGCCCTTTTTTTTTAAACACTTTTTTATCTCGATTGGTCTCTTGGTACCTGTAAGCCTCGCAGAATATTCTTCGGGCCCATATCTCATTGAAGTTACCAATTATTATCCTCACGTCTTTACGCTTGAGCTTTTCAAGGGCTGCACTCACTTCTGTTGCAAAACTCTGGGTTTCCACCACTTCCAATTTATTGTCGTCGAGATCTGCCACCAGTCGGTTGTGGGCCTTCGGTATAATCAGATATTAATGATTTTTTCTCGTAATTTTTTCATAATTTTTCATCAGAAAAATAATCAATAATTCTTGCTGTCTCATTTACATCCGAAAGATCAAAATTTCAATCCATCGAGTGCGACCTTTTCAACGCGAGATTCGAACAGCGAAAAATGGAAAAATTATTCCGACGTCTGACTATTGACGCACTCGTTCTACTTGTCACCACGGAAAAATTCAGCGATTTAAATAATTCGTAATAAAATTCATAAAGCTATTAATATATAGTATTTTTTATTTCGATCAAATATTTTATTCGCTGAACACTCCATCGCACTCCATTTATTCAATTTCTATAAAAAATATTTAATTTTGGTTTACGGTGGGCTGAGAGGTACTCAGAATGTATAAACAATTTTTTTTTTCATTCCCCACTGCATGTAGAGAGCAGTGATTTTTTTAGTCGTCCAACTATTTCCGCGAATAGGTCAACTATGCTATAAAAAATGTTGAAAATCGGTAGGGTGAGTTTTTTTAACGGATATATTTTTTTTTTTTTCAACCCCGATGGAAAATGGAGAATGTAGACTAACGAAGTAATTAATACACAATATTTGTAACAATGTATGACTGTAACCGTGGATGCTAACATTCTAGAATTGAGTAAAATCAATATCGCGTGCCAGTGTACAGCACCGTCGACATATTTCGATTGCAAAGCAACCACCAAACCAACTGTAATCGGATAGCCTCGCTTTCCGATAATGCTCCATTTTTCAATGTTATTTCTTTCTCTATTCAATGGATTTACGTTAAAATGAAATTGAGTTGTCTGCTCTCGAAATACATCGGCAAGGAAATCAGTTCCACCGGTGCATCAAGTATTTTCACCTGACCTATCGATTCCAGTTATCATTTCAAAACTGATGATAATCGAACTCGAGTCTTTCATGATTAAAAATCACCCGTCATTAAATTAATCCGTATTAATCCTAAATAAATTATACAATCAGTAAATATTTTAAAGAACCGAAAAACAAATTTACAAATTAAAATAATTGGATGGATTCAATTAATATATTGATAGAATTAAAAAAATAATGCTTTAAAAAAATGGTGATCATTTTAAATCTAATTTAATAACAAATATGTTTACAATATTGAAATAAATTTATATTTTAATATGAAAAAAAAACTCACCAGTGCGTATCTCGGTTCATTCTGGTAGATGGTACCAACTCTCGTCCAATTGAAATGATTGAGAAGTGCAACTCTCGGTGCATTGAATGCATTTTCCGAGGGTACGATTCTGAAGAAATTTGGAAAATTATCACTGGTAAACATGGGATGAGTGTCAGCGTAGCTCAGCTGAAAATAAAAACGACAATTATTCCACGACATTGCATAATGCGCTCTATCGATTTAATTCCATTGAGAGCTTTTCCCAGGAGCATTAAGCAACAAGTTTAATTACTCCCCTATTTATTTTTAATGGAGACTTTTTGGGGTGGTGAATGCAGGGAGTAATCACGAGATCAGTGGAGGGAATAACTATTACGTGGAAAGACCATTGCAATCAGTCATTACCTGTGTGAGGCGCCAGTGCTTTGATGCTTTGGCAATTGGATCCGTTACTTGTGTACATGCTGCACCGAATAACATGACCTTGTGAGGTCCACTGTGCATCATATCAAAGAACGCCTTAACACCCACCGCAGCATTGCACTGAAACATTAAATTTTACATGCAAAGGAAAAATATTAATCGATCAAGTAGAAGGGATAATCCTTCATTTCTTCACTGTATTCCAAAGAACTTGTCATTCAGATCCAATTTGCTGTACGTGTATGGATACACAATATATCTGGAGTTCTTCCTCCTTTCGTTTCAGACCGGTGATTGGTATCCGTTGATGGGGGAATTCAATGTACCTATCTACGTCGTATACGCGGATGTTGTATTGAACCGACGATAAACTCTATTCGTAAATCGAAATGATGCACGATTTGCTATTCAAAATTCAATTCATCCTCCTGTAGGGCCTTTGGAAATAAAAACTCAGGGAAATTCTATTCAAAATGTAGGGTTTTGTTGTCAAAATAATTTGGCATTTACTCGCGAATTACACTAAAGTGTAATTACCCAGGTAAATATTTTTTACAAATTCAAACAATTAAAAAAATTTTTGGAAAACTTTTCACAATTTTTTTTTGAAACTGAAGAAATCGGGAAACAAAATAATTGGATTTTTGGGAAATGTGTGGAAAAATTTTTCAAAAATTTCGGTCGGAAATTTTTTTTTATCATTTTCTAGAAATTTTTGCGAATGTAATTTTTTCTTTTAAGTACACTCTCGTTTTCTTACTTTTTTGATTTTTCAATATTCTCAAAAAATACGCCATCTAATTATAAAAAAAATATTGCGATCACAATTTTTTAAAATTATTTTTATTATTATTTTTTTTTTATTCCTTCTGCCCGCAATTAACAAAAATCAATCAATATTAGCTAATGGAAAAAAACCGCGCGATTTTACAATTCCAAATTCCGAGAAAAAAAAAACCGGAGAAGTTGATGAACTAGCCGAATTGTGGCAGATGGTAATTAATGAATAATTGCCATAAATTTATTTCGCCAATTGACAGATGTTAGGAGAATGCAAAGGAGACACAAATGACCTGTTTCATGACAATACCGTCTGTAATCAATGATATTCATTTTGAATAGTTTGAAAACAGTATCTTGTACTCCATTCACTCGATGCACAGAGAGAACTTAATTGATATCTTCCTAGTAAACAGCATCAATAAACATAAAGGTGATGAAAGCCGATTGTGATCGTGATTGTCATTACAACCCGTTACTTGATTGTCATAATAAAAAATCCAATTCTTGATGAAGTACATTAATCACGATCAACTTGAAAGCCCAAGTGAATCGAGTACTCGAGAGAAGAGCCAATTATGATACTCTCATCATATCCTCTTCTCTTGAGATATTCCGATTATTGAATATTCATCACTTGATAGACTGTACTAGTCCCACATACTTGATCCAATTCTTATAATATACATATTGATGGATTAATTATGTACGTGATACAGAAAAATATTGGCGTACGGTAATTCTGAGAGATGAAAGAAAGATTAAACGTGTGGATAATAATGTGAAAGATTTTATGCGGAGGAGATTGTAATTGAAAAAATACCGATACCCCCCCAACTTCCCCTCCCCACCCCCTGTATTTCTCTCTAAAATAATAATTAATATAACACGTCAATTAATAAGTGATAATAAATCATTTACATTTCACATTTCAATTATTTCTGTTCTATTGAAACATTCAAGCATTTTTAATTTGTTAATCTCCTCTTCATTACCTTCGAGGTAATCATTCGAGGTGTTTTTAATTTGTTATTATTTGTATAGATAAATAAAGTTAAATGTAGAATATATATTATGTATTTTGTATATGTTTTAGTTTATTCGGAATATATTCGGTGGATTGAATTTTCCAGGGGATGGGCGAGTTTTGTCTTCTTTTTCATCATCGTAATTATTGATTATTTATTTATGATTATTTATGATTATTTATGATTATTTATGATTATTTATGAGTTTTGTGGGAAATGGGGATGGATTGTTTTCAGATATATTGGAGATTTGAAATTTGAAGTAGTGACCGACGGGCCGAGACGGAAAGGAGTTGGACGGACTTCGTTTACAGTGCAAATCTGCCGCAACGACCTTCCCGACTAGGTCAGCCAGAAATTAATCCAGCACTTCAACGAAATGTTATGGATTTATTTTATATCTGATATCAAAGTACGAGATTTCTCGCCCGAATTCCCTTGACGATTTCGTGCACGATTTGTCATAAAAATAAACGTCAACTTCTATTACGTCCTCTTCCTTTTTTCCTTTTCCTCGTGTTTTCATCACTCGCAAATAAACTCAGACAAAAATTCAATTAAATATTGTAAAGCTATTTATTCATGAAAAAAATGTTTTTTTTTTATCAAATAATTCATTTTTATTTTCAATTTTCAATTCTATTCATTTAATCAGTTGATTAATTCGCGTTAATTCATTGTTCTTAACAAATAAACAAAACAAAATAATTCTATAATCGAATCTGAAAAATGAATGATTTAATTCAATTATATAATTTTTCGTAACTATTGGGAAATTGAAAAATATTTTCTGTTCATACAAAAAAATAATTAGTTGAAGTTACAAAATATGTTTATAAATTAAATTCTCGCAAAAGACTGGAGTTACAATTTTTTTTAATAACCAAAATTTGTTTCCCAGTCTTTCCAAAGTTATTCCAATTTTTCCTAAAGTTATTTTTCCAATTATTGTTCAACATTTGTCAGTTACTTGCTGTCAAGACACGCAGTCGAATGTTTCAATAGTTTTCGTCAATGAATTCTTCTGCGATTTCCCATCATTTCTTTCTCTCTTGTCTTTACGAGGCGTTTCATCTCTAGGATACATTGAGGGAACGAACAAAAGAATCGGGTTAAGAGGGTATCAACTTTAACTGTGAACCACGTCTTTCTCTTCAACCTTGCATTTATTTCTTCAATTCTATCCCCTCTCTAATTTTATTTCGCAATCCATATCGAGGGATAGAGAAATGAGAATATTTAATAATAGCAGTAATAGTACCTGGAGTACACACACAAGAAATATCAATATTTTCCCCGATACGTGAATTACCAGATAATTTAATTCCTCATAAACTAATCATAACCGCTTTCACGCGAATTCCTCGATTACTCTAAATTAAAAATCGCCAACTTCCCTAATTAATTAATCACAATAAATTCCGTTTGCAAAATGATAAATGCGAAATATTCAACGGACATATCACAGGGAAATATGTCCAAGAAAAATAGCGCAATATTTCGTCTATGTAATTACGAAATTGACGAATTGTAATTTTATTGTTTAATTATGTAAAAGTATCAAAAGTATCATATTACAATTTTTATTGTTTAATTATTTAAAAATGTATTGGATTGTTATTTTTATTGGACATTTCTCTCATTTCTCATAAAAATCGTTAATTGATGAAAAACAGTAATTGAAGTACTCACTTCGGTGTCATTCCACCACATGTGTAAACGATAATTCCTTAATACAGTTGGATTGTCATTGATGTGGTCTACAGCGAGTTTCACAGACGGCATAACACCACGTCCAATATGGCTTTCAGGTACATGCCGACCATATGGAAAGAAACCGGCAATGTACACGTCACGTCGTTTCACACCACCAAGATTAATTGGTTTTTGTCCATCGCACAGTAATATTTTGTCGAGACAGAATAGAATTCCAATGCCGATAGCAACATCGTGTAAATTCAGGAGAATGCGTAATGATGTTTGTCGCTTGCGATGATGTAAATTCCCGTTGTCAGTCATTTTCGACATAAATAAAATCCCCGCTGTCAACAATCACCAGAATTCAACTAATCCATTACTCCATTTGCCTCTAGTTTTTTCATCTACTTGTGATTTTTTATTGAGACATGATTGACAGTATTCTCTGTTGTTATTTTAAAATTGTTATTCACTTTATCATCTCGTTATTTGGAAACGCATACTGTGTTTGCCATCTTCCTTCCACCTTCCGACGAAGATCACTTCTTCCTCACCATTGTCATTCAAATATCTGGCACTTTTGTTAATTCATGAAAAGGCAGAGGAAAATTGACAATCCATTAGCTGCCATTATCGAATGGAATTCACCTCTGACAAACGAATGATCTCATCTCTTTTCACGTTTTGTCAGTATTGATGCGGAATTCATCGTTTTTCTCTCTCACTGCAGTTCTCTTCGGTCCAATACATATTTTATCTCTTCTTCTTCTTCTTCTCCTTCTTCTTACGTAGCAAAGAGATCTTAATTCGCTGCGACTCATCAATTTACTTCATTAAACTTTCGACAATGAGTCTGATCGTTCTCATGGTGATACACCTACGACAATCAGAGATTTTTCTTTCCCTTAATAAATCAATGAATTCATATTCATTGAGAAATAATTACCCATTTTTTTACGTTTTCTGGAAATTTCTGGGAAATTCTAGATTAAATTGCCGAATTTTCAGTGATTCATTTATTTTTCTAATTAATTATAATCAATTTAATTCGATTACAACAAATTTATTCACGTCAATTTGACAATCCATTTCTCAGAAACTCATAAAAAACGTGAAAAACGATAAAAAATCCATCAATAATTCCTTAATAAATATTTTACGACTCTCACATAAAAAAAATTCAAAGTCACGCGATTGAGCTGAGGCTAATGATGTCGCGTCATCAAATCAGAATAAAAAAAAATCAAATCAACACATCAATATCAGAAATAGTAGAAACAATAATTGATGGTCAGTTAATGATTTAACTGTTCAATAAAAAAATCTGAAGAATTATTGACGTTTGTTCTGTCAATCAGAGCAAAGATCATTTATTTATCTAGTACTGAGTATTAAAATCTCATGACAAAGTAAATTATTGATTGACTCATGGTGTGCATACTTGTACAGTCGAAAATAATTGTGGATACGATATCAAGGGCAAACCTTGGCACAGTAACATAATTTGAGTATAGTATAACGAGAAAGAAGGGGCCTCGTCGCGTGAGTTACAGTGCTAAGGTCTTATACACATATATACTCAGGTATATGCATATATATACTGAACTTTGTTTAGGGATTCAGCATCGACACGTCCTTTTATACTAAAACCTTCAAAAATCTCCGCAAACGCGTCATTAACATCACCCAAAGAACCAATTAACTAATTATTTAAATAATTGAGAATAAATATCAGAGTGTGAATTTCTAGTTCAGGGGAAACCTATTCGACACGGAAAATGTGAATAACATTTTCCTTCATTTTCCTTCATTTTTCTTCATTTTCCTTCATTTTTTCTCACAGCTAATGATTGAGATTAAGTGTTCCAGAAATTTAATTAAACCGGCAATTAAGGATTGACAGGTATACACTTGTTCATTAAGTTTTGATTGTGGATGGGCGGAATGGAGAGAATCGAAAGAATTGAATTCGGTGATGAAAAAAAGAAAAGCGAATTTTCGGGATTTCGCAGGGTACGATTAATTATACAATATTATGTACCTCTGGAGAATTCCAGAGTGTCTTATTCCTGGGTTACATATAAATATCTTTGGAAGAGGTAACTAATTAATTTACGAGGCTGTGTCAAAGGTCGGCGGTGCGGGAGAGAGTCCGATCGATATACCTTTCCGCAGAAAGTGTCAATGAGTCATTCGTAAATTACATCGAGAATTCCTGAAATTACGCCAATTGTCCAAAAAAATTTCCAAGATCTCGACAATTACCCGGAATCAATAGACCCAAGTGTTCCCCACAAAATGTACTAGTGCTTCAAAAAATCGTGATAATCTAGATTAATCAATTTTTACCTATCACTATTTTTCCTCAAAATGTCAGTTTTCATCTTGACATCATCCGCGGCATCCGCGAAATATCCGGATATGGAGAAGTCAATCAGATGTCATGAAACGATTGACTTTGATTGTCGGAGTTATTTAAATTCCGGAAAAGGGGAGTAACGGTGAATTACGCGAGAATATAGAAAAATGGGATAATGAGATGAGGTAAAACACGAGAAGGAAATGTGAATGAAGCAATGGATAAAGTAAAAAAGGAATTGGACTAGTAATTCACTCGGTCACTTGTATCTTGCGGTCGATGCGAATGTAAGAGAGCCAAAGAGAGGTCGCGCCACCGAGTAATCCAAAATGTACTTCATTTCCGCATATCATATCCTCTTTTTCTCCATTTCTCCATTTTTCCATCATCCATTGAATTCACAATTTTAATCCCCACCCCCACCCCATTATCCAGGAGTACTCACAAAAAGCAAATACAAAATCCACCCTTCCATTTTCCTCTCCATTCTCATATATTTTTTTTCATTACATATATATTCCCTTATATTGCCTGGATGCTCTTTTATTCATCCCTGAAGGGTGTGCCGGATTGTTTTACTTCAAGTATACTTGACACCATGGAAAGTTCAACAGAGAAATAAAAAGACGATGAAAAAACATATTTCATTCAATAACAACGCAGAAATAAATTAGCACGATCACTCCAGGTAATGCACTAGTGTTGGGCTTACTCATATTTTTTTTTCTTCGATGAAAAAATCATCCTAATAGCCATCCGGATTTAGAGTTGTCATTTCTCGTACATTGGCATTGATTGTATCCACAAATTTATCACAATTGAACTTGTGAAAAATAGTCCTCTATGGGGGTTATCGTATAATGTCGGATCAATGTGGAAAAATACATTGCTTGGGGCTCACACGTTTAATGGGGTGTATTTTTTTTTTTTTAATATTTACTTGGGGTAAAATGAGACACCGACACGTTGAGCTCGCTGAACACGACGCGAATGAGGGGTTGGTCCTGCGCGTCAGCGCACCCCAGTGGGTTATACTGATACTACAGGAAGAGGGTGAAACCTACCACCCTGCAAATAGCCATCCCTTCTCCTTTTCACCCCCTCCATCCCACCATCCCTTCTGCCGCTTTCGCGCAACCCCCACCTCCCACATCTTCCACGTCTCCCACGTCTCCCACTCTTTCCATCCCACCCCTTTCATCCACCCCTTCCCTCCCGCGCCTTCCACCACTCCCGTAACTTCTACCCCTACCATACCTTCCCCCTCTTCCACCCTCTTGCCCTCTTGCCCTGTTTCCCTCTCTCGCTCTATCAGTCCTTCATGTTCTCTCCCCATCGCACCCCATCTCACCCCAACTCACCCCAACTCACCCCAACTCACCCCATTTTATTTTCACTCCCCCTTAATACTCGGGCAATGCGTCTCTCTCCCCCTCAGTACACAAACGCATGATGCTCGTGCTAGGATATGGCCAGGGCACAGCGACACGAGCTCTCGAGCTCTCCAGCTCGTCTATGACGCGCACCAGCCCGGTTCTACCCCACATCCACGCACATCTTCCTCATCCTCCTCTCCAGTTATCGTAAGCACATCACATCCATATCCTTGGATTTAATGGAGAACACAGGAACATTGATCATTCGGGTCGTACGTTAATAATAACTATTATATATAAATATTATTATATAAAAGTCATCAGAAAATTGAGGGATCCGCTGTCATTTACCTCCGCTAATTAAAATATAAATAAATAACATGTCTTTTTTTGTTGTTAAACGCAGGATAAACTTCTTCTTTCTCAAGTTTATTTATTAATCACAAGGAAATACAATCGGATAATTGAATTTTTTTTCTCAATTTTTTTGTTAATTAAATAACAATCTTGATGATGATGTCTTTAAATTGATTTTCAGAGATGAAAATCATATTGAATAATAATGAAATTTAATAATCAAAAAAATTGCCCTAAATTAAATAATTTAGAGCAATCCTGTAATTCACATATTGACATTACACCAATGAATTTAATACAGAGTGCAGATAATTTAAACAAAAAAAATTTGAACGATTGAAGTAATACCCCATGCACAACAATAACTGGAAAATGTCTTCTCCAGTAAAAAAAGCCAAAAGCAGATGACGCATATCACGTAGGAATAATAATAATAGTAATAATAAGAATAGTAATAATAAAAACCCGACAGAAATGGTTGACAATGACGACTGGTTTTCCAGTAGCAGGTGGATCGTTGGGTCAACAATGGAGCGCCCGAGGGAGATAGAGTAAAAGAGAGGGAATCGAGGGGATGAAGAGGGATTTTAAGGGATGGTGGCACTCTATTTCCGGGGTCAACCAATATCAAAGTAGTCACGCCCGTTAAGTGTCAATGCTCCGATATCAGGGAATAACTGTCGCTGCCAAAAAAGAATCCACCCTGAAAAATCGTAAAACCAGAACTATGTCAATGGCTACAACATTTTTAATCAACAAAGTCATAATTACCACAAATTATTAAAGAATCCAATATTAATTCACTCACAAAATAATTTATAATAATTCCTCATTGGAGCAACACAATTTTTAATTATATTATCCATAAATAGGAATATTAATTATTATTGCAATTTGCAGGACCAGTAGAATAGGATTATAATTTTTTAAATAATAAATGTGTAATATAATAATTATTGTATGATGATAATAATAAGGAATAAGTAAATAATAGAGTAATGGATTATTAATGGCGTTGAAAGGGATTCATTTTTAAAAAATGTCTTCAATATTTTTATTTTGTATTTCTCGTTCATTCGTAACAAGGTCACTGAGTTCTCATTTGTGATTCGCTGTTTTCGAAGAGCAGGCGGAGACTAGAGTTTGTAAACAAGAAATGTTCGTAGTAAGGAATTAGTACTGGGTTCATCCTCTCCTAGTATCTTCAACCATAATAGTCTCCAAGTATCTGAGTAGAAATCAACAAACCTGTATTTTCATACACAATTGTTTTGGTATCGCAAAGAGAACGCACCAATGAAAACATTTTTGGACTGGGGAATCAATTACAGACAATGAGTGAATATTGGAGAAGAAGTACCCGGGGGGCGTATGATCAGATGCCAGAAGTGGTGAGAATAAAAAAGAAGAGAACAAAGAAGGATCTTGATCACGTGAGACGCAAAGTACTGGATACAAGGAAGAAATCGGTATGATGATAATAAATAATTAATTGTTGTTCACTCCTATTAGTCTAGAGTAATGATTTCTTCTGGTGGTCTCCACGTCTCAATTTTAATTTATGCTTGGAAGTCATTGTTCAACCAAGTAATCGTAATTATTAATAACCTCTACTGATTATTGAAACAATGATAATAGCAATAACCATTTGTTACAGAGAGAAAAATGTGGGAGAGGAAAGGGATTTCACTCTAGACTGGATAATTCATTGACGAAAACCCTGAGTCAATTTACCCGGGCACCTGAAAACAATGATGATCTGGATTCATTGATAAATAACCTAGGGAGAGAAAGAACGTTATGTGAGCGACTCCTCCCTGAGACATCCATTGGAAATTATCGCAATTATATAAGTGGGAAACAAATGTATAGAACGAATGAAACGTCTGGTAAAAATGGAGGACAGGTGCCAGGAGACGTCGTGACGCTGATGAACAAGGAGGAACAACTATTCAAAAAATCTGAGGACGTGAGAGTAGATGATGAAAACGAATTAGACTCTCTGAAAGCAAGAAGACAGAGTGCCAGAGCCACTGGATCTAATGGTTGTAAACACCAATTGCTTACTGAAGAGGAAGGATTCCTGGTCAACAAAATTTATGCATCCGAAAAGGAGTACCTGAAGAGCACTGGAGTCAAGGGTAATAATTCGTCGTCGTCAAAGAATTTATCCAGGGAAAATCGTAATGCCATTGCGAATGAATACATCCAGTCATCGAGAGGCTGGTCTCCGGTAACATGTTTCGAAGAATTCTGTGCAGAATTCTGTATCAAGGGCTTCGTCAACTGTCCACTTGAATATTTTCCCGCTCCGACAAGAAAAATTCAAATACTTCTGAGGGATGTGTACAAAGATTCCAAGCATTCCACTCGCAATTCTAACGCGTCAACCAAAAATTCAGAGTTTTTCACATCAGAATTAATAGAAAAAAATAAGACAGGAGTTCAGAATTTTTCACGAAAATCACAACGAGGAAAACAGTCGGCCGAAAGGGAGGAATTTAAGATGAATAATGAAATTATGAATTCCTGGCCAAGTCCCCGATGTGAAGACGAAGAAATTTCTCCACTAATTCCATTAATTAGTGATTGTCATGGTGAAGTTAGGATTGAAAGGAATGACCACGAATTATTAAAAAAGGAAAGCAAATTGAGATTAGCTGTGAGTGAGCCAGGGAATTCCAGACATTTCTTCAGAATTCCAGAAGAATCGGTCGAAGAGCCACGGAAAATTAATGAGTTTAATTATTATTCAGGTGAACCAATGAAATGTCCAGCTGATGATGGATTAAATCATCCATCAGGTGAGGCAGTCCCTTTCTTTCACGGAAAATCTAATAATCACTCACCGACTCTCACCTCAAATCATAAATCCATCAAAAATGCTCACGAAATAATCTATAAACCGATTATCGTACTCCGTACCGATTGCTGTAATAAATCTAGTAGGCAATTGAAATTGGATCACACGAGAGAAAAAAGCAAGAGAAATTGTAAAAAATTTAATCCGAACGAATCGGCAGTCATGGAGATTAACGATTTAAATAGAAATGAATCAGATGACGGTGAATTTTTTATTGATTTCGATTTATCACGCAAATCTTCTCAATTACCTCGACACGGTAATCACTTCAACGCATGTGATAACGATCGATCGATATCACAACCTGAATTGAAGAGTAGATCGCAGGATCTGGAGGGGTCGTATCAGAGAAGATTGAATCGTTCTGACAAGTGGAATAAATCATTGCATAATGAATACAAAAAACCTGAAACACATGACAATTTTATGGATCATACCGATACAATGCGTCACACAATCGTTAATGATTGGCAGCCATTATCGTTTCATGATAATTATTTGAATCGGGTAATTGGAAACGAAAGGGTTAATTCAAGGCACATGCCAGTGAAATATTTTGCAGCGGAGAACAGAGATCTACTGGACTGCAATCCACGACGAGTGCCAGTTTATCCACGTGAATGTTATTACAATAATAACGATTTTTCGTATAATGCAGTTAAACATCCGATTTGTCCGGGCGTATATGGTGACCAATTTATCGAATCTCTAAATCCCAAGTCACAATGTCGTCAATCGGAATTGCCACGTGGAAGATCATGGATTGATTTTCGAAATGGCGATTTATCCCTCTCAAATCATTACAGTCATTATGATAATTCCAGTAATTATCAACGAGAAATGAGGAATCTGGGTCGAATTAAATCGAAAAATCGCAGAGATGCTCGAGCACATGGCGAATTTCTCTTCGATGACACCAAGAATTATTACTATTAAGTCAATAATTGATTAATTATTCATTTTTTTAATTAACTCAGTTAATTTCGTCAACTACTGTATATTTGTGTCGATTTTCCGATCTATAATTTAGGGATTATCCCGAGTTTTCACCTAGTTATATTGTTTTTTTGTTTAAATTTTTCAAGAGATGTTATTTTGTATTCAGTTGATTCGATTATCATACGCATAAAGCAAATGTATAATTAACGTATAATTATAATTAATTGGAGGAAATAAATGAAATCCATTGTCCAATTTTCTTCTGCAATTTACTGTTTCATTTTTTAATCGATTCATTGATTATTGTATCGATTTTTCCTATTATTTGGGTGAAGACTAGTGGTAGAATTTCGGCTCGTCCTGAGCGGCCAAGGTCTCTCACTAGCTGTTGTCACTGTAAGATAAATTTAAACGGAAACAGATAATAACCAATCGCACAAACACAGTCGGAAGGGAAGTAGCATCTCCGCCCTCATTCCCTCCCAGCCTGAAACTCTATGGGATCGCTAAATGACTGAACCGTTTGAATAACGATCATTCGTTGTTACTCTATTACTCCTGTGCTACTAGCACTCAAAGAAATTATATCAATTATCCAATTATCAGTCTAGTCATTCCGTAAATTAATCCGAAGGAAAGTGTCGATTATAGGAATGCATTGAGGTTTTCATTTTCACAGAAATCAACAGCGAATGAATTACGATGAAGTATTTTTTAATATTGTTACTTGCTGTGTTAGAAGTTGTGGCTAATGGTCCTTGGAATGTTTCATGTAAGTATATTAACGGTCAATATTGAATTATCGATTTTTGTTTAGAATTTATTAATTGTTTGTCTTGATTGGATTCGGTTTCTAGTGAGGTGTCCATCAGTTTCACTGAAGAATGGTAGAGTGCAGATAAGAAAACGCGGAAAAACGATTAGATTCAAGTGTTTGGAGGGTTTTACTCTCGTTGGAGATAGATATTCGTATTGTATCCAGGGTAAATGGGATACCGCACTACCGATTTGCGTCAGTACGTACATTTTTTTAATTCATTTCCCTTGACTCGTACAATTATACAGATTAATTTTAAACTAATTTTAAATTCAAAGATGCTGGATGTCCAAAGCTGCCATCCCCGAATCATGCGTTCGTCGCAAATAAATACAATGGAGCAATACTCATATATTTTTGTGAACCTGGATACATCCTCGTTGGTAGCTCTGAAATTTATTGCAATGGAAAGCAATGGAATGGGACAGCCCCTTTCTGCAGAGGTACATTACGATCTTTATTTATATCTTTACATATTTCGTGTTTCAATCAAAAAGGATTTTATATCTGCAGATACAACTCTCACTGCGCCAACAAAATGTGATTTTGAGACACCAGACTTGTGCTGGTGGACACAAGATCCTAAACACGACTTTGATTGGACGAGACACAATTTTCAGACCCCAAGTTGGCACATTGGAACCGGTCCCACCCACGATCATACCCTGGGGCCCGGAAATGATGGTGAGAGATTAACGCCATCGCGTGATTATTTTCTAATGACTTTCCCCACACCTTTCAGGATATTATCTCTACATCGAAGCGTCTGGTCGACTTATTAATGATACAGCTAGAATTATGTCGCCACTGTACAACGCCTCATTAACAGATTCAGGATGTTTTTCATTCTGGTAATTAAGATAATTGATAATTCCCGAATAAAATCCATATTAAAATAAATATATTGATTGTAACTTGTGTAGGTACCACATGTACGGTGCTACAATCGGTACTTTACGGATTTACATAAAATTTGAGTCAAATCCGGATAATCCTCAAGTGATGTTTGAAAGAAATCGGAATCAAGGAAATCACTGGCTCCACGGAATATTTAATCTTCCGAAATCCCACGACAACTTTCAAGTAAGCAGATCCATTGGCTTCGGTTTAACAGCTATCCACTTCAATCTACTCATTTTCAGATTATTATTGAAGGTGTACGAGGTACTAGCTACGTGAGTGATCTAGCAATAGACGATATTGCTATTCTTCAAGGTGAAGAGTGCTTGAATGCTGAAAAAACCACTGATGAAGTAACAGTTACATCTGTAACAGCGGAAGATGGTGAGTTATTAGTGAATCAAGAGAAAATTATTAATGGGTACTCATTGGATTTATTTGTTGAAGATCAAATTGAGATAATCAACGCACAACAAAGTTGCCAAGGAAGATGTGGAGGGAATACCACGGGTACTTGGACCACTATAATACCATCGACATCACCGGATGCATGCCACTGTTCCTTCGACTGTGCTGATAACTCCACATGCTGTCCCGACTTCGCTGAATACTGCATTCTCGGTTTGTATACAAACGCAAAAAAATCATAACACATTTTTCCATTCATAATCATTGAGAAATATATCTGTTCGCGTCTGCTTCAGCTACGACCGATGATCCGAATAATTCCTCAGACAGCAAAGACGAATTCTCGATTCAATACAATAACGTTTCCACATCAGTTGAGCCCAAGGATGAGCTCGAGCCCTACACCACGAAATCAACAAAATCGATCAGTTCTGTCACAAATAAAATTACAATACATCACGAGACACCTTTTGCCACCACGAGAACAAGTTCTTTGGCGCCGACAACGGGTGAGCAAAAGAGGAATATAGGAAGAGAATATATTTGATGATTAATCAACTCATTAATTTAACTTGTCTTTTTTGTTTTTTTTAATAGAAACGCATTTGGTGATGGAGCACGTGATGGAGCACGTGCAATCAGTTGCGACTCTGAGTCTCTCTGAACTCTTAAGCATAATTATTGGTGTCGTGGTCCTGGGTACAATTGTTATTGTCATTGTCTTCATTATGAGACGACGAAAATCGTACGTAAGTGGTAGAAAATGTAGCAAAGGGTCTGGATTATCCGAGGATAGTGATGTCCGATTCTTGACATCCGACGAAATTCTGGATTTTAATCTAGCACGACCAGTTGAAAGCGACGAGCCTTGACCTATTCCCTCTCTATCACACCAAAGAGAGAATTTCAATTCCATATGTTTAAAAAATAACCTGAAAAATATTCATATAATAATTAGGGAAAATAACGGTAACACCTGTTCTTGGATTTATTTATTTGTTATTCTCTTGCTCATTTGTTCATTATTCACATTCACTGAGACTCTACTCATAGCAATTCAAATTATTTCAGAATATTGCAAGTTAAATTCAACCGCAGATGAAATTCTAGTGAATTCAGTCTTAAATAAGAAATACAACAATATGAATGATAATTATAATAAATAAGCATTGACGGTAATAATACGCGATGCAAATGTAATCACTTGGATTTCTCTAAGTACTGTTCATAAAGTAGATTCAAATGGCAATGAGAGATTAAAGTGACTCTGCGTTAAAAATAGAGCTAGCAGGATATAATAGGGATAAAAAAGAGAGTAGGAGAATGAAAAAATAAGTGAATTTTACGGATAATTTGGGGTGGGTTTATTGATGGAGCCCCAGAAGAGAACCAATCGTGATGGCTCATGTCTGATAAAAAATGTAAAAGGCCTGTTGGCTACCACGAATGCACCACCGCTGCGTTCAATAACAACACTGGTAGCAGCTGCAGCGACAGTACCAGTTTCTGTTACATCAATTTCAACTTTGTGAATAACATCGGAGGCGAATAATCCCGGATTAACAAGGTGGGCATTATTTCTAAGTGCATCGAGACCGTAATTGGGAAATCCCTGTCTCTCAATGAATTTAACAAAGTCATTGTCAATGGGACGACTCTGTCGCTTGGAACGTTTATAATTTTCTCTGTCTGGCACTGCTGATGTAATTTGTCTCTTCCGTCGCTGTGATTTTGAAATTTTCTCCACGAAAACACCGTTATTCCATTGTTCTATTTTATATCCACCCCGTTTATCCTCGTACCTGAAATAATTAGTTCTTCGCGTGTTGTTGGTGTGCGTCGTGCCAGTGGTCGCGGGCTCTTCATTATTGATTCTCGTGAAGATTAATGAATCAGAAGTGCTTGGCAGGTCATGATTTTTTAAACCATTGGGACCGGCAGACAGAAGTGCCAAATTCGCTTGATCCGGTACGAAAAGCGTTGTCAAACCCAATGACTGCAGTGCCCTATTTAGACTAAGGGTACTTGACAATTTCATCCTTGGTAGTCCTACGATACACCTTTTGACCTTCATATTTGAAATAAGTCGTTCAATAAGATCAGGAGTCAGCCTGGACTCCAGTGTTTTCAGAGCACTTGGATCTTCAGATGTAGGTAGCAGAATGTACATCGTTGAGTCAAAAAGCGACGACTGTCCCTTGAGCAATGATAACAATATTTATTAATGTTCTGTTAATGTTTAAATCCATTGCGCACTTACTGGGTTCGGTGGGAGATTTTTGTAGGCAAGTCCTAGAATTTTAACACCTAATTGCCGATCCTCGTAATATGGGAAATTCTCAACATTATACATCATGTCTACGTCAACGGTTTGTCCAGACGCCAATGTGAACGGCTTCCTGTTACATACAGAATGATCGGTTAGTATACCTCTTGAAATTACTATTCCGCCAATTCATTTACATTCAACAGTGAACCATCACTTTCGCAAGAGAATTAAGTGCGTCCTTGAGCACAAAAAGAGAGAGATGAATATGTAAATACCCGTGGGTCAATGATTACTTCTACTACTCATTCTTAACAGCTCTGTATACACTAGGACAACAAAAAAAACACGGCTAACATGTGCGAAGAAGAAATTGTTCTTGTCTGAGCTGTCACTGGAAAAACCCATGCGTCTAGATTCTTCTGTCTGAGCTTGATGTAAGCAATACGTCTGTGTATCATTGGACTTTTTCTCTGTACACATTCCAGTGTCTATATTTAAAATTGAAGGAAATTAAATAACCGTTTAGTGGCTGAACTGATGAAATACCGCTCCCATTCGCCACTGAAGTACAAAGCAGACGTGAAAATAACTTTGGTATCAGGAGCCGGGGCCTGTGCAAGAATATTCCTAATTTTTCCATGAGTTCTCATATCAACCCAATTGTTTATAATTTCCTGGGCCGACCCAGACTGTCGCATAAAATCAACATTAATCACTTCATTATTATAAACTGCATTACTGATCGCAAGAAATTCTGGCCGAATGGGATAGTCCGCCTGAAACATGAGACTCATTTAGTATTTGATTTTAAAAATATAAACTCCTAAATAATAATAATAAAATTGTCATACTGAGAGTTATCAGTTATTATCTATTTACCTGGACAAATATTCCATTGGCAATTGTCACTTGGGAGCCGTTGGCCGTGAGGGGTAATTTGGTGTCGATGGAATTGAGTAATAGTCCCAGCATTTGGTGGACCATTTCTGAGTGGCCAGAAATATCTACTCCCGATGAAAGCCCAAGGATCTTCACAACTTCGTCAAAAGTCTTTCCATTTGAACCCAGTAGAACCATGGCCAGTGTTGCTACTAAACTCACTGGTGAAAATACGATATTATCACGATCAGGACCAACTGATGATTCTCTCTGATTGTCATCGATCGCTCGATCCATGTCCAAAGCAAAATTCATTACCCCTCTGACTATAATATTATTCACCTTGAATAAAATGATGGAGAAATAACAACGATTTTAATCACAACAATCATACGACTCCAACAAGTAATAATTAATACTTACGTGATTACCCCAGTATATTCTTTCAGCTGTCATAGTGTCTGGCGTGCCAATTGCTGGAGGCCGTGATGGTAAAACACTTGATAGTCTATCGTAATTATTATTGTTATTATTTGGTGCACCCAAAGTTTTCGCTTGTTGATGATAATTGTTCATGGGGTAATTGGTACCGACGTTGTCGTACATGTTCTGTGGAAATGTCGGGAATGGTCGACGGGTATTTCCATTTTGTGGTCTGACATCACCAGTTGTTTCAAAATCATCAGGAAATATCAACTGGCAATAAACACCAAGAGCCAACGAAATAACGAGCAAAAATCTTTTCATCTAAAAAATAAAACCACACGATCTATCACATTTATATCAGTAATTATTCATAAAGATAATCATTGCAGTGAGTAATTTTACAGATGAAGGTATATCAAGGATAACTTGTTCGATATTCATGCAAAAATATATCTGTAATTGCGAATGTCAAGGGCGATTTGCTTTCATTGTTTCCACATTCGAATGATCAATCCAGAAAATGAAATTCTATTGCAGGTGATTAAGGTGATCGATGATAATTACTGTGAGGTATTAATTAGAATTTATTAAAGTGCGAGTTCAATGAAATTATTAGTGAATGCAATAGGTTTAGGGATTGAACAATGGATAGACATGTTACCGTTACACAGGGTCGCACACGAACTACTGGAACATGACATGTAAAGAAAACACTAATGTAACGCTCCAGAGCAACTGACTGGTGCTATTCGCTTGCACTTGTATTTACTATTACTTTTCAATCCCCACCAGTCGACAGTTATCCTATGTATACATATACATGCGGTGAATCTCTTCAATTCACTCCTCGCATTTTTAAAAAGAGATACACTGACGCGTGTAAATTGTATCATTTTTTACATTGAAATTTTTTTTTTAAATAATGACAATTGAGGTACATACGAGAGTACATATATAATCCCGATAGGATTGTCTCACGGGAATGATCGCATGCTTATGACACTCATTCTGATAATAATCCGAATTTGCAGTGGAGATAATTATAATTTTTTTAAATAAACTTGCGTTTCCTTTTCTTAATTGTAAATTGGGAGTGTTTCTCACGGTTGTGTGACTTGTTGAACCTTTCCTGGAGTTTTCGGCGTTAACTTTTTTATATGTGCATATGTAATAGACATATGCTGATAAAAATAAATGTTATGTAGTCCCCGAAATTCTTTTATTCATCGGCTCATCGAGACATGATTCAAATAAATGGTCACATGTACGTATGATACGTCACAAGAAATACAAAATATCATGTTTGAAAAAATAATCACGAAAAAATAGACAGTATCAGGACATGGTATCTGCTTTTTAATATACAATTTGTATCGTAATACTAAATAAAAATAAAAAAGGATAAAATTAATAATATATATTGTTGATTTTTTAAATCATCTCCCTCACAAAAATGAGAAATCCAGTGTTATGCACCTCGGAATGTTCAACCCTTAGCTTGTTTCTGAAAATGAAATAAAATTAATTGATTAATGATTACCCAGAAGAAAGAGAAGGGGATAATAATGATTTATCCACTTACACCAAGAGATTTTTTCTCCTTACGCCCAACGATCTTACAGCTCGCATATCCATTAAGTCCCGATTGTTGTTTGCAAACACAATCTTCCTTCAACTCAATATTCGCAGCGCCATCGACAATCCTTCTAGCTGCCACTTGCAAATATAATTTCCTCTGATTCTGCTTGGCCTCGAGGAAGTGGTTCGAGCTAAAAGCTGCGCCGCCAGACTGAAAAAGACGAATACATCGATAAAAAATGAATTATTATGATTAAAATATAAAAAATAAGCTAAAGACTCACAGAAACAGCGAATCCAGCGCAGACATCATTGCTCGTCAGAACCAAATTATTTTTATCTATACTGCCCTCGAGGGGTTTGTTCTTACTATCAGCAAATGTGTAGCCAGCAACAGAATCATATCCGACAACATTCTTCTGCATTTTACCAGACACCAGTATATCATTCAAAAATCCAATATGATGATACGTCAATCCGAGCTCACGGTATACTTTCTGTCCCATGAACAATCTAGCTTGTTGCAGAGAGAGTGGAAGAGGACTCTTCTCACAGGATGATGCTAGAATTCCAACAACAACCTTAGCCGATCCAGTCCTGAATGGATAACGTATAGCTTCTTCATAGGCATCAGTGAGTTTGAAAGTTCCCAACTCAACATCGACTCTCTGCTTGAGATACTGCAGACGAGTGCTAACATTACCCTCTCTAGCTTCAGAGTAGCTAATCTTCGGTGTAGCCTCTGCGAATTTCATATTCTTAACTTCTCCATTGACATTGGTACTCCCCCCAGTGGTATAATGCTGCGGCCACTTCATGTGATCACCAAAACCAATCAATCCAATATGAACATCACCAATACCATGATGTTTGAATTCACTCTTCACCTCAGCCATCAGTGGTACAATCAAATCATGATAAATCTTCTCATTCTTGGAACTCTGCTCAATAACGAATACAATATCAGCCTCCTTGCTCGGTATTTTAACACTGAATCCATCACCAACAGCAATACTGTCTTGATTCACCTTGCATGCTCCACACGCAGATGGAATTGAAATATCAACACGTTCTTTGCGGCAAGCAGCGTAGTAAGCAGCTGAAATGAGACAAGCGTCTTGAGGAGATCCCGAGACCATAGCGTTGTCACAGGCTTGACGGAATGCCACAGGACTGACGTAATTGAAGCATGAGCTCATTGAAGATCCACTTCCAGTGAAGTAAGACGTACATGTTGGATTGCGCTTGGGTGGTGATTCGACAGCTGGAGCTGATGGACAGGATGGATTAACTCGGTAAGCATTGCCAAACGCACTTTCTTTCTCGGTGATGCTACCAGTTGGTAGTGTAAAGTCATCATAGGGTTCGTTATCAGCATCACCCAGGATACCACGCAATCTGCCATGATAGAATCCAGATACATAAATACTGCAGATCATTGGAGCTTTCTGACTGCACGCCACGTGCACACCGTAATCTGATTTCACATTGACTATCGGAGGTGTCAGGAACGCGTGAAGATTCTTGGTACTTGCTGGATATTCCGCTGGTTTATCGTCCACTAGGATATTTCCATTGGATTTGAGTGTTATACTCTCGCTAGGTGCCACGATGGTCAGACTGATCAATCTTCCGCTGTTGAAGCTACCAATTATCGTGAAATTGCCATCACGTGTGTCATGTGCTAGTACGTAATCACATGCCCCAGCCATCGTTAAATGCCGTCCATCGAATGTGAAGAAGTGTCCACCGTCGACGACTATTCCCATTTTACTGAATGGTGGCATGATGTCACTGACGTATGCTGTTGGACGATAGGTGTAGTAAATATCCTTGATGTTTGGAAGTTCACCATTTTTAATGAGATTCACAATGGACAGCTTGAGGGTCGGTATACCTGGGAGTTTCTTGAGGTAATGGAACTGATTTAACAAGTTTCCACCGAACAATTCATAAAGATTCTGGCTAATGTCCTGCTGCTGCAGGAGACCAATTATCGAGCGCAGAGCATCTATTCCGTGAGTGTAAATATTTTTCAGCTCGGCGTGTTCATCTACCGCTTGATGTTTCACGAGTTTTAACAGATAATTATATGTTACAGTTGCAAATTGACGGAGCTCTTCTGTTGGGAGAAGTTTTGTCAGCTGGACAAATGCCTCTTCAATCGGCATTAAAACACTCTCCGGGATTTGATAATTCGCGATATCTGCCCATTTGATGTTCTTCAATGGGAGGAGCTCTTTAATCGGAAGTGATTTGATCTGCTGTGATACCGTCGCCAGGAAATTCTTTATCTCACTCTCTATTTGATTGATACCCTTCGAAAGAATTTTAGCTACATCATGGAGTAATTCGCTGATCAGTGTTAACAGTTCTTTCAATTCTTTCTGATGCTCGTTGATGATTGTGAGAACAGCTTTGATGTATGTAGCCCCCAATTTCGTTGCTGAATCAGTTATTTCCAGGAGTGCTTTACAAATCTTGTCGAGTGACTCTTTAATTCTCGGTGTTGTTGATTTAATGAGCTCAATCATCTTATCCATTATTTCATGCAGCTGTTTATGCAATACTTCAAGATGCTGCATTAACTCCTTAATTGTCTGTACAACAGCTGTTGTAACACCTCCAAAGATCTTCGTGTAAGCATCAAGAATTTCATGAAGAGTCTTATCATTGCTTATTTCTTCCTTCAATTTCGTTAATTCTCGTTGATAATAATCAATCACTGGCTTCCAATTCGGCTGTGATTTCTTCAAGTGTTCGAACAAATCCGTGAATTCGGTAATAGCTTCGTCATTGATCTCTTTAGCGGCATCTTTCAACATTCCCGCGTATTTTATTAATTTCTCTCTGTACAAGTCAACCATGTACGCGACATTATCTTTATTGTACACGAAATTGGGCTTGAGGAAGCGATTTTCATCCAGATAAACACCAATACTGAGAAGATTTTTCTTCTCTCCATTAATTAATGAATCAGCGATAATCTCAGCAACTTGTCCACTGACAACTCTTCCATTCACAATTAATTTCGTATCCGGCTTGTCCTGTTGATAACTTTGATACTTCACACTGTTGAAATCACGTGCCTCAATGCTGACGACAACCACAGGATTATCGAGTATCTGGTGTTTCGATTCAATTTTCTGAACGTTCTTCGCCAATTCGATAGTCGAATCCGATCGAATCAGGTAATTATTCGGTCCTTGTACTTTGAAATTTATCTTCTTCCCATTGCCAGTCAAAAATACTCCGATTGTCTTCGGCTTTTGATTTTTATCATTGTACGACAGCGACGACTCAACATCAATTTCATTTGACGACAGCACTAAATTATTTTTCAATTCCACTTTCAATTGCTGACCACGACTATTAACATCAAGCAAACCAGTTAAACTGTATCCCTTCTCCATTGGATTTTTCACTAAACGAGCAACAACATTTATTTTTTGTGTTTTTTTCGCGAATACATCGAAATCAACATTGGCATCGAGATAGTTCTCCTTGCTGCTATAAATTTTTCCCTTTATAATCATATCCTTCGTTTGCGCTGGATAAATAAAACGGGCCTCACCAGATATTCCAGCGGAATTTTTATCAGCACTTATGTCTCCACTGGCGATGAAGCTCGTTTTATCGTTTGGATGATTCTTCCTGTCCAGGTAAGCCGATACATCGATTTTATAAGGCCCCACTGGGGTCTTCCCTTTCGGCACATTAACTGAAGTGATGAGTGCAAACTCACGATTTGGGACTGTTAAAACAACACCAGATTCATCGGATGTAACATAAATGTGCGACGAGTACTGAGTTTTATCTTTCGATGTGTGCAGATATAAATTGGCAGTGTGATCGAGTGTTAGTTCTTTCGGATGATATTTCGTTGTTGTCTTCAATCCAAATTCAACAGGTACATAGAATTTCTTCAAATCAACCTCAACAGTTATCTGATGATTCATACGTGACTCACGATCGGCATTCAGGACCGATTGAACTTTGAAGTGTGCGCAGTCCTTGCCCTGTTCGCAAAAACTATCGAATACATAAACCTCTTTATCGGATAGTTTGAATTCACCGATAACAGCTGAAGGTCCAAAATTAGCGTTGAGTGTTATAAAAACACCGATTTCCCCATCATTATCACGTGTCAATTGTTTACGTGAATATATAAATCTCGAGCTTTTAGTGTTATCACCGATCTTCAGATTTCCACTACCTTCAACAATGACATTACCCCCTTCATCCCGTTTGTTGTAATTCGTACTTCCTGTTATGATATTCTTCCCATCACTCGTCACTGTGATAACGATTTTCTTACCGGTCTTCACTGCTGGATTCGATGTTATTTCCGCGTGGATTTTTCGCTCTTTAATTTTGTCACTGTCGAAATTCAATTTGAGAGTGAAATCGTCGATATTTTCCAGCTTCAGATGGCCATCAGCAACGACAAAACCTTTTGGCGATTTTATTTTCCATTCCCCTTTGTATTCATTATCACCAAGAATATTCACGATCGAGGAAATTTCAGTCTTGCCATCGGGGCATGTCAATATCAAATTGAAATTATTACCATTTTTACTAATAGCAAATTCACTGGTCACGTCGTATTTCTTTCCGTCTGTAATCATGTGTACATTGTATTTCGCTGCTCCATGATTATTTTTATCAACATTTCGCTCAAAACCGATTTCAACGTCGCGCAATTTTTCCGTTGGGGTCTTAGCTTTGACATTCATTCCCAGATGACTCAGATCTAATTTATACGTAGCATCGAGATTTAGAGCAATTTTTTTATTACCATAATCAACATTCAGGGATCCATCTGCTTTTTTCAGTTCTCCAGTGGAGTCGTGTTTGATGTCTGCACTGATGATGAGCGCTGGATTTTGAAGGACAACAAGTTCCAGTCCACCTTTGCCCTGCCTGATCGGTCCAGATTGGAATCCACTGGACTGAAGGTTCAATTTTCCACTGACTGTCTTATCATCATTGTAAGTAACACTCTGAACAGTTGAGTACGAAAATTCATCGCTGCCATCATGGGGCAATAACAAACTGCTTTTACCTTCGTATTTCAGATTCCGAAGTTTTTCATTTGGCAATACCAATGCCAGACTTACGTCGCCGTTGCTCGGTTTACCCTCATCACAACCATGGAAATAATTACCTCCAGCTTTCACAGACAAATCATCACCGAGAGACGAATCCAATTTCCATGATCCCTTTTGTTTAGCCTCATTATCACTGGTGAAACTGAGTTTAAATTCTCGTGGCAAATAACTTCCCGATGCAGTACCAAAGACATCAACTCTCTTTGCTCCAGTTGAATGAGAAAGTCCAGCGTATTTAGTACCGAAAGCCAAGATTAAATTCTTGTTGTCGTAATTAACAAGTGAGATCTTCTGCTTTGAATCAACATCATCATGCTCGGGCTGACTCATCACCAAATCGTATTCATAACTTATTTTTCGTGATGGTCCGCCTTTGTTCTCATGATCTAGCAGTTCGTATTTGGCGCTTATTTCGGATTTATCGGCTGCACGATTCGCTGATCCTTTACCTGTTGCGATGAAGTATCGGCCGTTTGGCAGAAGAAGATCAACTTTTCCTTCGAAATCACGAGAATTTTCCTGTTTCTCCGTCAGCTTCCCTACTCCGTTGATCTCCAGTTTGTAGGATAAAATTTCGATAACGTTCTTGGTATCGATTTTAGTCTTAGACAAGTCCGAATCTGTTGAGATTTTGATGCGTTTGTTGGGATCCTTTTCAGCATCCAGAAGAACTTCGATATTGGCGATGTGACGTGTTCCAGTGATCGTTAATGATCCAGTACTTTTTATTTTCCTCTCGAATCTTGGTAGCTCGATGTTCAGAGTACTCGTACCTTTGCCGTTTTGATACGTGAATTGACCCGCGATTATTATTATCTTCTTCACGAGGAGATTGAATTCACCGTGTGGACTTGCGCCTCGTGTTCCTTTCAGGAGGAAATCCAAATATTTTGCGTTATCGAAACTGACGAGTGCATGGCTATTGAGTTTCTGTGGATTCATCTCGAAGCCGTAATTCACTTCCATCTTTTTACCATTGAATTTGAATTCACTCTCGAGTCCGATATTAGCATTGTGCCCCTCAACTTGATAGAGAGTCGATACATCCGCCTCGTATTTACCCCCAGGTATTTCCAATTTGCCCTCGAATTTTCTCTTATTATCCGAAAGTTTCTGATGCTTAGCACTCAATGCCAATTTACTCTCAATAAGATACGCGCTAAGTTCAATTTCCCAATTACTGGGAGAGGCTTCATCAATTTTAATTTCGATGTCAGTCCCTAGTTTGAATTTTCCATACTGGAAATCCATCTCGGTCTCGAAATTTTGAGGCGAGAGATCAGTCTCGAGTTTGACATTGAAATTTTCAGCTGGCCATGTAATTTCTGATTTGCATTTCAATCGAGCGAGTGGTGAAAACGATTGAGGATCCTGCCGATCATTTTTCTTGAACGACCGATGTTCAATCAAACTGACACGATTTATCTTAGACTGCAGATCACGGCCATAAGTGAATACAAAACTGTGATCCATCTCTTCATTCTTCACCTGATAGTGCCAGACCAGTTGGAATCCGACGTGAGGATTTTTCGATGGTACGAGAGCCATATTGACATCAAATCCAAGATCGTTAATTCTTCCATCGAATTTCAGGTGAACATTCTCCTCTTTATGGGACATCTTCGCATCCACGACGAGAGCACGTGGTCCTGTCAGCACCGATCCATCCAGACTAGCCAATTTTTTATCATGTGCAAACAAAGTGACATCTTCAAAGACGTATTTCTTCCCTTGACTGTCTTCATTAACCGTGATATCACCATCAAGTTTATAAGCCGCCACTGCTCCACCCTTTCCCCCCGCCAACTTCTCGATATGATCCGGTACTTTATACTCCAAAATCGGTTTGTACTTATTTCCATTAGCAACAATCCCAACTGATCCATAATAATCATCATTATCATGCTTGAGTGTTAGCGTCAGTGTCTTCGCCTTGTCACTATTTTCCAGAGCTAATTTACCATCAGCATGTTTGAATGGCGAATCAAAAATAGCCCTAACGTATTTCTTGGATGGTTCATTAGATCCCTCAACGCGTAGCAAAACTTTTCTGTTGTTCCGACTGTTTGGCGTTTCAAAAAGAACTTCTACTGATCGGTAGTTGTCCTTTGATTTGTCGTAGAATGCTCGAATGCGATAAGAAGTGGCATCATTATTTTCCACACTCAATGCAAATTTAGCCGGTCCACTTACCGGGAAGAAAGGTCGTTTCTCAATGGATCCGATGGATTCATAAGGATAAGCAAAGTGTCCACATATTGTTAAACCGAGGATTGTTGAAAATTGATCGAAGCAGTCAGAGTGTTCTTTGCCTTTGGAGAACTTTACCGGTGTTTTCAATCCATTTTTATCGATTAGGATTACTTGACTGGATACACTTATGATTTCTTGCTTTCTCTTGGGTACTCCAAAGCTGACATCAAATCCATTGCCATCCAGCATTTTCAGTGACAGATCGCTGCCTGTCGATGTGTGGATCTCACCAATGACTTTCAATCCATTTTCAATGCCAAATGTGTCAATCGTGAGACTGGCAGCTATCGTAATACTGGCACTAGGTTCCAATCCAATCTTGATGACAGCATTCTTTGGGTCTTTCATTATTGACTGCACATCGATTTTACCATTGCTTTTTATATTGGTTACACTATTCCCTTCAATTCCAACGGACAATGGAAATCCTAGACCTGTTGGATAGATGAGATCAATGTCCATGAAGTTCAAGTGCTTCGATACGCTGTAGTCGAAATTTTTGGCGTGATTCAATGCCTCGTTGATGTTCCTGAATATTTTATCGACTGTTGACGTTGATTTTTCGTTTTCAATGTTCGTGTCTCTGAGATCGAGGAATGCCAGCTCTAAACCGAACATTTTTATTGATATGTCGATGTCCAGGTTGTCATCCAGCTCGTTGTCGTCATTTGATTCAATATTTTTTGTGAATTTCTCGATGTCGCCGTAATTTAATGCAGCACGACGTCCACGTCCCAGTTTATCTAGGCGTTCTTTAACGCGACCGTACACATCTGAGAATGTAGTTTTCCCATCATTTATTAAATCATTGATGTCCGAACGTTTGATAACACCCTTTGGCCCAAAATAATGCTCAATCAATCTGTCCAAATTCTCCACGCGCGTGTCAATCTCCAGGAAATTGAATGAACGTCCAAAAATTTCACTCGTGAGATTCAGACTCGTGGAACGTGGTATCCAACTCTTTTGGCTGTAAATAACATTTTGCTCGAGTGTCGATCCAACTCCCAATTTATCAATCTTGTAAGATAACTCATTGTTGAATGAGAATTTGCGGAAATCAATAGGGAACTTCTTGCGTGGTCTGATTTCTTCGAAATATTTTTTGGCATTAGCTTTGCTTGGATCGGTGCTTGCTCTTAAATTTTTCAAATGAGTTGTGATGAATGATCCAACCTGATTGACAGTCTCCTTATCAAGGACATCCTTGATGGCATTGGCAACAGGTGCACAGGGACAAGCGACAAGACTCAAGTAGATTTTCAATCGAATTTCACTGTCCTCCTCACGATCTCCAAATACATCAAGCAGAGGAGTCTTCCACTTCATGGTGCATTTAGCAGGTAGAGCTTCAATAGCTGCGACTCGTACTCGATTGGGAATCCCCTTATCTTTAACTATTTTTACCATTTTATCAATAGTCTGGTCATCCAGGTATTTAGCATTCCCCAGTGCCTTGAATGCCGCGATTATTTCATTCTCACTTTTACGATTCTCTGGCTTGCCATTGTGAATTTTAGATGATATTTTTTCAAGCGCTGCTTTCACCTCAGGAACATTCTCACACTCGTGATCCCGGCAATATTTACCGATTACATTACCGATACCGAGATAACCAATACGTGGCATGTCCTTGTCATCTAGTAATGAGACAACAGCTGTCACTGCTGGTAAATTGACATGATCAACCAGCGAGAGACTCGCTAAATAGCCCAATTTCTGTTCATTACTGAGTTCTCTCTTCTTGATAAGCTCAACAGCTACTTCAGCAGCTTCTCCAGTGCCAGTCCTATAAAGAGCATCCAATAAAATTTTTCTATCATAATTTTTATCAAATCCACTTCCTCCCGCTTTCACCCTCTGGTAAACAGCGAGAATATCATTTTTGTTGCTTTTACGCAGGACTTTGATGAGATCACCGAATTTTTCAGCAGCTCCGCTCTTTATTTCCTCGGGTTTTGATGACTCCTTCAGGGATTTCAATGATTTTAGGATAGCATCTGGCGACGACTCGACCACAGGATGAGGTGCTTCAAATACCAGGGACTTTGGTACTGACACTGGTGCTGTCGATTGGCCATCAGCGGAAGTCGATTTCAGACTCAATTTCGATTCGATAATAGTTTTTGCTCCTGCATCGCCATTAGTGAAGGGTTTGTAGACATAAGTCTCTGTTGATTTCACGCTGTTGAGGACGCCCTTATCATAAATCTGTTCAATCTCCTGTTGTGAATCGAGAACTGGTGATGTTTGGATGTCAGATGAATGATCATGTGTGGAGTAAAAGAGTCCGTGGCGGAGATGCTCGCGGTGGGAGCAGCTCGACAAATTTTTTCTTTTACGTACAGTGAGCTTTTCACCTTCCTTACGAAATTCAAAACTAGTCTCGCAATTGCCAAATACATCGGTCTAGCAACAGATTAAAGAAAAATATCGAATAGATCAATGATATTTGTCTATTCACGTGAAATTTATACATGAAATTAAATAATATACCTCTCGGTGCATTGTAACTCCGCTGTCTTGCATGACTGAAGTCTGGAAGAGCGATACGATAGCTCTCTTGATGTTGAGAGATACTTGAGAGTCTTGGGGCTCAGAGCATACACTTGTATCGATATGTCCCTCGTGGTAATTGAATTGAAGAGCATGTTGCTCCACATCCTTCTGACTTGCGGGCTAAAAAAATGATTATTATTGTCAGGATAACCAGGATAATCATGATTATCCTGATGATCAGGATGATTATGATTATCCTGATTACCCTGATTATGATCATGATCATCAGGAAAATCATGATCATCCTGATCATCATGATAATCATGATCATGATCAAACCGGGACAGAGAAACCAAATAGTACTCACACTTCCATTGACAAGAAGATTTTTCAATTTCACTTGACGAATGCAATCCGGTTTAACCGAGAGTTCAACAGTCGCACTGAGCTGAACAGTTGATGCACCTTGTGCTTCGCTCACAGCTGTTGTAGATGTTCCTTCAAATGCATACGAATAAACAGTACCCTCGACATGTCCTTTGCCAGCTCGTACTATTTTATCAATTGATCAACAAAAAATTATAGGATTACCTGACGATTCTACTGTACCAACATAATATGAGTAAATGTACTTACATCCATGACATCCAATCATGCAAGTATCTGAAACAATGAGTTTAGGGTTTATCGTTATTTATTATCGTTTATTTTAGAAGAAATGGAGGAGTTTGAGGTGGATGAAACTGGGAGAGGCTGGGAGATATACGTGTGCATAGATGTATGTGCAGTTAATGATAATACCGAGGTATGAGTGTGTGGTAATCTAGTGATGGGAATTGGAGTGTCCCCTGACCCGTGGTATCTGTCAAGTTACGTACAGCTGTACACAATCAAAATGTAAAAGCAAACGAGATATCGCATTGACCTTAGTCGTCAAGCAGGATGTTGAGTCTAGTGTTCACGAAATTGATGGGTGCTACCACCAATTTTCGTCGGTAATCTCTTCTTTTTTATCTAGTCGTTGTCTATTCATCTGCTATCCCCTAGGAGACTGGAGGATTCATCAATTTATCATATCGCAAGCTAAACAAACATCTCCGGATTATCGGCTCCAAAGGAAAAACAATATTCAATGTTTATTCAATGTTCATTCAATATTCAAGATTTTTTTTCCTCCCAATGGCGCGCTTAATCCGAATTTTCGATAATCTCTGGGAGAAAATTTGGAATGATTTTTTTGGAATTGTAATAAAAATATTGAAAGGGGGATTAATCTCCCCGTGACCCCAAATTTCGCAAAATTGACATAATATTATAATATAATGTTTGTATCGGGGGTCAAATGGCGCATGGTTCATCTTATCATCGTGATAAAAATGATACTCCGATTTTTCCGTTAATTCGGAAATTCCGTCGAGTCATAAATTTTTTATTGAAACAGCGGATGCAATACGGCAATCCACAAAGAAGAGTCGAGTAAAATAACGAAAACTCGTGATATAAATTGAGCAAAGGATGTGTCTAGATCAATTTAACCAAATATCCTCTTGGAAGGTATGTACGAAGGGGGAATTAACTATAATAGTTTCAATGATACCAAGCGCTCATTGAAGCTCATGAAACCCTAATTATTTGTTCTTTCTCAATTGTTCGTAATTTTATCAATTGAACGAACAGCAGTAGCAGTATTTATTCCATAATTATCAAACAGCTGGATAGTTAAACAAATATAATAATTAATGACTGTAACTTACTGGCAGAAACTGGTATGAGTAGTAATAAAAATGTAACAGCGGCACCGATGACACCCGCAGACAAAAGCCGCGGAAGTTGTCCCATGGCGTTTGTCTTATTGATATTACTTTTCCCTTTGTATGTTTTCTTGTCTGAGACAAGTTATGGCACTGTGTATTCAAACTCACAATAATGGAATTGTTGTCAATACCACGGTTACTGTGAATACAACAACGTTTAGCTTTTCGTCGTCCGGTGCTTTTATGCTCTTGTTAAACCTTCCCCTACTCCATGTACCAACTACAACTACAATCCTAAATACCCGCACCATCTCCGGGTACGATGTTCATCGTTCATATTTATTCGGTTTTTCCCACCACTTTACTTAAATTCTTAGAAGACTTATTTTCTCTTTTTACTCTCGATATGTGAAAATTTCAAAAAACAACCCTTACCGATTTTTTTTATTTTTATCATTATACATTGTACTTGGACTTGTTAATTATTGTTAATATACGCACGTCAATCATGTGTATGTTTATTTATTTATTTATTCATTCATTCATTTTTTTTTTTGTGGGGATTGGGGAATTGAATATATTCCCTATTTTAATATGCGGGAGGAATAATTAATTGAGATTACTAAATAAATTTAGTAATCTAGGGAACTCGAAATTTTTAATTAGCTGTCTTAAACAAATTTATTTAATTGGATTTTTCGATTATTGATTAATTCCATGCATCCGTTGGCTTCAAACCAATTATTTATTTGGCTTACTGGATTTATTTATCACTGTTTTTTTCTCTTTTCCTCATTTTCCCTGGGGATGGGACATTATCTCAGGAATAACTGATGAGCTCTTGAAGCAGAAAAATATCCGTTTTATTCAATCATTAGGATTCTCATTTCTCCGCTGAATGGGAAAAATAATCTTAATCGCGAGTTATTTTTACGTTATTTACGCGCGATGGAGTGGATCCAACGAGGGGGAATGATGATGAGGGCCAGGAGGGCACAGATGCTATCTAGTCATGGAAAATTCTATTAGACACAGACATTTATTTCAATTATTTTTTGACATTTTATGTTGGGATTGATTACATGATTTGCTGGGACCTCACATTGTAACTATAAAACTCACAACATTGTATCCCCTCCCCTGAATTATCTCAATTAAAAGAAAAACGAAAAAAAAAGAAAAAACTTTTTGAAAATGAGAAAAACTTTTAATACAATTTTAGATACATGTGCATGTAAGCCAATAATTATTATAATCAGTATATAATCAATATATAATCAATATATAATCAACTTTTGAATTATCATGGGATAATTAATGCACAGGAAAATGTAAATACTTCTTTGGAAAATGAAAACCTGAGATTCTTCCTCATAATTTTCTTGAAATAAATTTTTTCTCCCAGGGGATGTCGATATATTGTTATCACCACCACCGATTCCTCCCCAATATTTAAATTGGGAAATCTTCGGCTTTAATCATTCAAGCAGATATTCTTTAGCCCCGAGACCCTCATGTAGACTCACATATGTACATACATTTATATACCCTCGTAATATATGCGAGATTAGTCCGAGATGATAATTTCCTCGGAGAGACTTCGCCATTTCGTTTCCCCTGGAATAAAAAATTTGCTCACTAAATTTTCATTAAAAATCGTTATCCAATTTCGATATTGTCCGAGTTTCGAGTCGAGTAGTCGTGATTTGGACTTTATTCTATTTATATGAGTAATGCAGAGTTGTTTGTTCAATGGGGTCAACATCCATGATGTCTTTGACTCTTTCGAACTATTCTTATGTTCATATCACTTTTCTGTGTTATTTACCCGATTGTATTGACATATTCTCTTAAATCCACCCAGAGAAACTGTGACACATCCACGGAATATTCGAGAATTGAAAAGTTTATGAAAATTGTATAACGAGTAAACCAATTACTCACAGATTATTTTATTTTTCCTACTCAGTATTTGTCTTGAATCCGCAATTCTCTTGCGCTTGCCATCAGGATAGATAATGATGTGACATTTTTCTTCATGGGTCATGATAAATTTTACGTAATCACAGATGATAAACGAATTGTGATACATCGTGCTTTGCATTAACACAATTTTTTTATTTTCTCTGTAAAATACATTTTCATTCAATAATAAAGAATTATAAAGATCGATGAGTAATACCATATTCTGAATGAAAAATAGATAAATAAAATGAAATGTTTTAAATAATGGTATGAGCTTATAATATCGAAGGTGTTATAATAATAATATAATTTCATTGAGGAAGATGTGAATTGTCAGTTGATTTGGTGAATGTAAAAAAATAATTGATGAATTTTTGAGAAATGATTTTATTGGCATTTCCTTCCGCTCATTTCAAGTCGATAAATTAAAAAATTGCCGCCCATAATGACGGGCCATTTCCCTTAAGGCTTACATACAATTAATATATAATGCGCGATTGTACAGAGGACTTTAGAATTTTTGTTTGGGTTATATTTCAACGGTTGGAGAGGAAACACCAGTTGCCGGGTGGAAATTGATTGAAATGAATATATGGAAGTAATTATTGAAAAATGGACGATTATGGTGAGGATTCCCAGGGGGAGTTTCCTCCTGTTGAATTTAATTATATTCCTACTGCTGATGAATTGATTGAGAAGCCAGTGGAGTCGACATCATCCACTGGGGGAAAAAGCAAGAATTCAAAAGCAGCGAAAGCTTCTGATGAACAAGCGTTGAAGAGGAAGTGGATTCGCAACAGGGAAAAAGCGGAAAAATTGGTTGCCAAGACGTGTCGAAAAAATATTCAACCTGGAGAGTGTATGGAATTTGTTCGAGTTAATTTTGATGAGGGAATTGGAGAATTTGATTTCTACCAAGAATCAGTGTCATTGCTTGAAGATGCAAATGTCAGAACGCAGAAAATTCCTCTGATCATTCCAAATTATGTGAATTGGACGAGATTCACGGAAATTCATACAATTGATAACAACAATCAAGTAAATACTGGGATCACTGAAGAAACTCATGGGCATGTGATGATTATATGGAAGTGGAATGAAGTTGTGGAAAAAATACATGGTCAAGTATTTACAGAGAGTCTTGTCAACATTTCAAAGATCTTGCAGGATAAAAAATTGATTGTCATTTTATACCAGATGAAGGGATATTTTGCATATCACAAGAGCGAGAATGGAGGGGGAAAGCTGAAGCAGAAGTACGACAACATTGATTTATTACCGAAGATTTCGAGGAAAGAATTTGAGAATGCAGTGGTTAAAACTCAGATACGACTGGGTTGTACCATCACGCTGATTGAAAATTCTCAAGATATGAGTTTGTCAATCTTTCGATACACCAAGGCAATCGCTGAAATTCCTTATAAGCTGATGAAAGAGGAAGGTACAAAACACCTTGATTTTTATGCGATGGACGATAATAGAAATACAATCCAAGTGGACAGCGATGGGGTTGGATTGAAAAGACTTTGGCTGAGGCAACTTTGCTTGTTTAATAATGCTAGTTTACCAACTGCAGAAGCAATTTGCGAAATTTATCCAAGCCCTTCACGACTCATGGAGGTAATTAATAAAATTATACGACATGCGTTCAATGTTGAAAACAGAGAATTAACTTTTTGATTTAGGCATACGACAGCTGTTCGCCTGAGGAAGGAGAGGCATTACTGAAAGATATTCCGGTGAGAATTAATTAAGTTGTTTTGTATCAATCGACTAGACTAATAGTTAAGTGGTATAATTAATTTTCAGATCAGCAGGGGTCCATCAGAATTATGTACATCCAGAAGAATCGGTTCAGAATTAAGTCGCAAAATTTATATTATGTTTTCTTCAATGGATGGCAGCGAAATAGTACAATAATAATTTATTGGTTGTAATGAACAGGCGAACAGAGCAGAAAGTTTATATTCTGGTGATAACTGTTATCGAAGTTGACCATGACCACCTAACGATCGAAACCAACGAGAAATTTCTAGTGACCCACTATCCTGCAAAAATGGAGGACATAAATCGCGTCGACAACTGACCCCTTGAATCAGTCCTTTGGCAACTCAAAGTTTTTATTCGCTTTAGTCATGGAAATAACCGATCCGTTCACCAATAGGAAGACGAATCAAAGATTGACAATGAAAACAATCATTCATTGTCAATCTCTTTTATGATGGAGGAATAGGAAAGAGATCAATTAATAAGCATGTATGCATACTATCAAAATAATACGTTTTATTTGAACAAGTATTTCAGTACAGATTTTTTCCATAAATTGTGCAAAAATATTGAACATAATTTTCATCGCTACTTCTCTATTTGTTTCCAAGCATTAACAAATCGATAAGGCACTCAACGATATTCGCAATAATAGTAGATAATCGATACGTACACGATCACACGAATGAGGAAAAATTTAATATTCATAATTTTTCATAAAAATAAATCTAATCTCTAGGACATTCACTGCAAATACTGCGCACAATGGAAGTCCTATATGGCAAAAATATCCGAATCATTAAAATAATGACGTTCTCCGATGAATCTAATTTACATTGATGATTAATTACATAATGTCCGATATTGAGAATTTATGTCAATTTTCCTATTTGACTATTTGTACACGAAACAATTCACTATTAATAAACGAAAGGCGAAAAAATTCCAACAAATGTCAATTTGACAGATGAAATAATGAGATGAGCACCTCACTGTATTTTTTTGAGCCATTAGCTCTACGTTATGTACACGAATCATACGAAAATAATTGGAAAATATTAGTATCAGAAAATTTACAGTTCCTCAAAGAAGGCAACTCGTGCCTTTGTCGATCCTGACTTGACTTTCTTCAGCGTGCTGTATTTGTTCTCACCCATTCTTACCTGCTCCTCATGCAGCTGATCGAGTTCACACTGTTTTTCACCGACTTTCATCACCTCTATCTCTGATCGCAGCTCTCTCAGCTGTTCCTGGAGGTGTTTGCTCTTCTCCCAGTAGTCAACACGTTCCTTCTCAATCTCGAGGGACAACTGATCGACGTCACCATCAGCGATTAAATCATATGACGTTAGATCTGAGGGGAGGGGATCGGTATCCAGCTGGAGAGTTTGAAGATCTGCCTGGAGGTCTGAGGGAAGCACTTGGGTCGATGGGAAGAGATTTGGTACAGGCTGCAAATAAAAATTATAAAAAAAAAAATAAAAATGCCACACATATAAAGCAAATAAATTGAGAAAACAAACCGTTATGGCAGCTGTGTATGCATTTCTACTGAGAAACTCGAGCAATTTTTCCTTCGCCTCTTTCTCCGCGATCCTCGCCTTGAGGAGCTCGTCCTTGAGCTTCTCAGCCTCAGCTGCTCGTCTCTCAGACTCCTGGACTAATCTCTCGGTCAGCAACTCAGCTTCCCTCGTCTTTCTCTCCAAATGCACCTTCTCTTCTTCGGTTTTCATGTTGTTCAATCTTATTCGAGTTATTTCTTGTTCGGCCTCTGAAGCTTTCTGACTGAGTAACATTGCCTCTTCTTCGGCGACGCGACTCTTCTCTGCCAGGAGATCTGCCGTTTCCTCAGACCTCCGCTGGAATAAACGAATTAATAAATCTCCAGAAACATGACAGAGCTGTTTTATTATTTACCAGAGCCTCATTCGCGAGACGAATCTCCTCTTGATACTGCAGAAGACGCTGCTCCATGGCTGCCTTTTCCCTCTCCGCAGCCTCACGCAACTGCTTCTCCCTCGCCAATTTATTTCGCTCTATCTGTCTCCTAGATTCACCAATACAGTTATCGTTTTCCATTTTTATAAAAAATTCAGAGCACACGTCAACCAAAAATATCAATTGTCACATTTTTTTACCATCAAGCATTATAATCCTAGATTTGGCCACAAAAATCTGCAAATACTTATCCAGAGAAATTAAAATAAAACAGACATGCGATTTTCTCAGTATTCTATTCATTCTTTTACCATTTCACTATTGAATTAATATCATGCGACCAAGAACAATGAAAATAACACGGAACATTCATTTTTGGAGATGAAATTTCAATTACATGCCTAGATTTCTCCTCTTTGGCTTGGGCCTTCATCTGCTGGACCTCCATGGAATCTGGTTTTCTCCTCCTCATGAATAAATCGTGGTTCCCAATGCACAAGTCCAGAATCTTAACAAATAACATTTGTGGAGCTTTTTCATTGTTTTGCTCGTTCAAGCCTAAAGCTACCAATCCCATCACCCATCTTTCAACATCAGATTGTTTCTTTACCAATTTATTCATCCGAACTTTCAGGGAGAAGAATACAAAGTTGGGCGATGACTTGTCCACTGGTTTTATCACAAATTTTTTATCATCAAAACTTATGTGACGTATTTCCGACCATGTGAATGTCGTCTTTGGCGCCAATTTGTTCTCTTTCTCGTAGATGTTTAACCCCAGTGCTGTTACCCCCAGCCAGAGATCAGTTTCTTTCTTATTCTGTGAAAGTAAAATTTTCTTTAAGGGAAAATTACTGTGAAAATTAAAAGTCCTCATGAAAGCTAGATATATTGAGCGAATTTTGATAGAATCCGAATTATACAAGCGATTTTCAGAATTAACAAAAACTTTCAGAGCAACTGTCATAAAATGTCATTTATGATTCACTCCTTATCTGGAATAATTATTGTATTTAACGAGGTGATGTTGTCAATAATTAAAAACTCACACTAATTGGAAAATAATTGACTCCATACATATCAAGGTCCTGAGCTATTTTGAGGTACTCCATTTCAGCCTCGTCCCGAGACATCCCACGATGATCGGCGTACCAGATTTTTATACGATCCTCCCACATTTCTGGGGTCATTTGGTACTGATCGATGACCCTCTGTGGGAGTAGATCCTCACTGGCTAGCATTCCAGGTCGATAGGAAACCTCATCGTAATCTCCGTACTTCGGTTAAATAAAATAACAAGATTTATCTCGAATGTTTATGAATTTAAAATGAAAATACCGTACCTTTGCCTGAACAGCGTAAGAAGCGAGTAAAACAGAAGCCTCTGGTGGACAGTAAATGTCCATTGACAGAATGGCCTGTTTCACTTGAAGAAAAAAAAGATGTTGAGTGACTTCCTGAACTAGTTCTTCGGCCACGTCCTCTGGATAGAACTTGGCCAGGAACATGAATGGAGTGGTCGGCTGTTGCGATATACCCTGGTCTTGAACTGAAATTAAAGCCCATAAATTTCCTCTGTCAAATTTCTCGTCAAAATCAATTACCAATTAGTATTCAATTTTTTAATTATCGTATTGCCTGACACGAACCTTTCTTGTCCAATTTGAGCCAAGATATGAAACCCTTGGCGTCTTCATATTGCAGACCAAAGTACCAAGTCTCTCTGAGTCCGATTGTTCGACAGACTAAGTCAAATAAATCTCGTCCTGTTGCTCTCCACTGTCAGTAAAAAAATCGAATTATTTATCAATGTCTCTGATAATAATAAATAGCCACGCGGATTTGTTTTGAATTATATATTTTTATGGGCTCCATATAAAGACTAAACACATCATTACGTTTATATTTAACAAATCTGAAATACCTTACAGTATTATTTGCAAGAATGAATTTTAGGGAACGTCTTCACTCCGAATTTATTATGACAATAATCTGCAAATGATTTTCTTGAACCGATTACCGGTGCTAATCCTAAAAAGATCCTTTCGGATTTGTATGCCTTCTAATTTGAATGAACGATAATCAAAGCACGAGTAACAGAAAAACACACAAACAAACCTCAAGATTAAATTCCAATTCTGCATCCAAAGTGCATACTTTGACAGGGAATGATTTGCCAGATTTTTTTCTCCTGAAAGGTGGCATTTTGGGTTTCATGTTTCCTCAATCATCACTAAAAACAATCACCACTGTTGACATAATGAGGTATGCACTCTTCCTATTAACAAATTCAATAATTCACGATTGAGACATTGTGATCCCCTGAATCACTCCACAACGACTCTCGCTGAATCTTATGGATGTGAATTATTCAGAAAAATTCCCCTTTCTGGACGCAAACTAACAATTTAGAGGAGAGAAAAACTAAAAATATGCAGACTACAATTGTTTAAAAATCCCGAGGTCGAGCCAACTCCATAATTACACTATCACGCCATTCATACATGTATTTTGACTCTTGCCAAGCCAATCTTTCGCGAATGAAAAATAAAAAAAATTGAGATAAATATTCACTCACAACTCGCCATTAACTAGACGAATTTGTGTAGAATTTCGTGATAGAATGAAATTTTGTCGGGATTATTTTGACCGATAATGCAGAAATTACGAGACAAGGGTTATAACGCCATTTTGTGACGTGTGATGACTGACTCCAGATCCAAAAATTATCTAGACTCAAATAATTAGATAATAGACTAAGCTACAACAATTTTTATTCCTCAATATTTCTTCCACAGAAACGCCTCGTAGCATTAGTTTTTTCTCCTCCAATTATCTTCAATTACTCATCAGTCATTTTCAATATAATATAATATTATGTTATCTCAATAATTAATTTAATGAACTCAATTTTATTTACAACAATTTCATAATTTTTTTATTCAGTATCTATGCAATAAATAAATTGTTCACATTCCATCATTGAATAATTACATTTTTCCTGATAATTGCTTTCGAGTGATAAATTTCCCGCGGTTATCTACATATCTTTATCTGATTAGATAAACCTCAATTACCAATGAACCCCTCCCATTCATAAAATTCCTCCTTCCCCTAAATATTATTTCAATCTCTCAAAAATCTTCTAAATTCTCTAATTACTCGATTATCCAGTAATCACTCCATTTAACTCCCGTCTCCACAGATTGCCATTTGAATTTGGCGCCAGATGCGCGTGAGGACTGCGTTAAACAAAAAAATATCGGTTTGAATGAAAAAATTCTCGGGATCGAGTTGACGGGTCGTTTTTGGGATAGAAAAATTTTCAAAAATCCTGATATATTGCCAGAATTAATTGGGGCATGAGTTAAAGATTTTGAGTGGTTAGAATTAGATCAAAAAAAGGTGGAAAAAAGACTGGAGTCAAAACCACGTGACGTCGCGCGCATTTGGGACGCTCGTGACACCTCGGGGGGGAGAATCACGCAGTCCGATCAGACGTCTCCATTCATCGGCGAGTGTCTGCCACAGTGAAACAGTTTTTCAACTAAAATTCGTATTTGTTGATCAATAAATAAATCCAAGGATGAATCCGACATTGGGGAGCCGTCAGACGTTCAGGGAGCACGTCCTGGCTGTATCCCGGGATTTTATCTCCCAGCCAAGGCTCAGTAAGTTTTATTTTCCTCCTGGATTTTTTAACACTGGGCGTAGACGTCTCATTGATCCACGGGTCAGCTGATCTGTCTGATCAATTTTCTCGAGATGTGTCTCGTTGACACATCTCGGGGGCTCAAACTTTCTGACGGTTTTTCACACCCTCATTACGAGTTTTCAGACACTTGAGGGTGATAAACAATTCAAGGGAGTGGATTTTTTGGTCAACGACTAATCAGTCATGTGACTGCTAGCAGGTATCATGGTGGCATTGGCAACGAGTTATGAGAATTATTTTTTACTTGCCACTGGGATACAAGAAAAATTGCACCTGAAAAATCCACCAGAATAAAAAGGAATTTTTATACGTTCTGGGGAACAAGTTTTATTTTATCACGTTGTTATGTAATTCTGGATTTTGTTTGTTTATTGTTATCCTTCGGGCGTTACCCATTTCGTTATTTTACAGGCGGTGTTTAATGGATTTGGGTTTGAAACACAAATTATTATTGAAGCCCAGAATTTTTGGTTATGAAATAATTTGGAGGAAATTGATTTTAGAGATTGATAAAGAGAGATTAGTAGAGTGAAACTCAGGGATTTATCTTAATGAGATCATAAGATCGTGAAATTTGGACACATTTCTGAGGTTTGACGGTTATTTTGATGAATGAATTTTATTTTTTTAGCTTATAAGACGGTATCAGGTGTGAACGGACCCCTGGTAATTCTGGATGAAGTAAAATTCCCAAAATACGCTGAGATTGTTCAGCTGAAGCTGGCTGATGGCTCCATTCGTTCAGGTCAGGTACTGGAAGTATCTGGCTCCAAAGCTGTTGTCCAGGTGTTCGAGGGCACCTCTGGAATCGACGCCAAGAACACCCTCTGTGAATTTACCGGTGATATTCTCAGAACTCCAGTGTCTGAGGACATGCTCGGTCGTGTGTTCAATGGTTCTGGAAAACCCATCGACAAGGGACCGCCCATTCTCGCTGAGGACTTCTTGGACATTGACGGACAAGCCATCAATCCCTGGTCTCGTATTTACCCAGAGGAGATGATCCAGACTGGTATCTCTGCCATAGATGTCATGAACTCCATTGCCAGAGGACAGAAAATTCCAATTTTCTCAGCTGCTGGGCTTCCGCACAATGAAGTAATTTTCCCCAAAAATAAAATACAAATCCAATGGATATTTTCTAGTCGTCGGATTCCTAATTTAATTTACATTACAGATTGCAGCCCAAATTTGTCGTCAAGCCGGTCTGGTGAAGGTCCCGGGTAAATCAGTCCTGGACTCCCACGAGGACAATTTCGCCATTGTCTTTGCAGCTATGGGTGTGAACATGGAGACAGCTCGTTTCTTCAAGCAGGATTTCGAGGAGAATGGCTCGATGGAGAACGTCTGCCTCTTCCTTAATCTCGCCAATGATCCAACAATTGAACGTATCATTACCCCTCGCCTAGCCCTGACAGCAGCTGAATTTTTGGCATACCAGTGCGAGAAACACGTTCTGGTTATTCTAACGGACATGTCCTCGTATGCCGAGGCTCTCCGAGAGGTATCAGCTGCCCGTGAAGAGGTTCCTGGACGTCGTGGTTTCCCAGGTTACATGTACACCAATTTGGCGACTATCTACGAGCGTGCGGGACGTGTTGAGGGTCGCAATGGCTCCATCACTCAAATTCCGATTCTCACTATGCCCAATGATGATATTACTCACCCCATTCCTGATCTCACTGGGTACATCACCGAGGGACAGATCTACGTCGATCGTCAACTGCATAACAGGCAAATTTATCCACCAGTTAATGTACTGCCTTCACTCTCACGTCTTATGAAATCCGCTATTGGGGAAGGGATGACCAGGAAAGACCACTCGGACGTATCTAACCAGTTGGTAAGGAATAAATATATTTTTTTATTTCTATTTTCGAATAAAATACATTTTTTTTAACGGAAAAGTTGAGGTTTAAAAATATTTTATGCAATGCTCGGATTAATTTTTTAGTACGCTTGCTACGCCATCGGCAAGGACGTCCAGGCGATGAAGGCAGTGGTGGGTGAGGAGGCCCTCACTCCCGACGATCTCCTCTACCTCGAGTTCCTCTCGAAATTCGAGAAGAACTTCATCTCCCAAGGAAGTTACGAGAACCGCGGTGTTTTCGAGTCCCTCGATATTGGCTGGCAGTTACTCCGTATCTTCCCCAAAGAGATGCTCAAACGTATTCCTGCCAGCACCCTCGCTGAATTCTACCCCAGGGATTCCCGTCACTAAGCGAGCAAAAATTATTCAATTATTTTATCGAAAATTGCTTTTTTTTTTCTCCAAGTGTTACGTTTGATCATTACGATGGCTGCACGACTTGAATTTATATCTCAGCAGCAAAAATTTGCACACGTCCCATCGATTCCATCGAGTAGTTCCAATTAAACTGAATTTGACGAATGACTCATTGATTAAAGTCGTGCTGATTGCCATCGAGCGTTGGGTCGTGCAAAGTTTAATGATAAAAGTGCATAAGAAGTTTGTCATTTCATGAGCTAGACAATATTCAGAGTAACCATAAAAATTTGACCGAAAAAAAATACAAAACACTGCGAACAACTTGAAATTTCTCCTCCAGTCGTCGGTTCGTCAGGAATTTTATTAAAATCATGTAAATTGTAATATATTGTTCAGTATTATCATGAGGAAAGAATGATTAGAGTTCAACTCTCGCAGCTGTGTGCGAACATTCCAAAAGATGACAATTGTAATCATCACTGAAACCGTGAAGCAAATCAGTGATTTTTCGCGAAAATTTGCAATTCAGTCCGGAAAATTCATTCTGTTCTTTAGTGAATAATGAGACGAGAGTTTGTGCTTATCATAATGCTTTCATCAAAGGATAAAACAAAAACCTCTGAACAACACTGAAAGTTTATTTAAGGTTTTACGTTTTCGTGTGATGATCCACATCACTTCAACGATCGTTTTTTTTTTCTGTAATGTTTAGAACAGTGTATGTATTATAACTGTAAAAAAAATTATTCGTTGAATGTAAAAAATTCTATTCATTTAAATCCCACATAACTAATAGAAAAATATCAATATCCAATAATAATATTATCTCTTTGAATAATAACAAGAAAATCTGTGAATGAAAAACAATTTTTCTAAGTTCCCGAATTATCGATTCAAATTGAAAAAGCTAAAAGATTCTCTTGCAGATTAGATTTATCATTGAATAAACAAATTCACATTACCATTTAATTATTGAAACTAGTATGAATCGATGCGTCTTCTAATGATCCCAATGATCTGATTTTACCTGGCGCTATGAATTAAAATTTTTTGTGACAGAGGGCTCTAGACCCTGAATTTCCGGTTTTGTATTTCCTGAAATCGTAATATCCACGTGAGAGGTGCATCCAGGTGAATCAAAATCAAATATACCGCACCACGTGTTGCTTAAACGTCATCAATGGACTCAGAAGTTATCTGTTATCTGATCAATTAAGTAAGTAATTCATGCATCCGATTACTGATAATGAGTGAAGCTGATACTCAGGTTATGTTATCGATTTTTGCAACGATCGTGCTGAATCGAACGATGAAATTGCGACTCAAAAATTACGAAATACCAGATTTCACTATATTCCACGATTCGAGTTTATCAATTAATCCAATTGCCGGCCATTGGCATTCATTGCCTTGTGCAGCAATTTGTGGGGTGCATGCCAAGAATTGCATTGAGATTTCGGCCTCCAGAGTTCATTCAGATTGAAGAATAAATTTAGAAGTCGTCATGGCTTCTCTCATTTCCAGTTCTTAACGAACGGGAAATTATCCGAAACTCGTAATGACCTCGATATCACGGAAAACGGGATTGTACACGAATATTATTGATTATGACCTTCGGAATTTCACCTTGGATTCGGAACAATGACGATTGGACAATGATCTTTTCGTTATCAATTCATTGGAACGAACAAACCCAAGATATTCTCGCATTTCTGCTTCCATAATCACAACTCATGGTAATGGATATATAATTCTAATTATTTATCGCAATTTATAATTATTTTTTAACCTTTTTATAATGTTATTTACATCTCTAATTTGATTTACATCTTATTTTTTCACTTTTATTCATTTTTTTTCACTTATTTTTCGTTTCAAATTTTGTTGAAAATAGGAAAGAGAACTTTATCGGGAATTAAATCTACGATAAAAATTCTTCTAATGTCTCGATTTGAATCGACAAATGAGATAACTTTTTAATTCTACTTATCTCGTTTCACCAATTCGCTACTGATTTAATAACGATAGTTGAAAAACAGAATATTTTTGGAAATTATCAGTGATGGAATTCCCACAGAAAGAATTTTTCCGCAATTTATGGATAATATTCAACGGTGTTCTCTCTTCGAGAGGGAAAAACGGAAGAGAACGCAAGACCTATAATATTTTTTGAGAGAGAATTCGAATTTTTACTTTTTGAAATTTTACCTCACGTCCAGGTAAAAATCCATTTTATAATCTTCATGCGAAATTAAAAGATTTTAATTAATCTGATCAGCAGATTTCTCCTTTAATTTTAGGATTCCTCTCGGGGGTCGGTTTAATGGAGAAATTTAATTAAATTAAAAATGGAGTTTTTCGTTCTCTGACGCATTGCCTCGTGGTGTCTCAATTTCTGTTGATTTTAAATCTTTTGGCATGTACGTTGGTGTCTTATTAATTCCTCAATACGTAAATATCTACGTAGGGAATTAGGATTATCCGACGTCTACAGAATTTTGCGCAGAGATTTTCCTGCTCGTGAATGTACAATGGGAATTTATAAAAGTCCGTAATAGCATTCATGAAAAATTGAATTTTCAGAAGATTTTATGTCCTTTTGTCAGGCACAAGGCACCACTAGACTTAAAAAAATATGAATTAGTAATACTCACTATGCCCAATCGAAAGACATCAATATCCCATTAAAATCAAATTTTTATGAATGAAAACACGGATCAGCCTACAATTCTGGTCCCAAAAAACTTTTCGTATTCTCACATCGCGATTTTGCATTTGAAATTTATAAATTCAAATGCAGCAACACGCGGATTACGGCAATAATTTCTCTAGAACAATTCCATTCAAAAAAACTTATTCCTATTACTCACCAGCTAGTCAATGGAGACTAGAAAAAACTCAAGAAAATATTCCAACATCACAAAAAAAATAAAAAAACAAAACCACAATAGAAAAAAGGTAGCCCAATCCAACTCGACTAATTTCTCCCCAAAAATCCTCGTATATCTCCGAAACCACAGGAGATATCGAATTTTTCGAAATAACCTTTTCCGTAGCTACGAACCAGCTCGAAAAAAATGGTCCTATCAAAAATATTGCTATCTCCCTCGGATTCCGAGATTTCAATCGAAAACTGGGCACTTCTAAAAATCGAGTAAAACAGGTTCATTAGCGCATTTTTTTTGAAGAGACCCATGTCGATGCCTGCGATTATTGAGTAGCGAAATGTCGAGGGACATTCGCGTGATTTTGAAATTTGTGTCGGAGCAACCGCTCCTGAAAGCCCTGAGACAAGTGTACACCTCCACTTTCCCCCTGTTTGGGAACGTTTGACCGCTACCGTCAGAGAGTTTTTGTTCGTCGTGCCAAGTGGTTCTCAAGTGCCATCCAAGTGCTATCCAAGTGCTATCCAAGTGCAGCATCCCCCTGAGGCAGTGTCCAAACAATTACAATACCCAAACAGCTGATCCAAGACAGTGGGACAAGACATAAAAAAAAAATCAGATTAACGCTATCATTTGCAAAGGGTTCATGGACATCAAGGAATAGTGTGTGGGGTTTAACAATTGGTCTCGGTTGCACCGTTAAGAAACTCGGAGTAATAATTGAAGGGGGAATGCTGGGGGAAGACTGGGGGAATGCTGGGGGAACGCCGAGGAAAGGCTGAGGGAAGGCTGAAGAGTGAGGCAACGACCCCTCAGTGGCTGCCTGCCAATCATCGAAAACCCCTCATGATCGGTCAGTCCAGTTGCTGATAAGACCCCACGAGGGTGACAGTTGTGGTAGGCGTTGCAAATAAAAACAAAACAAACGGAAAATATGGAGCTTTCATTGGCTTGGATGTATCGATGGGACGAGCACTATTTTTCATTGTAAAAGAAAATAACTGTCGGATGGTTTTATCGAATCGAGTTCAGTTGCAAGTGGTTATTGACAGTGGACTCAGTTAGGTGAGACCACTGTCCTCATGTTCCTGCTATTATTGTTTTTTTTTCATTTTTAGAAAAATTATTTAATCCGCATGGACTAGGTGCTATCAATCACCGAACAATTACTCCTGCGAGTATTGAACATGTGTTTTTGAGGATTTTTATGAATTTTTTAAACACTCATTTTATACTGAGTCAGTGGAGAAGTTCGATGAAGTGATTTTTATTGTTGAGGCTTTCATTGTATCGCAACATGACTGGACTCATTGAGATATTTTTGTTCTGCGGTGTTCTCTACTACTTCTATAATACAAGGTATGATTTTATCTGGTTTTTTATTTTTTTTTTTTAGTTGGGGAGAGAAACCTCCGGGTTTTAACTTGATATCAATCGTGGCTCGTCCTCACCTGATACTGATGGATTTCAGGGGGTAGAGGATGACGAGGAACTATTGGTTAATCAATCGTTGGGGGATTTATTTTTTTGAAACGCAAAACCCCGGATATTTGATTACTCGGTTGACTTTAATCCATTTCTGGGGACTGCACGTTTTACAAGTGTTACGGATGATCGATTCAATTTATTTGATGATTCGCATGACGATTCGGGATTTGCAATCGTCAGGCATGACGAAATTCAGGTGGAAGTGTCATTCATTAAATTCCACGGGTGAATTAATAATCTGCGGAATTTCAAATGACGTTTTATAGGAAACAACTTTATTTCCTTTTTTTTTCATTTCGAACTGATATAAACCGCCTGACCTCGCAAAAAACTTTTGATATCTTTGATTTTTCAAAGTTGACATTTTTTATAACAAAGTCTTTGCGAAATGCTCGATAGCGAAGGTCAAAGATGCTTGAAATCTCAATGTTTAATCAAACATCCGTTATTCATAAATATAAACAAAGGAAACAATTAACATAAAACCCTCAAACTATTGAACAAATAACGTGATTGACAGAATTAATTCCATCAAAATATTTCGAAATCAATAATTATTTGCCAATTCTGCATAAAAAAATAATTCAATATCCCCAACAATATTAAATAATATTTCAAGTAACAATGAGTTTTTTCATACTCTCAATCTCAACTAAATTAATCAATTATTATTATAACTCGATAATTTTATTACGCTCCTCCCATAAATTTTTTCATTAAAATCATTAATAAAATTCATTTTTTAATTAGTTTAAACGAAAAATTAAAGGGATTTTTTAATTAAAATTCAAACTTTTCATAATTAATCGGATAATTCACTCCAAAAAATTTTCTATGGATAAACGAACCCGACTCGTCCTGTTTATCTCATCCCAAATGAAGCAAAGTTACAAAAGACAATTGAGGTATTAGTGAGGTATGAACGATGATTGAGTGTAATCAGTCTTTAATTCGGTAAGAATGACTGCCTGTACCGAGACGATATCACGCCATGTACGTGTCTTAAAGCGTGGGGCTAACACGCTGGGTACAAAGACTGCCATTTTAGATAGAAGAAAGAAAAAACGAGAAGACAAAGACATTGAATAATTCGTTTATTCCAACGAGAAATGATAAATTATTATTTTACTGGGACGACGATAACTCCTTTAAGACGCTTCGTCGCGCTTTTATTCCCTGATGAATTGTTTTACAATTTTGCATTTCAGCAGTTAGAGAAACGATAATTAAAACAATGAGCTGGGGAATGACTCATATTTTCGAGCATTTGTTTATGTTCTTGAGGCATATCGTGCTCTTTATGACACTATTACCTTTGATCTCTACGTTGCCTATTGCATAATTCAATTTCCGTTGGTTTTCGGCTTTCAGAGGCAGTAATATGGTAGATGTCCTGTCCACTCGACTTCAGGAAGTCTATGCCAAGTGGGAGGCACGCACAGACGTCCAGAGGGACACGGATGACAGCCTATCAAGACTCTCATTGGATGGTAATAGAGTAAACCGATGAATTAAATTAATCCACTGATTCGAGCTCCAGTCATTCGTAAATATCTCGAGATCTAGAGGAGATACCCAAATTTTTGTTTACCCTTTTTGGTAGCCCTTACTCTCCTCCCCAAGAAAGATATCTACAAGAATTTTCCCAACAGCTGTAGATTTCGAGATAATTCCCGAAAACTGATAGCGAATGTGGACTTGTCCCTGGATCGCCGCAGTGGACCCATCCGATTAGACATTTCAATCTTTCGTAAATATCTCCGGATCTAGCGGAGATAGCGAAATTTTCGTTGAACATTTTTTATAGCTCTCGCTCTTCCCTCCAAGAAAGATATCCGCAATAATTTTCCTATCTCCCCTAGATTCCGAGATATCATTCATAAACTGATGACGCAGATAGTCTTATCCTAGTGGACTTCACTCCTCGATAATTTTTCTCGTAAAATCGATGTACATTTTGTAAATGAATAATTTTTCTACCAAAACTAGGCTTGAGACGAGCTGGCACCCAGAACCAAAGAAAGCGCCTCCAGATTCGCGAGCAGGCTCGTAAAATTCGTTCGAATTCACTCGTCAAAATAAAAGAGACTGAACTACTAATCCCCACAATATCAAAAACCACAACGATAGCATATCAATGCTGTACAACATGCACACTTGGATCACGAGTAAGTACCTTCCCCCTCTCACAGGTATTCAGACCATGCAGTTTATTTACGTGTGGGTGACTTTTCACCCAAATACCCCGGTATCATTTATTCTTCGTTATTTTCTAAAAATAAACTATCGTACGATTCATCAACATACGCGCTCACCAACTGGCGCTCGTGAGTCGTCTCTCGATGCAAGTTGCGTAATAATCATGCATTAAACTGAATAATCGAGGATAAATTGTATTTACTTCGTCACAACTTGGTCGTCTAAGTTTTCAATGTTATGAGCATTCGAGACAATTATCACTCGGCAATTATTACAGTTTGACTATCGTGTCGTGTACAAAGTCCTTACGTAATCAAAAAAAACATACGGTTGAAAATCAGATTGAGATAACGGGGATCATATCCGAGGAAACTTGAAGAGCATCAAGATTAACGTTTGAACTTTAATCCAAGTAGAAAAGATGGATTGGGGAGAAATGATACGACCGAAGAATTCCCGAGATTGCTGAGATTTTTGATGATATTTTTTTCTGTGATTATTTTAAAATGCATGATAACGAGGGTTTTCTTCGAAAATGGATGAAAATCGTTGTGATACGGGGGTATTTGGAAAAAGTGAGTGCATAATGACATGTTATCAGTTAAAATACTCTCCTTTGTTATTCTACTCGGTGTTTAGCTGAGACGCTTTCACTCGCTTTCACTGGCTTTCAATTGTATATGGGGAAAGACCGAGTGAGCTTTACAAAAAAAATTAAATCATCGATCGTTGATGATTGTCTAGTGAATTCAAACGCCAAGTGATAAGGGGTAATGAAGTCGGCGACTTTGCTCCTCCAGTTTTTGAGCAATGATTATGAAACCGATGACTATAGCGAAATTTTGCTCGGGACCTTTTTTGTAGATCGGGATAAGAGCTACAAAAAACGTCCTCACGAAAATCCGCTATGTCTCTTCGATTCCGCGAAAACTTGGGTATTCCCGAAATCCAATTGTCGGCCTGTTCTCTTCACTTCTGAATTTTTGATGGAACAATACAAAGTTTTTGAGAAATATCTCTAAATCAAAGGGAGTTACCGAAATTTTAGTAAATACCATTTCTGCAGCGTTGATTACACTCTTACTATATTATTGAATCCTTCATTGATTACTGTCTAAAGGACTCATTCGCCAGTATCGCAACAAAGCAATTGCAGTCAAGCGGAAGGAACATGCTCCTGATTGACCCGGGGCCATCTCTCTTCTCCAAGATCTTCAATGACATATCTTTCATCTACAATATCAAGAAATACGAGTATCCCAGGGTCACCCAGACAGTGAGTCCATTAGAACGCGTGTCATTTTTGATAACCCCGCGACCAAAAAACAAATTTTTAGCGCGTGCTTATCACATCCGATTTATTATCTCCCGAGTTCATAAAGTTTTCCTCACTGATTTGAAAACATTGTTCAGGTCCTGAATGACGAGAGATTGAAAGAAGCGATTCACCTGACAGCAGCTGAAGCGAGTGAGGAGCATGGAGTCCCTGAGAGAGAGGCCCTCCAGGATGCCGAAAAACGTGCGAGAGAAATTCTAAATCGCATGGAGAGCACAATAAGTGACACTCTTCTTCGAATAACAGCCTGGGTGCTGTACAAGCTCATTCCGTTTTTCATAAAATCACTGGTGATCCAACAATCGCAAGTAGAAATGCTGCAGAAAGCAGACAGCACAGGATTGCCCCTGGTTATCATCCCCCTCCACAGGAGTCACCTGGATTACATAATGATGACCCTCTTCACGTACACCAATAACATCAGGAGTTGCTTGATAGCAGCTGGTGACAACCTGAGGATTCCTTTCTTTGGGAGAATTCTCAATGGTCTCGGTGCTTACTACATCAAGAGGAGGATCGATCCAGTTCTGGGGAAGAAGGATATCCTATATCGTGCCACACTCCAGACTTATGTGATGGAGAGTCTTCGAGCTGGACACAACGCTGAATTCTTCATCGAGGGGGGCAGAACGAGAACTGGAAAGCCATGTTTACCGAAGGCGGGGATACTCAGCATCATCGTCGAGGCGTATCTCGATGGGACAATCGAGGACGCCCTGGTGGTGCCAGCCTCGGTGAATTACGAACGTCTGGCTGATGGGAATTTTATCAGGGAGCAACTCGGCCAGCCCAAGAAGATGGAGAGCTTTGGCAACGCCATTCGGGCTATCTGGTCCACCATTCGGGGAAATTATGGCATTGTCAAGTTGAATTTCTGCGAGCCATTCTCACTCAAGGAGATGATCAGGTCTATTGAGCTCCAGCTAGCCAAGCAAGCGGGCTCTACTGGGAAACCTGTGGAGAAGGTCCTCAGGAATACCATGTCCACTTCTTCTTTGTTTGGGACTGATGTCATGGATGATGAGCACAGGCAGCTCGTCGAGTTTATAGGGCGTCATATAGTTTATGATGGAGGAAAAGCCACTCCTATCATGTCGACGAATCTTGTGGCGTTTATTCTCTTAAATAAGTACCGAGACGGTTGCACGTTGGACGAGCTGGTGGATATCTTCACGTCCTTGAGGCGCGAGTTGGAGGCTGCAAACAAGGATCTTGCCTTCTGTGGTGAGAGTTTAGATATAATAAATCACGCATTGGCAATTCTGGGTCCTGGCCTGGTGAAACAGCAGCGACAGGAGGTGACGAGGAAGCTCGAGGGCCAGCCGGTGAAGAAGGAGTTCGTTACGGTAATAAATCCAATCTCTATTCTTCCAAATGTCATTGAGCTGGCGTACTACAGTAATGGAATGATGAGCCACTTTATTATGGAAAGTATCGTGGTGTCCGCGCTGTATGCCACCTTGAAGACCGAGATAAACGATCCAAAGGCCATCGCAGAGAATGACTTAACAGTATTCCAGAGTAGTCTCATTGAGAAATCACTCAAGCTCTGTGATATCCTCAAGTACGAGTTCATTTATTGTCAACCCTGTCAGGACCTGGAGGCAACGATTATCGATACAATTCAATATCTGATACACACTGGAATTATCAGACACTGCGAGGAGGGTCTTCTTGAGGAGGAGCAGTGGAGTAGAAGGTTCGCTAGAACTTTCGATGACAGCTCCGATGAAGAGGCTGCTGCTGTTTTTGCAAGTAGAAAAATCAGGTACAAACTCAATTTGGAGGCGGAATCGTCCAGGAGGATGGAGTTCCTTCACACCGTCCTCAGACCGCTCATTGATACTTATACATTCAGTGCCTTCACGTTGAAGAAAATTGTGGGGAGATCCCTCACTGAGAGGGACCTCGTGCAAGAGATTTTCGTTGAGATTAAGACTAATCTTGATAGGGGTATTGTTAATTATGGTGAGTTTACCAGTATTTTTTTTTTCGATTTCATTAACCCGAGGGAATATTATGGATGGATTTTATTTTTCATGTAATTTGAAATTTAGAAATAGACTAATAGCAGATTATTTTAATTTCATTTTCTTGTTTCAGGGGAAAGTTTAAGTGTAGATACAATAAAAAATGCTATAAAAACGTTTGAAAAGTGGAACGTGCTGGAGTGCCATCCACATGAGAACACGAAACTTTATTACCTCAGGGATGAGTACGACAATGATGCAGCGACGAATGAGGTCTTCGAGATCATCGATACATTCAAATGGACGAGAAACGTCAATTGAAGAGTTTCACCCGTTCACATACATTAAAACGTGTAAATATTGATAATAAGTGTTAAGAATAATAGCGATTGAAGAGAAGACCGAACGTGCCAAATGAAAGCTGTCCATTAGGTTTTTATATCCAAAAAGTTGTGGAAATTATTTTGAATATTTTGAAATTTAGAATTTATTTAGTTTAATAGCTGAATTTGGATGGAAATAATTTTTGTTATGATTGAATGGATGTAGGTTAATTTGGAAATGATGAGGGAGATTAAAGTGTTATTTCATTAATTCGGTTCGTAATTAATCATTATTTTTTCACAGTACGATTTATCCAAAAACATCACTTTCTCACCTCTGCTAATTTATTATTCATTATTATTATTATTACCGATGCTTTTGATTTTTTAAGAAAGGGATCAAATCAGAAAAATCATTTATTTAATTAATTTTGAATTTCTAGTTTGAGTAATATTCAGTATTTTACTGTTTTTACTATTGGATAACTACGACGCATTCCCATACATTTTTCTCGATCAATGAAGACCGCGTCGGCCTTGGACTTCAGGTCTGTCTCGAGATTAGCTCGAGTTCGCAGTAATTGCTGGTGTTGAGCCTCACACTCCTGGAGTTTTGAATGGAGAACGTCAATCAGAGCTTTAATTGTTTCAGCTTCTTGGACGATCCTCTGGTGTGCGTAATCGCAGCAGAGCTCGGACTCTGGACGATGACTCCTCGCCTCCAGACGAGTATGCGCCACTTTTAGAGCAGCTGATTTATCAGATATACCTTTTTTTATCAACTCTAAATTTTTCTCGATGCCGAAGATGTCCTTTTGAATCTGAAATCAAAGAAAATTTCACTGAATTTAATCGTTCTTTTATCAAAGGTCGACGATTTCAGGGATTACGTTATGCAAGTGACATTGAATTTTCTGTTTCGCTAATAATGTCTCTGTGATTCTCCTGGACAGTGCGTTGTTGGTGCAGCTCCACGCCTCCCAGATTTTCTGTGCAACAGTATTTATTGTCGAGTCGATTTCACTCTGCAGTCGTTGAGATGTTTCTCGACATTTCTGCGATCTTTTCACGGTATCGTGGGATGCCTGAGCCCAGGACTCAGCATCTGTTGTGCTATAGAAAATCAACTTTATTTTATTTTTTTTTAATCCATTTATATCAATAAATATTATTTCACCCAATTTTTGATTTTCGCAACGCTGCGAGCCTGATCTCAATTGATTAATTAATTAATCTGTTATAAATGCTTATAAAAATAGTCGGGATACTTTTCCTCCTCTAATTACCAGTTGACGTATTTTTCAATGCCACCATAGTACTGCAGGCCATTGCTGAAGTTGTTCAGCTGTTTGCACATCGTGTCAATGCCCAGGGCTGTATTTTTGTTGCTTATGTCCAGCTCCAGATCGTGTTGAGCAGCTCTTCCTCTTGTCAACTGGAAATATCGAGTCAATTATCTTATCGAAGCAGAAAGACCCGGGGAGAAATTACCTGATTCACCGATTCTTTAACGAATTGTTCAAGTTTTTTGAGACAATTCCTGAGATGTTCAATTTCCCTGAGGAGAGCTTGCTCCGGCTCGTCATGAACCAATTCATTGCCTAGGAAATAATTATTCAATTAGTAATCAGTAATTAATTATTATATATATATTAACTGGTGATTGCTGAATTATTGAAGACCTTGTCGAGTCTCTCGATGGTACAGGCACTCCTGGGCGATGTGGATGGGCGCCTCCAGGTCCTGGATGGCCTTCTGCAGGGATCTCTTGCACTCCTGCATCTTTCCATTCTCAATAATTATTCTCTCGAGCTCCATCCCGAGCTCTCCTTCCCAGAAGTTGATATCCGTGATCCTTTCACCAAGTTTTCTGCCCGCATCGTCCTGTCCCACCCGCACCTTCTCATCCGCCTCCCTCATGATCCTCACAGCTGAGTCTCTCAGCTCATCTGAATGAAGATGATTCGCATTGACTTCGTTACCAAGTCTTATCTGATTCTGGCTCCAGTCGCAGGGGGTGTACCTCGTGTAAAGAGCAGCTCGAGCTGCGTGAGAGGGATTTCTATCGAAACCGGTTACCAAGTTGGGAAACCTCAGGGGTTTCGTCGTCATCCCCTGGGGGGTGTAACAGGGGTCCACGTGGTTGTTGGTTATTGGTTGGGAGTGACTGAAAAAGACATTGGGAAATTATAATAATAATGGAAAATTATTGCTCTGACGGATTTTGAAGGTTTCTCACAGAGGCGAGAGCTCCACAGTCTCATATCCCAACGTCGGTCTCCAGGGGTGAGGTCTTGGAGTTTTGTAGTGCTCTCCTACCCTCACAGGAGCTGGAATACCAGAAATTTTCTCCATGCATGGAGAAACATTGACTGAACTCCACGGTTGCAGTTGCTAAAACCAGAAAAATTCAGACCAAGCTCAAGAAGTATTGGTATTTATTTAAAAGTTGATGCGAAATGTCCAGGAATTTGAACTCACGGTGTACATCACCGTGGACGTCTGCATTTTGAAAAAATTCTCACGAAAAACCCCAAAGAACCTGCAAAACTCCCAGTAAAACAAATCAGCCTGAAGCTAACCCCATTTGAAAACCGGAAGCTGCTTGTGAGCCAGGTGGGAGAGGATCACGTGACTCGTCATATGACAGACGGGGTTGGTCAGGCGCGTGAGGGACTTGGTTGATCTCCGAAATCCGTGAGTTTGTCCATCAAATTCAGTGAAAAATTCCACGATAAGCCCACGACGATGAGGAACCCACGATATTTGATAACCTGGGTGTTGATTTTCTTCACGAGTGCACCAATTCTGTCAATCCTCGGTGGAGATGCTGTGCCTGTGTTAATCTGGGGTGGTGATACCTCGGAATCAGGTCCAAGCCCAGTCAATCCACTCGGGAAAACTTCACAGGCAGATTTTGAGAAGATTGTGTCGAAGAAGGTGGATGGATCCCAGCCACCTCTCCTCGTCTTCATGAGGGATAATTTATGTGTCGAGGACTTTGTCCAGCACCGAAAGGTTAGATATCCAGGTTCAATAATTATCGGCACCATTCCAAAACTTTCAAATTCATCCACTGTGTCAAAACACTTTATCCCCAAACGTCAAAATCCACACGTAGTAATTTGTCCTGTCAGTACTCGATAAATGCTCCAATGACTGGTAAATGTGATGTAATGAAATGAGTTGATTTGTTGAATTTATCCACCAGGATTTGGTGCAGCTGAAGAACGTGGGCTCCCTGCAGTATTTTCCAGCAGTGGATTCCCCATTGTCGGTCTTCGAGACTCTCTCGATGTACAATCAATCTGTCGAGGAGTTCGATACTGTTCTTGAGGGGCAACTCATCTTCACGAAGGCCACTGATCTCGATGCAATCGCTGGGACATTCAATATGATAAAAGAGTCGAGTCCCAATCTCATCGGGGTCCTCACTGGTGGATCCTGCAGTTACAGTCGTTCGGAGCGTGTCAGGAGGGCTGTCGAGGTCAAGGCTGACAATACAACCGAATTCCTCATCGCTAGGAATGAGTCCAGGCTGCTTGCTTATGCTGATCGAGCAACTTTCCGAAATGTGAGATAGTTCAAAATCTTTTGTGAAGTGATAAGTGTATTTTTTTGCAATTTTTTATATACATATATGATATATATATGATAAAAATAATTGTTTCGGTATAATAAACTCATCTTTGATTTCAGGGAGCTGACGGGAAAATAATAACTCTGGGTCGTCCAACAACAGTGGAAACAACAGGCAACACCTCCCTGGGTGAGCCAATTCGTGTGAACGCTATGTTCCAAGACGAAGAATCAGTGAAAACTAATCTCATATTCGAAATGATTCGTTCGACCTCCGGTTATTGGTCGATGAAAAAAATCGAGATGCTGAATGAGAACAAGTCAACTGTGGAACTGAAAACTAAGACTGAAATTGTCTTCCCAAAGGACTTCTCCTTCCACTGCAGTCCCATCATTCGATTCATCAATTCAACCGAGAAGGTCTCCCTGAATTTCACAAATTTCCAGATTCAAATGGACGCCAAGAACTTCACTGATAACACATACGACTGCGTTGGCTTCACGTCGATCCCCATCTGGTCAGGAATATTCGTCACCTTCATCCTGGCGATGATAATGATCTGGGGAATATCCATGATCCTAGACATCCGTACCATGGACAGATTCGATGACTCAAAAGGCAAGACCATCACAGTCTCCGCCCAAGAGTGAGAGTTTATTTAATAAATTTGTTCATAAAGAATATATAATTTTCATGTAAATATACACATAAGTCTTGTATATTTCGAGACCTGTTGATTGTTCTCTCAGTATTTATGGTAAAAAAGCAATACTTATTGTTAGTAATCCCTTCAGTGTGATTTTTATTTTAAGAATGAATATCGAAAGAGAGGAACGCACACTCATTCCATTTTTTTTTTTTTCGGAATTTAGAATACTTTTTTTCCATTGAATCCACGAGGGATGTAATATGTTTGATGAGTAATTGTCCAGAATAATTGTCACGGTTGTAAACAGGTTCACAGTTAGTTGAAAAGACGTATCTCTAGCTTTAAATGTATCGATGAGAGAATTACAATATCATTAATCGCAGTGGATGTGCTCCATCTGCGGGGTAACTGAAAATTTTGTCACGATTATGAAAATATGTAATTGAAAATAAAAGTTACTGAAGTAAAAAGATGTAAGAGGATATCTTAGTCTGGAAGTTATGGACTACACGCAGGTATCTCTGCCCCATGGATAACGATAAATGCCATGGAAAGTGGAGGTAGAGTTATAATCTGTGAGGGATCAATTATCACTGGGGTAAAAGGGGGTAGAGATCCATCGGGTTTCAGCTTCAGGATTCCTCCATTCAGTCTTATCTCACTAGAAAAGAACAATTATTTTAAAATATCAATTGACTAATTGATAAATTCTAAATGGCTGAATCTAATTTTCACCTTGATTTTAAAAAGTCCCCCGTTAGAATATACAGAAGTACTTTGGCATTTTTCCTTATCCAGTTTCCCTGGATGGAGATTCGAGCTTTGTGGACATCCAAATTAACTCCGTAAATCGTGACAGCGGGTACTCCACTGATGAGAGAAGTTTCAGGGGTGCAGTGGGCGTATAATCTCAAGGTTCCACTGTTATTGGCGCTCTCCAGGTGGAGGACGTTCTCGGAGACTAGTTTCTTGTAGAGCACACTGACCCACCAGTCAGGATTTGGAACTAAGTCCTTTCCCACCATCGCGTAATTTCCTCCAAAGAGCGTCTGTCGAATGACGACATTCACTCCAGCACTAGCGGAGTAGCCAAGCTTGTCCAGCCACAGAAATCCTGCTACATATCTGTCAGATAACTCTGGGGCACCACCTCCATAGGCAGTACTAGTTTCTGCTGAATAAAATTATTGACAGTTTTTTAATTTTTGTTTAAATCGATGAAATTCATTCGCATGATAATTTATGGAAAACTTACACAGCCACATTTTAATATCTCTACCAGAAATATTGATTGCCCGTTGAAACGCATTGATCTCAGCAGGAAGACGATTGAATACCGCTGGATCAATAAAATCCATGACTTTGGCTTCACGACCGTTTAAATAATATTGATGCCAAGTTACGAAATCCACGCTGTGCCCATCGTTAACCAGAAATGCTGAGGCATAATTGACTCCTTTGTCATCAGGGTCCCCGATGTGATTCGTTTCAGGCCCAACTAGAATACTGGCCTCATACCCGAGGGAGTTGAGAAGATTCCTCAGGTGGAAATGATCCTTTCCCAATTGATCGGGGGGGATAATCCGATCGAAAACGTGGTGGAATGAGTTCGGTTCTAAAAAATCCAAAATGAACCCAAATTTTTGGTAAATTAAATTTTCAACGCAAAACATCGTAGAAAATTTCTCTATAAAATCACGAGATTTTTTAATTTAAATTTCCGGCCTGTAGTAAAAATCAAAGATAATTTCTTTCAAATCCCATGGCCACTTTTCAAATAGTTATATAATTATGTCAACGCGCTAGTTAAATAATTTTGTTTCAATTAAAAAAATCTCACCATTGCCAAGTTGCCAGTCAATTTTCATTTCCCGTCCCTTAGAAAAAGCGATGAGTTTCTTAGCATTCGAGTCATCCCATTGATTGTAAGGAGTTCGAATGAGCACATTGAGATCAAACAGCATTCGCAATCCAGCTCTGCTCGTAAAATCGTAGATCGATATGTAATCAGTGTCAGTCAGTGTGAAATTACTGATATCCTCTCCATCGACTGGATTTCTCCTCATATTCCCCTCAACGGTTTCATTAAAGATAAGACAATCAGCAGAAGTGCCACCGATCCTGACGAACGCGGGGCTCAGATGTCGAGCCAAATTGACGAGTCTCTCGTCGTTGATGGGGAGTTTCTTCATATCCCTGAGGAGAGATGAGTCCAGCCCGAATGACAGGAATCTCGGGGAGGTTTTGTGGATGACTTCTCTTGAGGCGTCTAGGAGTACAACGTAACTCTTCCCCGAACGGTGGAAACTCACGTTCCAGACGGCTATGACGAAGAGAGCCATGAAGAAACCCACGATCACTGATGTACAGATCGACCTGCAGACGTTTCCTGGAAAACAATGCCTCAATATTTTATACCACTTGGTAATTACAAATATTTATATTTCCCAGCGATTTCTGATAATCTCAATTAAAAATTCATACATATTTATTTTAGAATAATTATTTATTCTTGGAGATGAAATCTTACAGTTCAAATCAGGTCCTCAAAACCCCCGCCAAAACACCGGGGATTCACCACGACGGTGAAAGAATTATTTACACCTGAAATGTGTTTTAATCTCCAAAAAAATAATTATATTCAGGTTTAGCCTTGAAAAACAGATGATCCTTCCCCATGTGGGGTAGAGTGATCTCTTTTCCACGGCGTAATTTTGACATAATTACGAGAAATATGAAAATGTTAGTTTTCAGGCGTGAGTCTGAAAAACCAATGACTCCGATAATATCGATCATTACCATTCGGCTTCTCTATATTCTGGTACTGCTGTCTCGGCCAAAAATTCGTCTCAAAGTAGGACATGATTTTGTCAGTTTAATTGAAGAGGATGTGTCAAACTGAAGGACAAGTATCGGTGTCGTCTTTGCCGGCGTACGCATGCGCGGGGAATGACGATGAAACGATGAAAATTCATTGGTGGAACGAGAACGACATAAACAAAACAGCGCGACAACTCAATCGAGCAACACTCATTGAAACCCCCGATAAACAGCTGATAATGAGCAAAAACACAAGTGGGTGGCATAATTATCATCTTCGTTATTCATCCATTGAAGACAAAAGAGTTCATTTCGAAAATAGGTAATCAAGCCTATGATTATTTTTAATCTCACAATTCCTATATCGTAATATTGAAAATTCTCCTTCTCTCGCATAATCGTCGATTGATAAATAATCAGTCTCAGTGTGAAATTACGCTGGGATACTCCCAACTGCAATCCTAATTTTTGTGTGTACTTCTCAGACTGATTAATCGGTAATTAATCCATAATTTATCGTCACAATAATTATCACGCGGGTGGCTAAAATGGACAAATAAAAGAATGAAGGGATAGAGGAGTAAAGGAATGTTGAAAGACAAATACTTATTACTCTTTTCTCAAGTTATTTTTATTGCAATTCTTTATATACATCCATTATTTCCGTTGGAATTTCAATCTGAGTTTCTTAAGTGGACTTTTCACCGAGATTTTCCCCCGATTAGGCAAATTATTGTGCTTGGAAGATTTGGAATTTGTGGGAATCTCTTCTGGATTGGTTTCCCTCCTCTTCCTCCTTCTGCGTCTTACTCTAGACGACGATTCACTGGAGCTGGAGACTTGGGGAATCCTGGAACCACTTCTGTATCTCTGATTCCTATACGAAACACTCCGCCTCCTCTTACGTTTGAGTCGTGAATTCGACTCAATGGAGCTCAGCTCGTCTTCAGCCCAGAACTGGTCCCCTTCCTCAGAAATTTTCAATGGAGAATTGACCTTTCGATGAAAGTACGCCGAAATAATTTCAAATCTGACAATTCAGTTGATAATCTCGAGGGAATTATCGTATAATCTTTATTGAATTAACTGTATCTCACAAAATACTCGGGGAAGCTCCCAAGAGGCTGAGAAGACACACTGCCCTCGTCTTCAGCTACTGAAAATCCCAACGAGTCTCTCCACCGACAGCTCATCCTCAAATTTCCTCGATGAACTATTTCTCACAATATTTTACCCAAAAGAAAATTAATAACTTGATAATTTTATAACTCATACCTAAACGCGTCACTCAGTGTCCGCCATTTTTCAATAAAAAAAAAACAATAGAAAATAATGAAGGCGCATTATCTTGACGTCTGAATGAATCGAATGAATCTGTACAACGCGATGGGAGATTTGAACTTCATCTAATCGTTCTCCGATTTTCTTCGTTTCTTCATTCTTGGGCTCTCGGTGTCGAGGGGACTTGGTGTCACTAGACTTCTTTTTCGTTTTATTAAACTGCTTTCACTGGTCTCACTGCTGCTGCTCGTAGCTGTTCGAGTCTCTCGTCTGAAAGCTCCCTCGCCAGTCGCCTCCACCAGAATCTGCATGCTCTGAAGACACTCCTCTTGCATAGACACTGCCATTTTATAAACAAAGCTATCCGATTTATTATACATAATGGCATTCTGGAACATGAGCATGACATCCCTCTGGAATTGCATATTAGTCCTGATGGTTCCATTATCGATATTTTTTTTAATAGTGGACAAGTCCATGGGCCTGAAAACCACAGAGTGGTATCCTGGTGCCTGATCCTCCGTAATTGGCCTCAGAAACAGAGAGGCGTACTTGTGAGTTGCCAAACGACTGTAATGAAGGAGAATCGATTTTTTCCATATCTTGTACTCGGCGGTGTCACTGGTCTCAGTCTCAGGTTCGCTATCGACGACAGCATTTTGCTTCTTGGAGTACGTCTTGATCGCTCTGCCTGCTGGTAGTTTAGCCATGGAGGACTCCTCCTCCTCGACATCAGTGTCATCAGCAGCACTGGCATTCTCCTCCTTCTTACCCTCCGCGTCTTCCTTCTTGACCTCATCTCCCTGCTTCTGCTCCGCCTCCTCAGGCTTCACCTCATTCTCAGGCTTCTCTGTACAATCCTCCACGGGTTCCTCCTTGACGCAGTGCTCAGGCTCTGGTTTCTGCTCACTCTCCTCCTTCTCCTCGATCTTCACCTCGAGCTTGATCTCGTTCTCCTCCTCCACCTCCGCCTCCTTCTCTTTTTTATCCAGAGGTAGTTCCTCGAGTTCATTCGGCAGCACTGAAGCCTCCAGCTCTTCATCGGGATCAGTTTTGGGGAACTTCCTCTCAGGTTCCTTTGCCACGTCATCCTTGAGCTCCTGAGTCTTCTCATCCCCAGCCTCAGGGGATTTGGAGCTCTCTTGAGATCCTTTCGGCCCGTCTTTTTCCTTGAGTTCATTCACGTCGTCAGTGGAGGTTGAAGTTGTATCAGAATCTTTGACGTTTAATTTTTCCCCAGAGTCCTGAGTCTCCGATGATTTCTCTGCCTGTTCAATTTTCTCCGGCTTCTCAGACTTCTCAGATTTCTCGATCTTTTCAGACTTTTCGGGTACCTCAGATTTCTCTGTCTTTTCAGACTTCTCCGATTTCTCCAACTTCTCCGACTTCTCAGTCTTCTCAATCTTTTCAGCCTTCTCAATCGTCTCAGGCTGCTCTGACTTTCCAGACTTCTCAGACACCGCAGACTCCTCTTCTCCTGGAGTATCAACAACAGAAAGAACTTTCTCCTCAGATTCTTTAGAAGACTCTTCCTTCACTTCTGACTCTTTCTCCCCCTGGTTACCCTCAGGTTCTTTCAGTAGCTCTTCCTTCTCCTCATCTGGCTTTATCCTCTCCACATTCTCACAATCCTCCTCCTTTCCCTTTTCAACCTCATCAACCACCTCCGCTGTCTGTCCGTCCTCCTCAGGTTTCGCAGGATTTTCCACATCAGTTCTCTCCTCCATCTCCTCTGGCTTTTCCTCCACCTCATTCTCCCTCTTCTCCGTCTTCTCCTCAGGATCAGTCTGCAGAGGTTTCCCCTCAGGTTCAGTGCTCTCTCCAGGCTCCTGTACCTCGCCCTTTTCCTCCTCTGCCTCCTTGATTCTCTCCTCATCCTTCTTTTCACTCTTAACATCCTCCTCGTCCTTCCTCTCCTCCTCCCTCACCTCGTCCACCTCCATAATTCCCTCCTCACTTTTTCTCGCGTCCTCAACTACCTCTGGAGCCTTTTCAGGCTCAATGGTAGTCCCAATGATCTCAGCAATGCTCGATGTACTCTGGTCGATCTCACCAATTACCTCACTATGTGGAGATCCAGAGGAAGCAGTCTCCTCCACACTTTTCACACCCTTATCCTCCACCGGATTAGGAAGTGCCTCAATAATTCCAGGCCCCTCAGTCTTTGGGCTCTTGGTTATCTCCTCTTTAATCAACTCCTCGATGTCCCCGATTATCTCATTAATCTCATCTTTATCGATCACCTCGGGGAGTTTGTCCTTACCAATGACATCATCGATGTGATCAATAATTTGGACCATAGAATCATTCACTGGAATACCAGCGGCTGGAATTGGACTTGCATGATTCGTCACTTTACTCCTCGAGGGATCAACTGAGTTCTGTGTACCTTGGAGATTGGTGATATTCCTTGGGAGATTCGAGGGCAACTCCAGGAGCATGGAAAGCGTGGGTGCCCCAGCAGAGGGTCGTTCAGAGACTGACGAGGCAAGGGTAGATGTGATGAAGTGGTGAAGCTGAGGGCCAGCTACTGTGGTAATCTGGGGGGCTGGAGATTTCGTGGTAGCTCCCAAGAGACTGGCAATCGTTGGAGAAGTGGTGGTGGCTGTGGATGGAGGGTTCTGGATCTGAGTGGTGGGACTGGGAGATTTTAAGAGGCTCGTCAGCAGGGGAGAGCGTCCCCCTCGGTTCTTCCTGTCCTCCTCTGTTTCTGGCTGGAGCTCCTGCACATCTGAGCCCTCCGGCACAGCCTCCAGGGTCTTCTTCGAGGCCTGAGGAGTGACAGGTTCACTCTTCTGCTGTCGCTTCGCCAGCCAGGCTGAATGCGCCCTCGCCTTCTGCTCCGCTTCCCTCTCCTCCTGCTCAATTGCCTGCCACATCCTCTGAAGTTTATCATCAGTGATGTTTCCTGATCGCAGGAGATTCACCTCGTGCTTCAGCTGCTGGTACTCGTCTCTTTGGAATGCCAGTATCTGACCCAACTCTGTTATCCTCTCTTGGGTCAGACGACGAACTATTGATTCACCTGTTGTCTCACCACTCTCTCGTTTCTTTCGCTTTGGTGTGTCGGCATTCTCCAAGAGTATTGCATACTGAATTGCACAAGACTTCTGGGAGAACCAGTCCGGAGGACGCAGTGCCTCTTTCTCAGCAAAGGGACGCAAGGATCTTGACACTGATATCCAATTCTGGTCCCCAGATTTCAGGACACTCGACGCCAGGCACAGCTGTTCACGTGTACTCCACGTGTCGCAAGACTCGCGTTTTAATTTCAGTCCTGAGAATTGCAGGTTTTTTGTTAATTTGGGGGCATTGTTTATTTATTTGAATTATGGAAGGTTGGAATTCGAAGGCTAACCTCAAAGATCGTCTTCGATTCCTCTTCAACTTAATGCTTCATTAAAATATCCAAAAATACTCACTATCTTGGACTGAGGCCATCCCTGCAATTCCAATGATTTTCGCAGGCAATGAATGTTACTACTCTGATTTTTTTTCAGGATTATCAGTTCAGGTTGCTCGCGGCAGAATCCAAACAAAACATTGGCACTAGGACAAACAATTAATTTTTCTGGGTGTCGGTAATATAGGGATTGTATTTTCGATAGTTTATTAATAAATTTTATTATTTTCTTGATATTTTAGGAGCATTTAATAAATATTCGCAATATTTGCATTTAATGATAAATATTTGATAGATTTAATTGAAAGGTAATTCTGGCTAGTGGAGGAAAATCGAGGGAATTACTTGGAATTATTTGGAAGGGCAGAATATCTTGAATGAAAAAAAAAAACATATGGTTTCTTATTTCATACTTATTTTTTATTCCTATTCTATATGTTAAATGCTATTTATAAAAGAAAATGAAGTGAAAAATTCACAAATGCTGACAATAATGTAATTACTTAACGTAGTCGCAATGATTTCTATCAGTTACATTACATTTCTTCGTCTTCTCCAACATGCGGGAATTTTCATAACTTCATTATTATCCTACAAGATTTGATTTAATTTTTTTGTACATTTTTTTTCCTAAAATCGAGTCAGGCCGCGTACAAATGACGTTCCGGGTGACTAATTTAGTTTTATCTTCGTTGAGATGTAGTTTAAAAATGTGCAATGCAATTGTGATTTTAATTGTATTTTATTTGTATTCCTAAAATTGGTTTTCTCTTATGACAAGTTTTTGTGGTATATTTCATGGAGACATGAATTGTTTTTTAGTCTTTTTCGCAGTACCCTAGTTTTATTTATTTTTTTTTCTTTCTTTTTCGTTTCAATTTTATTTGTTACTGTTACCACGCACCTTGATAAACCTTACGAGACAAATGTTGACAAATAAACATAATTGTCATATACGTGGGACGAGTTGTCAATAAATTTCGAATATTGATTCTCAATACATTATTTCAAGCCTTTCAGCGCAGCAAGTAAGTAACGTAACGATAATAATCCGGAAGATTTGTTAAAACAGGCCATGAGCAGGACTACGTATGAAATATTTCCTGTAAAAAATATTTAACAGGGATTTCTCGAGAATATCGATACTTTAAACTTTTTTTTAATGTTGAGCTGTCATTCAATTATGAATATTAAAAATAATATGTCAGGAATTTCGCATACGTTCCCCAATGCGAGATAATTCCCCTCCCTCAACCTTCATTAATAATTCAAGCGATTAAAAATAAAAGTACTCGGGTAACTCGTAACGTGCAAAATGGAAGACCAAAAACGTAAAATTCCTACAGAAGAAATAAAATATTCAATTTAAAACGTCACAACTGGTTGACAAGTCACAAAATCAATCGAAAATAATTCCCCACCCCCCAAAAAAGAATAACGAATAAACGGTATCTTCAAAAGTGTTTTGCAACTAATAAAGATTTATTGAAAATCATATAAAACCTTCATTAAAAAATTGATATATCAACATTCTCCAATATTCACAGCCCTACCAGGACTTCACGATCACTCGTATGAATAAAACGAAGAGGGAAATAATTCTAAACTGCAGAGGCAAAGTAGTTAGCAAAAAGATTTCGAGACTGAACGTGAGGAAAATTTCAGAAAGCTCCCAACCAATTTTTTTCTGTTTATCCTTGTCTTTTTCACTGACAACTAATGGCGTTAAGTACATCTTCATAGTATTCTACCCATTTCGTTTTTTTGTCGTTTTAGTATTTTTATGATTTTTTTGTTATTTCATTTCGTTACTTTTGATTCTTACAGAGACTGATCTATGGGACAGTAATGCGGCAAGCGTTAGTGCTAATTGCCTAGGAAAGATAGTTGATTGCCAATACGAGGTATTTTCCTTCCACTGATTAAAGTAAAAAGAGGAAACAGGCTTCGAGTTTACTGCAATGGCTCTATCCATATTTTTTTAGTCCTTTTTTTGGTTTTTGTTAATTTTTTTTTTCTCGTCTTTCTCGTCTTTTTCAGTCAGTTTTTCATCGCGATGAAGGGGTTCTTAACCCGAGTAAATTCCCAGTCTCTAACGAGTCTTGTTCATTACTCTATTTTGAATTAATTCTTTTGATACAGTATGACCCTTCTACGACGATTCACTGGCTATTTCCGATGTCGTACTTACGGATGATTTAAACGAGGGGACGAATTCAGCCGCATTTGGATTTAATGTACTCTAAAAGGAGTAAAACAATTCAAATTAGGAATGTCCCAGTAATCCTTCATTTTTTATTTTAATTTTAATTAATTATTTTCAAACTTACAGATTTAGCAAGCTCTCCATGAACCCTGAGGCTTCCCAACTGCTGGCACAATTCATTCCCACTATTTTCCCCCGAAACCGCATTACACCAAGCAACAGACGTTTGATTCCTCTGGTGCTGCCTCTCCTCCTCCAACATCGCCTCGAGACACTCCTCCATCAGTTCCTCCTCTTCAAGTTGCTCCATAACCTTGAGAAAAATAACAATCGTTTCTTGCAAGTGAGTAAAAATCCAACTCGTTCACAATTACGATTTTTTCACGAATGACAGAGTGGAATTCAACAATTCTGATTTAATTTTGAAGCTCTCTTCTCAAATCGTCGAGACGAAATGAAACTCATAAAATAAAAATTCCTTCGTCATTCTATGAAAAATTTCCAAACGAGAATTCAATTGATGTTATTAATCACCTGTTTATCGAACTCCTCCTCGTTCTCCATCCACATATACTCCGAAAAATCTCCATTCTCCCCCCCAGGAATATCAGGTTCACTCTCTACATTGTCCAGGTACGATATGACCCCACTCTCATGCCCATAATATCCATTACCAGAGCCTCCAGTCGGTATCTTCATCTTCATGCCCAGTAATAACTATTACTACCTGCAATAACGATAAATCTCCAATTACGACACTCATCAATATTATCTTCACAAAACTCACTCCCCGATGACGTTGGCCACCAAAATAATCGGATTGTACTAACAAAAACGTACAATAGCAAGTGAATAGGTCCGGTGGAGTGAGCAAGGGGAAAGTTGGGAGTCAAAAAATTCAGCCTTGGTGGGAATTTACGTCGAGTCACCTTGAGACGATGAATAATAAACTAAAGAAAATAAAGGAGGACCAGGCCATTTGCTTCTATCCCTGATAAACCCGTGCATATGTCTCTCAATTGTTGACAATTTACCTCGAATTTATTGATAAAACTGTTAAATATTAGCACAACTTGACAATTTTGTGACACCCCAACCTCATATCCCATCAGAAAACACTAGACAAATGAATGATCAATTCGTTTTGTGACGAAATCGTTTCGGTTTTATTTTTTTTTTTTATGGAATATTTTTGTCTCGGTACACTCCCACGCGAAGCCTCTGAACTTGTTTTGGGGGGTAGGTAAATGTTGGAGAGAGTTTTTGTGGTTTTTATTCACTAACCTTTGGGAATATGTTGAAATGAACGGTAGATTATTCACTGGATTTGGGAAACTCCTGTTGCAAATTGAGACGTAAAATCAGCGACAATCAGATACCCAACGGGGAAGATCTATCGAGAGAGGCATATAACTTCACGAATACTAATGTAATGTTTTTCTTTCACTTTTGCGTGTGACTGAACGGTGCTGCCACCGTTCTCACATCAGAGCTTCTTCACAGGTTTTTCATGAGCTTTTTTTATGGAATGTTCTCTCAGGGTGAGATTTAACGAAGTTATTTCTGGATTCTCCAGGATTTTTGAGGATCATTTTCGGGGTTCCTGGAGGCAGGTGGAGGTGTTTTTGGACTCGGTGGTGCGGGAGGGATCCAGAAGTCATTTGAATCAGGGATTGTGAAGCTGTGGTGAAGCTTCTGCTGGAATCATTAAATTAAATTCTATGATTAGCGAATCCAAAAACAGACAAAACAGCCAGTCTTCCCGTGAATTGTCTTGAAATAATAATTGATACCTGGAAATTCCCATCTCGAGATGGTAATCACAGGCTTCGACTTTGACTCCTCTTTGTTCTCATTTTATTTTCACTCCGAGCATTAAATATTCCTTGAGAGGGGGAAATCAAAATTATAACTTAACAATTCGAGATAATTCATAATAATAAAGTGAGTAGTTGAACAAAAATTGTTTCATCCTGATCCAATAAGCGATCAGACAGTTTTCTTCAAACCGAATTTTTATATGATATTACGATATATTTGTATAACCCTTTTTTCCAGACAAAGACGAGAGCAGCAAAAGGTATCAATCCATATATCACCGATTACTCCTATTCGATAAATTCAGTTAACTAGTATAAATAAATTGTTGCTTCGTAGGCAACCAAGAAGCAACAGAATTTGACTCTGGTTGTGTGTATTTACGTGTAGATCGTCACGAACGCATGGTGAAGTGTCAGAGAAGCCACGGGATTGGTGGATGTTGTCTTTCGGTTATTCTGACGTTAAAATAACGAGAGTGGGGCTGACAGTGCACTGTTGACGTTTCATCAAAACAAAGCAGCGTCTGGCAATTCATAAGCATTTTATCCCAATAACTCGTGGCAAGTGCATCGTCCGTTGAATTCCGTCTGTGAAACGAATAACTGAAACGTACCCTCGGATCCCCTGGATTACTAGCAACTCAGACAATCGAATTGATAAATCAGTTAGTTTCTGGCTGTTATTTTTTTTTTTGGAGAAAATAAAAAACTAGTGAAGTGTAGATATGTCGTCGAAAGCGAAATTTACGTCGGACGAGAGTCTTGGTGGTGAGTGGCATTAATTTTCATTTATTCAATACCTCTGGCAATTGTTTTAGGGTGAAACAAAGGACTTTCTTGTCACAGCTGTCATTTTATGACCGCCATTTCGCGTGGCACCTCGATTTTACCCGCCTAGACGCCGACGTAAACAAATACTCAACTTTTGCGCCGCAATTGCAACTATTTGTTCGGGTTCTCTGTCGTATGGGTAAATCAATGCGCAGTTGACATCGAGCTGAAATTACGATGTGTTAATTGATTCGAGGGTAAATGCAAGAATTTTTTACAGGGGCGAGGAAAAAAGAGTGGTATGTTTTGCTCTGGACACGGGAAAAATTGCAATCTTCCTTCTGATTTTTTGAGGGGAAAATTGAGGCAATGCGATTTTCCATTCAAACAAAAAATGACTATTTTTCATGTTTGATTTGTGACATATATTGACATATATTGACCATTTGTTTTGCGGTTTGAAGATATTTTGAGAGGATAATTAAAATGGGATGAGATAAGTTATGGGGAAGGGATTTGCTGTTCTGGAATGTCGAGTGAGATTGATAAAATGCGACACATGTCCAAAATAAAATAAAATCTCGCTCACAGTATTTTTTGTGGCAGCACAGTAATACAAATCCAATTTCACGATTGGTTAGCGATTATTATCGTATGCCATGATTATTTTATTACCGAACCATTTGAAGTTGACGTTGCAGGAAGTTTCTTGAAACGATTGAAAACGATATTACGTGGCTGGAGGATCTTTTTAAATGAATAATTGATGGACAATGCATATTGCACTCTAGAAATGATTCTATTAGAAGCGGAATTAATTGATCAGCAGAAAGATCTAGAATTTCTTCGAATATTCAGAGTTCATTCGTTGCATTTTTTCAATTCTCATAATTTTAATTGGAGAATTTAATGATTTTTCCATTTCAACTCATTTCGAAAGGAAATCCGATTATATTTTTTACTGAGGTACAATCAACACGCGGTTTGTTACATCCTGTGTCGATGCATCTCGTTTTCATATTTCAATTTCCGGCTTTACGTAAATTGATGGGAATGAACCTGATAATTCTGCGGGAATTCTAATAATCGATGGGTTGTCGAATCACGGAATTTATATTAAATAAATGATCGAATTATTGACAACGTTCCACCCCTGAAAAATCGTGAAAGAAAATCTGAAAAGATGTCTACTTTCTTAATTCTATTAAAAACACAATAATTGTCGGAAAAATTATAATTGCACAAATTTTTCAGGAAATGTTTTCCTTTGATTGAACTTTCTATTTGATTCTCATTATTTTTGTAGTTCAACTTCAAGGTGAAAAAAGTCGATGAATTTAAAGAAATGAAATCACATTTATTGAAATTTTTTATTATAACGAAGGGAAATTTTGCAGTAAAATTTTCGCAATAAATGAGAACGTGGTGAAGGTCGCGAGTTGGTTTTCCCCCATTTTCCAACGGTACATTGTTTTACTTACGAACATATGACTCCGTTATCATCGAGATTGTAATGCGTCACGTAATTGAAGTTTATCTTATCCGAGACCACCCGGAAGTAACAAGTGCTCTAATGGCACAGGCGTTACAGAGGGAAAATGAAAGGACTTGTAATAAAGGGAAAGTGAAGGTATGCGAGAGCGATGGACTCGATATGACATCCAAATAAGACCATGCCGACGTAATTCTTAGGCAAGAAATTCCGATAATCGCCCCAGGAAATAAATAAAAATCGCAGTGATAAGGGGGCGAAGGGGCGAAAAAACGTTCGAGTCGCAATAGATATTTTTTCCCCAATTTATTGAACGCGGGTATCGATAATGCGAGAGAAGGCCGACACGATTGACTGATTGGGAACTGTTACGTCTCTGATCTAATTTCAGGAGCGAAAACTATTCGTATCATTTTTTTTTTCTGGGAAAAACGAAGAAAACCGCTGGAAATTGAAATAAATTACTGGGAAGAGGAAGTCTAGGTTTTAATCGCGGTATTGTCTCAGGATCGAGGAATTCCAGGGGATGGCGAAGAGAATAAAATATAACAGATTTTCTGAGAAGACAGAACTTTGTCTCTTGACCTTTCCCCTGGAATTCTTCATTACAATAATTTATGGCTTGACATGTCAATTTACGATGTAATTTATTACTATATTTATAACCACGAAATACAATTATGGGGAATCGGAGGGATTACAAATGTATTTTATTATCATTTTATCAGGAAACAAGAAAAGTTCCATTAATAATAAATTATTAACGATTAATTTACGGATTAGAATTGAATGGGAAATTCTATTTATTTCTATGATCTACAAAGAATCGCAGAATTCTCGGTGAATAATCTAAAATTACTACAAATCCATAAAAATCTTGGAATACACGAATCTCTTTATCTATCTCGGGTTCTGAGATATAGATTGCTCAGGGACTTAACTAGGAGCTAAGCCGACTTACTTGACTGCTGGAATGTTCTTCAAAGCAATTTGTTATTCCCAACGGATTTTCCTCTTTATTTTTCCTTTTTAATTCTATACATTTCGCATTCTCTCAATTGTACGGACTCTGTAAACGATTCAATAATACAGAGATAACATTTGTTTATTTTCTAAGTACTTCTAGTTGTTGCGCAGACGAATTGATGTTCTTTTCGAAAATTATTCGCCATCAAGCTAATTTAATCTTTGACTGAATCCGCTGTTATCCTCGTGTTTCTTATTGCAGTTGGCAAAAAATTATAGAATTTTCTTCGAAAGGACTAGAAATTTTTAATAGCCCGAAGACGTCAGTATGGAAATGACTGTTTTGTGGTTTACGAAGTTATCGATAAAAAATTCATTTACCATATTATTATCCTGAAATAATGACTGAAGTAATTGACTATTCAATATTTCATTGTTTTTACCACTTTATTTTTATTATGCATTTACAATCTCCAGGGGATAATTTCGAAAGAAGGATTAATTAATTGATTTTTGGAGTGTTCTGACTGAAATTATTTAAATTTCGGGTGGAATATTCACTTGAGTCCAAAGAATTCACATTTATTTTAAGGAAGAGAATCTAGATGAAATCGGGAGTTAGTGGAATTAATAAAAGAATTTTCTTTGGACGTAAATGTTTTTTTTCCGGAGATGGCACAAACGGCCCCTGGAGTATAAATTTTTCAAGTTCCCCATAAATTCTCTGTTCGCCTCTGAAATTTCCATCATTGTTACTTTGTAATTCTCTGGAAAAATAATAATTAATTCCCATCCCTCCAACACGTGTTCCACTAGAAGTAAAAGGGAGCGAAAATAAAACGGTGATACGATTAAATTCTAAATTTAGTCATGTGTACGTAGTCTGTAGGAGGAAGAAGTACAGAAGTGAGATGAAGTACATCCGTTTGGGTGCGCCTGGGGTTTATCGTGTGTTCCGTGAATTGTTTATGCATTTTTCATATTTCTAGTGGAGGAGTGGAAAAAGGAGTGGATAAAAATCATTTATTTTTTCCAAAATTCCTACAAAACTAATGAAAATAGAAATTAATTTCCTCTTAATTACTCCAGACTTGAATTTTGACTCAATTGCACCCCCACATTCTGAATTATTGTCATTTAAATAAATTTCCATTCCACTTACATATTATATATATATAATTTTTCGAAGGACTTGGGTCGATGACTATAATTACGCATTTGTCAACAATTGCTTTTTTCTTTTTCATTAAACACAATATTAATTGATTGAAAAATTGATTGAAAAAATTCTCGAAGGTGATAAATCAGGAAAATGCGAAATTCATGTCGAGCCTGAGGACCTGAAGGACACGCGTTGGAGCTCGCGTGAAAAGATCCACGCGATTGAATTCGCCACTTGGCACGACTACGTGACTGATGTCAGGAAACGACAGACACGTGTGTTGTTACACGTCACAACGTACAACATTCAAATACCACTGGCTTCAATCGGTCAGAGGATTTTTGTCTGACATGTCCTTGAATGGGGAACAGTACGAGAACGCCTTTGTTAATTATTTCTGGCCTGCGAACGCTCCCTTCTCCGATCTCGTTCGGCTCCCCAAAAATTACAGAGAAAAGAGTCAAAGGAAAATTTGCATTTCTGAATTTCCTGACGTCTAAATGTTCTTTGTTGAGCTATCGTCGATGCCAATAAATAAGCAGTAAATACCTCCGTTGACTTTCTCCAACGCGTGCTGATAAACTGTTGAAGAACAACGAGTAAAAGACCATGAACTGTTGTTAATCAAAATATAACGAGTTTTTCCACAATAATAAAGAGATCATTATTTCACTGGGTTATCGAACTGCATTTGAGTAAGACAGCCTTCAAACTAGATCGAGCTCAGCCTCGGGTTTACTGAACTCGTTGGCACTTCACTGGGATTCCCATTATTCATTCATTCCATTTTACCACTGCAGGATACAAACAAGTAGTTCGATAAATAGGTCTTTGCAAGAGCTATTCCAGTGGTATGTAATTGCGTGAAGTGACTTTCATTTCCTTGATTATGTTTCTTTATCGGAAATCATTGTCTGAGACATTTACGTTGTGTAATTTTTTGGTAATAATTTTTTTTTTCTTTTTCAGAATCATGGGTGGAATTGAATGCTGCTCCAGCTGACAGGGTGACACCTCTACCTTTTGGCAGTGGTGGCGAAGAGTATCTTCGTTTACTTCGTGAAGCTCAGCGTGACTCCACCCAGTCATCAGCCAGACATTCCCTGGCCTCATCCAGAAGAGATACACCAAGAGACAGGTGACAGAAAAATTATTAATTTACCTGAGTTTTACCGCGGAAGTCCACGAGTAACTTAATGATGAGCACTTGAACCTGTGAGGCAGGAAAAATGGGAAAATTGGGGCAAAAAAATTATTTCGTAAATTCAAAGAAAATACTCTAGAATTTTTAATAATAAAATATTGTTTTTCATTCATTCAATTCTCATATTATCTGTGAATATTTTTTCTTTTATTGATTCATTATTATTATTATCGTTATTATTATTATTATTATTATTATTATATATCTTTAATTTTGCTTGCCTCTGAAAAGTTGGGAATCAGATGTTCGATATGTGCACAGGCATCAGTCGAACGGAGGAATTCGCGTGAATTCGAGAATAAAAGATTCGTTGGGGCTCTTTGTCGTCGTTATCGCTGAGAAAGTGACTTGTCGTTGTAACAAAGAGTCTCCGGAAATATCAATGGAATATTAAATCCTCTGCTTGTTTGGTTTCAGCCCCAAGAGTCCCCCAAACAGTCCAAACACTGAGCTGTCCACTGAGGATGATCTCACCGGGGTCTACATTAATTATGGCTGCTGCAAGGTAAGTCGAGAGAAATATCCTAATACCAATTATAATAAACATAATGAATAATATTCATACCACACTTATAATATTCATATTCGTGTCATTCATGAAAGATTTTCAAATATTTCACTGAAAAATTTAATGAACGCTAATTGATGACTTTGATTTATTTTTTTATAATTGGGATTATTACTATTACACCTAGTATTCAAGAAAATTCGAACGTAATAAATTAAATATTGAATTAAATCAGTCGAAAGTATTATTAAAGATATGATTTAATTGGGGAGGTATTCGCGTACTGAAGCTGTTCTGGAAAATGTTCATTCGAATGTATTTTTATTCATCATGAATAATTTCAATCTTCTTTATTCCCTCGAAATGATTTCTGAGTCGTCCTTGACCGACAGGCGAACGTCAACGTCGTGGCCTGATAATCGATCAGTGTATGTTCACTTGATGCAAGTACAGTCTAACATTTTCCTGAAACATGGAAAGTGTAATTGACTCACGGAATTTTCATACGCGTCAGGTTTCTCGGGTCTTTCGATCTCCTAGGGGATTTTAGAGTATGACTAAGAGTTATTTTGCGCATGGTCTTTGGCCTTGGATTATAAATTTTTGCACTTTTCCGGTGATCGATCGCTCAGTGAAACTCAAGGAAATCGTTTTCATTTATTTTTCTTCTCATTGTTTTCCCTCTCGGGTTTTGCTCTCACGCTAATGCTCATCACCACGTGCGTAAACAAGAGTAGACTATCAAGTGGATGAACAAATACAATGGTGTTGTATTTCCCAAGATATTGTGGATTTTTATGTTTTTATGAACAATTCAAGATCTGCGCTGCGGTAGTTGCGTTTAAAAAATTTCTAGAGACTTTTGAAATCTTTGAAATTTGATTTATTTAATTAGTGAATCCGGAATTTGCTTTATGGATTAGTTAATCACCCGTCAATCGATGAATTGATAAATTAATTCATATTTTACCTTCAAATCTAGAGATTAATTTTCATAAACAATTGATCTTTTCACGCGCATTTTTTTCGCTTTGCCGTCTAAAAATCAGATTGCGACGTTACATAGATTTCTCCTATCAGCTATAACTTCCCGATATTTTATGATCTTTCAAACTAGCAATACGTGTTTCGTCATTTAATTTTTCTATTTCATCACCTCTTCATATCAATATCGAGTTGATTAAAAATTTAATGAGAAGAGCGATTCACTGGGGCTTTAAGTTTTTCAAATGAAATTAATCCTGGCGTGGAGGATTTAAAGAATATTTAAAGAAAGGCAACAGTGAAGTGGGAAAGGACTGTGAAACCGGTCCTCGATCTGAAGTGGTAAAGATACATAATGAGAAGAAAAAATTCTCTGCAAGTTATGAGTCAGATATTGGCCATGTTGAGTCACAGGCAATGTTGGCGCTCGTGGCACAGATAGAAGCGTATTTTCAACCAATCGTCGTCTTCGATCCAAGCTCACGCCATCCACGAAACTCGTTTCCACCGCCAACTCAACTCGTCCATTCAATTAGAAAAACGTGTGCATCAAATGCTGTAAATAAACTGCAAGTTCCCAGGAAACTTATACTTCACGAAACTGTATTATTTGTTGAAAGACTTGACTCAGCCTCAATTATCCCATTAATTACTATTGATTTGACATTTATTCCGCGATCGCATCACCATTTCCCTTTTCATATACACGACATTACAGAAATTTCAGAAATATCGACGTAACACTAATTTTTTTGACAGTCATCCATTAATTTTTTCATTCCATCATTTAATTATTTCTCTATTTTTCATGACAATCGGGGACTGGTGAAAGGGGGCATGTCGACTCAAGTTCGGCGAGTCTTTCGAAAATATCTCGAAAACTAAAAGAGATAATTAAATTTTCGATTAAACCTTTTAGCTCGAGATAATCGAGACCTTTAAAAAAGAATATAACAAAAATTTCTTTATCTCTGTTAGTTTCAGAGATATATTCAAAACTGAATGGACAGTAGTTGATGTTTTCATCCACGAATGATCCTGGAGGTTTTCTTTATTTATTAATATTTTCCCCGTGTACACCTGGTGTTGCAGATCGAATGAACTCGCTTCACGAGTTAAATTTAAGTTGAGTGGTAATTTATGTTCATTTTAATCGAGCCGTATCAAATTTAGTATCAAAACTTTTTAGTACAGCTGTCTCGTCCACAAACGACGTACCGTTTTGGTGCCAAGTTTCGATTCCCACGCAGTGGCAATGCACCTCGATACAAAGTTACTTGACAGCGTCTTTAAAGACACCTAAAATAGCCACCACATCTAAAACCCACCATTAAAGCGAGACAATTTCCCGCTGTCATTTGATTTTCCTTTTCTTTCTACGACGCAATAAATTCTATCGACACGAGGTCACTCGCCCGGTTGCTTCCTCTGTCCCCAGGATCGATATACATTTCTAAATGACGGAGATCATTTTTTTTATTGTCCACTGGTGGATGCTCTTATTGATATCCCATCACGCTGATAAGCCATTGACACGGATGGAATTATCTCTCCCGTGAGCTGATGGATGATGAAAAAACCAAGTTCATTAATGCGCAATTGATTTTTTCGGTGATAATTAAACGGTTGGTAATGGGTATTTTATTTATATTGAAGGACGCTGGGGACTTGTTGGAGAAGGGGTCTGAGTGGACGTACGACGAGTGGAGCTCACGTCCTGATCAAATACCACCGAAGTACGTATTTTTCAATTCAGCTGTCAGTGAAGTCGAGTTTTTGAGATATATCTCTGAATGCAAGGGAGATAGAGAAATTTTCCTCTAGGTCTTTTTCAGAGAGGGTAATGAGAGCTAGGGAAAAGGTCATTACAAAAATTTCGCTCTCCCTCCTAGATTCAGAGATATTCTTCGAAAATTGAAAGATCTACTGAATTGACTTGGTGTTGTTTATTCATTGCCACGTGCGGGTTTGTTGGCAATTGAAATGATCGGTGATTAATGCTCATGTTAATTAACAGAGACTGGAAGTTCAAGCATCCCCAGGGGATGTTCAAGAGAAAAACCTACTCGATTCGAACTGCTAAAGTTGGGAAGAATGGGCTCTTCTCCAAGGAGGTTCTTTATACACTGTTTCTGTCAAATCTGCTGTCACTCCTCATCGGCACTGGATTCGGGTGAGTTGACAATTGTTAAACAGCAAAGAAGTTTCATTCTCTCGTCTTTATCTCTTCCCAACAGAATTGAAGCAGTTCTTTTTAAATGTATAGAATTATTTCAATTTTTTCATTGCAGTTTTTATTTTAATTGTTTTAGGGTTTGGCTGACTAGACGAAGTATCTTGATTTCTCGTGTTGCCATCGAGTGAGTGAACTTCATCCACCGATGAAGCCTGAAAAAGTTGAGGGAAGTAAAAGGGAGGGATTGACAGAATAATATTGGAAAGAGGGGGACGAAAGAAAGACTGAGTGCCCGCGGGGATTTAAACCCATGTTTAATCTAAGAAAAATTTAACCACAGTCTGCACATCTATTCTCAAGAAAATTCCCCCAGGACACAGAGACATGAGTACAGATCCACCTGCAGGGAATCCTGCAGGGAGTGTCACAATTGATTATTATTTTATTAAAAAGAGTGTCGTAGTCTTGGATTGATCTTCTCACCTATTCACATTTCCGTCGCTTTAATGAGATATTCGATATTTGGGGGTGATACCTGCGTCTTGATGATTTATCTTTCTGCAGATTGTGAATGAAAGTGAGAGATTCAAGGGAGATTGAAGAGAAAACTATGAACATGTCCAATTTTATACAGTTTCTAAAAACATTTCTAACTGCGATAGTTTGGTAGGTGATAGCATCATTAGTATTTATGCATAATTTTTATTCGTTGAATAAATTACGACGAGCCGATCGGCATTGATTATCAGTAATTTTCACGACTCATCCTTCTCGGTTTCTTTCGAACCCAAAAAAAAGAGAAGATACGAGTGGACGAAGTGATCGGGGCAATTGGATAAATTTTACCAGATGCATGCACTCTAATTCAATCTTAATTATCCATTAACTAGATAATTAAATTAAATTAAATCTCGCTTAAAATCTCTTAGATTCGCAGATGACCTACAAAAATCGACTGGTATTTTTTTTATTTTTTCAACGGCGTGCATTAGAATAAATTTAGGATGCATAGAAATTATTTTTGTAATGCATTCGGAGTGGTGTATTGAAATGATTTTCGATGATAAATTGTTATCAGTGCCCCCACCTGAATTTCCTTCAGTTAATCAATGCCCGCGCGGTTTATTTACGGCCAATAATGAGTGACGTTGATCGATTGCATTAAAACATTTTTATATTATCCATAATTCTTCGTTATCTTTAAAAAAAAAAAACAATTGAAGCTCGAGACACGGTTTTGTTTTGAAAGAAGTCTTCGGAAGCAAAATTGGTTTTCCACAATTTTTTCTGTTCTTTTCAATCATTCGAATTCTTCGTAATTATCGAATTAACATTTATTGGAATGTAATAGTGGTAATGCAAAGTGTACGTTTAGTTCTTCCTTTAGTATAGTAGAATTCCGTTATAGTTGCTCTCGTTATAGTCGCACCACTTCTCTATTTTTTTTTTCGCGTATCTTTCGCTACCTCCGGGCTACAATATGTAAACAATCTATTGTTTCCGGTGAAGAATTGAATTCCGGGCAAAATGAGCCAAAATATAAATTTCTTTTGTATTCAAATTTTGTACGCGACTATAATGGGAGTCTATTGTATACGGTGTTGTATGTGATGAACAAAATGAAAGAGTGGGTTAATAATTGGTATCAAATATTCGTTAATCACATTTCGCTCCAGCTGACGAGAACACTTTTTTTTTTCTGTGACGTTTCATTTGAATGTAGAAATAGTTTCGGGAGCTATATAACTTTGTGTTTTCACGGTTTGTTTGTAAGTGCATATGAAAAATGAAGCATTTTGTAAATTTATAAATATCAATTTATAGATTAAAAAAATTAGTGGTCTTTCATCATGAAAATTATTCAAATAAAATTGGATAAAGTATATTCTTTTCTGTTATTTATTCATTTCCTCTCCAAATTCCTCATTGCCTCTGAAAATTTCGAATTTTTCAATTTCAGTGAATACCTCCTCGATTCTCATGCTCTCCTGATATTTTTTTGAAAATTTCGAATTTTTCACTGAGTACCAATTTCGAAACGCAGCTGCATCGTAGTACTGCACCCCAAGAGAGGGAGGGCGCCACACGCAATGGGGGTGTCTGCCCGTCAGCCGACTCGGTAACTTTTTTGCCCCCATGTGACCCTTAACCAAGTCCAATTAAGCCTAAACCAAATCCACTAACCCTTAACCGAATCCAATTAACCCTTAACGAGAACAGTTAAAGTTCCAATTGACCCTTAACCAAATCCACTAACCCTTAACCAAGTCCAATTAAGCCTAAACCAAATCCACTAACCCTTAACCGAATCCAATTAACCCTTAACAAGAACAGTTAAAGTTTCACTTTTCTCTTTACGGGTTCATTTGAAGTTTAACTGTTCTTGTTAAGGGTTAATTGGATTCGGTTAAGGGTTAGTGGATTTGGTTTAGGCTTAATTGGACTTGGTTAAGGGTTAGTGGATTTGGTTAAGGGTTAATTGGACTTGGTTAAGGGTCACATGGGGGCACAAAAGTTACCGAGTCGGCTGACGGGCAGACACCCCCATTGCGTGTGGCGCCCTCTCTCTCTTGGGGTGCAGTACTACGATGCAGCTGGGGTCACTCGAACCCCCGGAACTGAGCCTCTACTTTAGTCAATCCTCTTTGGTCTCCACCCGCAAAATTTAAAATCTCGAGGAGTGATGGGAAACCGGTGGCCTCATCACATCAGTTAACCTCTGGAAAATCAAAACAAACCCTGAAATTGATCAGTCGTCCTCGGGAAGGACCTCCCCCCATCATGGACAGCCGGAGCAACTCCAAAGAGGACCTGGATGCCTCAATAGCTCTTTTGAATCAGGAGAATCACCAACGTAAGTCCCTTTTGAGGTTAACCACGAAGACAACCACTCCGAAGCGTATCTCCCTCCACCAGAGTGTTCTGACTCGAAAGAATCCAGAACTTCTCCAAAACTCGAGCTTCTCCAGAGACTCCCTTACCTCAGTGAAGCATGACACCTCGGAAGTCGACCTATCGGTGTCTCTGCTGCCCTCAGAGCTGGCAAAATTTTCGAAACTCTACAATCTGCCTAGCCAGGACTCCCTGGACGCCTCGACCACCTTAAATCGGAGCAACTGGTCCCTCCAGGAGATGATGGACGACAGTACCGCTACTGGAATAATCCTCAAGTCCGACAAGCCCTGGAGGAAAGCCAACTCCAAGCTCTTCCAGGAGTTCCTGGAGATCGTCCAGTCTCATGCGTCAGAGCTACAGATATTCGATACGATCGCCGACTTCATTCAGATCTGCTCAGATACTCTGGACATCATGAGGGGAATGCAGTCCAAGGTCAACGACGCTGAGCTCTCCGATGAGGAGACTAGTCTGGAAAACGAGAGGAACACCTGGAGACTCATCTACTGTCTCTACCAGAATCGTTTGGCTTCCATGAATCATCAGAACGAGATGGATACAGATGTGAACAGAAATATCTCCGAGAAGGACGTAATTACGAATCTTCTGAAGAACGAGCCCCAGGTCAGAGAATATCAACTGATAATCGATTGGCTGGAGAAAAATGCAATGGACCAGGCGGCGATGCTCCCGAAGATCGAGTACTTCACAGACAAGACAGTAGCCTGGGAGAATACCCTGCACCAGCTCCAGAATCGCCAGTCGAGTATCTCCTTTGGTTCAGCTCGTCCCCTGGTGACATCCCTGGATCCAGACGCTCCCATCCGCGAAGGGAAGCCCCTTCACGACCTGGACAAAGAGGACGACGCGAGACTGGAGAAACGAATGTTCATAGAAGTGCGATGTGGTCGTCTGCAGCGAGCCCAGGAACTGGCGATTCACTGCGGCCAACCATGGAGGGCAGCTTGCCTAATTGGCTGGCAGCCCCACCACGATCCCAACTACCAAAATCCACTGACAGACACGAAACTCCCCATCGAGGGTAACCCCAACAGATCCCTCTGGAAACTGAACGCCTGGTACCTCTCCCAGGATACGAGATTCGGTGCTTTTTATCGTGGCATCTACGCGAGTCTCTGTGGCAACTTAAAACAGCTCCTCGCAGTCTCCAGGTCCTGGCAGGACGCCCTCTGGGCTCACATGAAAACCCTCATGGACATCGAGGTCGAGTCAGAGCTCCAGGGCATCATGGCGAAGAACTACGCGAAGTTACCAGAGGAGTACTGGAAGTCCAGAAAAACTTTGGAGGACGTTTTCGATGATTTGCAGGCCTCGAATGACCCCAGCATCAGGACGGAGGCGATGAGGCCTGACCATCTCATCCAGAAATACCTTATTCTCGATCAGATACCCAAACTCATGGATGTGATCGAAGAGTGGATTGACAACACCAACTGCAATCCTCAGTTCATCCGGTTTCTGGCTCACCTGGTGCTGCTGTTCAGGCAAATTGGCAAGAGTTGTGACGATGTCGTGGGGAATAAAGTACTTCTCAATTATGTCAAGGTACTGATTGAGATCGGGGATCCCATCCTCATAGCCTTCTACACAGCCAGCCTCCCCCAGGACGAGCAGATCAGCATTTATGCTGGCTATCTCGAGGGAGTCAGGGAATTTGAGATGAGGAAAAAATGTTTGACTGCTGCTGAGGACGCAAATCTCAATGTCGAAGCCATCACCAAGCTTGTCGTCGAGAACGTGAGAAATAAAAATGTTGACGAAGGGATTGATTACGAACTGAGTGCCAGGATCACCGAGGGTGATGTCGAAAAAATCGAGGCCTTGGACTGGCTGACGTTTTACCAGAGTCAGAGGGATGAGGCCCTCTGGCAGGCCAATGCACTCATCAGGTACTTCCTCACCTGTGAGAAGATCGACGCTGCTAGGAAGGCCTTTAATAAGATCCCACCCAATTCCATTGAGGTCGTCCTGATGGAACATCCATCCATGGAGACCACTGTCTCACAAATTGTCACCACAAATGAGGTTTTGTACAAGGCTTCGGCATCCATCAGGGAATATCTCTGTTATAAGGCTTACTTGGACGCTCAGGAGGGCTTCCAGGAGTGGTTCTCACATTTTCATCAGGGCAAACCCTCACCCTTGGAGACTTTACCCTCTTTTGCTACTTTCACTGAAAAAGTCGCTCACGATCATAAAAAAGCGCAGTATGAAGCCGAGATGGACAGATGGAAGTGCACAATGCAGCACCATACTAAGGTTGAGATTACACTTTATTACTCGTTCTTTACTGATGAATATTCAAATCACAGGAGATTTTTTTCTTAATCAAAATCGGTTTTAATATTTCACTCCGAGACCTCTCGTCTTTTATAATATCTAAATTCCCTTCAAATTCTTATTATCCGTCGTACATAATATGGCGAATCAATAAAATAATAACATTGACAATTTGAGAATAAATGTAGCTCCATAAAAGCAGGAGAAAAGGCTGTTTTTTTTTTCATTGGGAATTGGCTGTTACAGAAAATCTTCTGGTATTTGAAATAAAGTAAGCAATAGATTTGAATAAAATTCAGAGAATAATCGCAAATTTCAGGCTGTGAAACAATTACTTTTCAATGTTCTCCTCTTCCCCGATGGAGGCTGGCTAGTGGACAAAAATCCAGAGAGCCTGGAGCAGCGTCCTGAGCACGCCCTTCGCCAGCATCAGCTGCGAAAACTGAGGAACCTCTGTATTCCCAAAGTTACACTTCTCCTGCTCAACGTAATGTCCCAGATGAATGAGCACGGGGGCTGCATCGAGCTCGCCGATACAATCGCCTCAGAGCAGTACAAACTCTACCAGATATTCTCTAAGGAACGTATTCGCGAGGTTTACAGAAAAATCTGTGAGTCCTCGGTTGCCCTGATGGACCAGAAGAAGGACCCCTGGGGATACCCAAGATGATGCCAATAATTCAGCGCTCCATTTCCTTCACTCAGTTGAGTTTACAAAACGATTCTTTTTTATTGTCAACCACACAAAGTGAATATAAAATTTTCATACATTTGTTAATTAATGAATAATCGTAATCATCGATAACTTGTAATAATGAGAAATAAATCATAAGAATAACAGTGGAATGAATATAACGAGTTAATCTTCATTTTGCTTTCAGAATTTTAAACACTGACCGATGCTCAAGAGACAATTCGATTTTTACCATTTTTTTAACATCGATTGATCATAAAAACTATTGACATTGCGGGAAAATTCTGCAGACGTTTTTTGTCGGAAATTTAATAATCCACAAAATACGTCATCTGATACTTCAACGTCGGACTGATAGTTCTTTAGATAAATGGGTAATTAAGAAAAATGTTAAATTCGACTTATCTAATTTTTCTACTTCACCCTGAATTACATCAATTATTTTGTAATTTCTGTTCTCAACTGAATTAGTCTAGTGTTGACAATGGCTGGTCAGCCAGGACGAAGCGATATTTCATTCGTGCACTTCTGCATCAATTAAAATTTCCCGCCACTCATTAAAATCGATCGCTAAATGCCTGAATGAATTAATGCAGTTGACAGTTATTGTACTTGATTACACATCGAGGAAATTACAGGGAATTACAATTGATAAACGATCGAGGCTGTCCTCGATTGAATCGCAGAAGGCGGACAAATGACACATGACAATAATCAACGAAATGTAATAAAGAAAAATGGATAATCCGAAAAAAAAAAAACGATGGGAGGACGAAAAATTTTTCAATCTAATTCTAATACGATATCCGAAGATGACTGCAACAGTCAAAAAGATTCTACGTTATACATATTATTGACAAAAATTCACTTCTCCATCTCTCAACATTTCAATGATATCTTGAATTATCGAAGATCGAAAAATTCTGATCAACTACATTTAAACATGTCCCACCTCGTTATCAGTACCTACGAGCAAGTAAAAAGCCTCAGGATTTAATGGGACAATCACATGAATGATCTTGCACTCGTTATCACCGTACTGGATTCATTATAAAACTCCACATGTAGAAATTCTGAACGGTACCCTAGCGATTCCAGCAACAATTTTGAACATTGAAATATTATACAGTGACCCTGACCCTCTTATTGTCTCGTTAATGAAGTCAATACGGTGACGGTGACTTTTCCTCTTTCAAATGTCAATTCTTTTTACAGTTTCTTCGATATGATATATGTATAGCAAAAGACGTTATCGCTTATTGTCTAGACGATAAATTCTGGATTTATTCTCAATTTCTCTGTTTCCTAAGAAGCTAGTGACCCTGGACAGTGCTGGGCTGCCTCGCAAGTCTTTTATTCTGTCCTCCGAATTATCGTTAATTGATATATTGAATGATATTTTTTTTCATTTTTAGACGTTTACGGTTTTATCCGGAGGTGGAGTAGTGAAAGAGGAGAAATTAATTATCATTGAATGATTATTCGGGGTATTACATTGTGATCTCAACGAACAATATGAAAAATATTGTTCATGTTGTTTGAATTTTCTTCATCTGTAAAAAAAATATTTCGACACTTGTTATTGCATTTCACCACTTCACTGCGGAATTTTCTATTTCTCTAGGTAATTCCTGTGGAATTTATATATTATTAAATATATTAAATTATTTATTTAAAAATCGGAGAGTGACTCTGGAAGCAGCCCCTTCGAGTCGTCGTCCTGGGTGTCTCATATACGAATGACATACCATTTTATTGTCAATTTCACAGAAGTAGGAGATTTATTCCGCTTACACTAAATAGATTTATATTTATATTGTATATATATATTTATTCCTTACCCAACTCAATTAACTTATATATTGAAATATGTTTTCTCCTTGCACATTAATTTGTCAGTGAGGAGTAATTTACTTTCATCGGTTTAGTACGGGAATTATTGTCCGCTGAATTTAATCTGTATTGTCGCAATTCGAAATATCATTTTTAAACATTAATTTAAAAATACTGGTGGATTAGCGCCTGCTGGATACGCTTATTGTCAAATCGTGCGGCTATTCGTAAGCTTAGGATTTTAAACATTTACAGTACCACGTATTTGAAAGTTCCAGTTAATCCGGTTGATCATCGTGGCAAATCTCACGATTTGTGCCAAAGAAGGAGCGAAAGTTTTCTGTGATTTTTCCTCTCTATTTTTTTTTTTGCAGTTATCTAGGTCGCGAGGATTGGATTGAATTTTTTTTAGTGATTAGAGATAATTTGGGGGACAACCCACTGGCAATTTTGGATGGACACTTGGATTCAAGATATTCTCCACGATTTAACGGAATTGCGGAATGAAACGTGAGAATTCTAAAATTGATAATTACGCTTATTATTCTAATTCGATTATGTATTCCTTTGATTTCTTGGTTTGATAGTTTTATCTCCGCTTTGAGTGTAGATCGAAAACATCGATGAATCGTTTGATTGAATTGCAATTTATCTCGGGGACATTCAGCTCACGGAATTTTCAAATTGTTCTTCAACTCTTCTGCTGGAATTTTTCTGTAAAAATTCTCAGGCATTATTTACCTAATCTTTTTTTCTATAAAATAGTACAAAAAAGTGGGAGGAATTTACGAGGATAAATCGGCAATTAAAAATGTGAAATCTAATTAATTATAATTTAATAACTTCGGGATTTGACTTCTCAATTGAAACTCAAGTCTTTCCCTTTTTTAGGAATAAAAAAAATAAGGAAAGAATTCGATTATCATAAAATATAGTCCCCAATAATGTGATCCAAGTGGGTGTCCAAAAATTTGTTCATAATTCCAATGGCAGAAACAACAAGAATGAATAAGTGACATGAAATCCTGCACCCAAGGCACGTTTTATACTTTCACTCTGTTGAAATAAGGTCCACACATCTAAACATTACATTATTATTGCATCAATACAGCACGCCAAACCATCTGATTCGATTCACGACAGATGCTGATGCTACGATGAATGTACCAATAAATGCTCTAAATTAATTACTCTCGATAATAATCAGACACAAATGTCAGAGAGACAGTACGTCCAAATTGATTATACATATTCATTATTGTCAAACAGACAGCATTTAACTTCGTTCCCCAATCGTATTCACTATCGATCCCCTTATCAGTATATATCTGTAATTATAAAATTATTATTAAAATCATTCTCTAATTATTTTGTGCAAAAATTTACACCATTTCACAGTGATTCCACTGTCTGACCATTCCTCATCGAAAACAAAGATAAAGAGTTATCAAATTCATTTGATTTTACAATTAATCAATTCTTTCATTAATACTTTCATTTGTTGTCACTCATTATTGAAGGAAAGATCATATTAATCAGTATTCTCTCTCCAATTCGCTCAATATTGTCGATTACCTCGAGAATAAACATTCAATCGAAAACAGTGAACACTCGATGCAGCTTTTATTGTCTGAGAGACCTCAGTCCCTCATGTATTGTCATGCTGCATCGAAAATTCCCTCATTTGTTCATGATATTGTCAATAATTTCGATTAATTTTTCCTTCACCTGCGGACGTGTATAATTCATTAATTTCACCCCACCACTCGCATCCCTCCCTTCCCCTACAGTAATGTATATATATAATATATGTATAATAATAATATGAAATATTGAATCTGATAGGTCTTAAAAATATCTCGCCAATCCTCTGTATAGCATTTCAATTTTACATGTTATGATTCTTACTCTAAGTACTTTCTTACAACCTTGAATTTTCTCGACTTTCTCTCATTATCCTTTTTTTTTTATTTCATTCGTTTGCCTTCGGTTTTGCGGCGTTAATTGTACGTGGCTGTATGTGCGATTAATTAATTGTCGGAAAATCGTGGGAACCAGTCGATTCATCTCAGGAGGACGTAGATGCTCATCAGGACTGGGAGATAATTCGCGATTTTTGCAGCGGTGCCAGCGGTACCGTGACGAGAACTGTACCCTGATTCTCGGACGTTGATCCTCCAGCCGAGATTTTTGTGCGAGTAACACTAGGTGGAAAATTAATATATCAATTAATATCAGGAGGAATTGAGGCTTTTAAATGGCGCCTAATTATCATCTCAATGATTTATTTATTTTAAATCAATTGAGACTGGAAAAATGACGGAAAAATCGGTATCATAGGCCCAGGGGATTATCCGATTAATTAATTCATTGATTGATTGATTGATCTATGACTTTTGGGGGAGAAAAGTGAATTTTTTTTTAATTCAATTTGTCCGTCAACAGGGGATTTTTTTTTTCATATATTCAACCTGCAGAGAATGTTAAAACCACCAAAACAGGAATAAAAAAATCCTCAAAATAATTCAACAGCTTCTTCTCTTCACCTGATAGTAGACAAGATCAGGCGTATCCTGGGTGACGGTCCATACAAGTTTGGCGGGTTCTCCCGAGTCGCATTCGAGTCTGAGAGTCTCGAAATAATTATCGAACGTAGGGGATTGAAGACTCATATCAATACCCTTGTGTGTCCACTCGCAATATCGTCCAGCAGCGGTGGGTTCTGGCTCACCCTCAGGACTGTACTTCACTCCAGCGAATACTTTTTCATTTCTCTGCTGGGGCTCACTTTTCTGGCCAAATCCACCCTCTGGACTGCTAGTGATATAAAATGGATGATAACGCGCTGGGTTCGCAGGATTGTTACCACCCTCGACGATGAAAGTATAAGTCTGTCCACGTTCCACTGTAATTTCAGGAATTAGAAGATCATTGATGTACCAGGCGATACCCCAGGAGGGCTGACCAGTGATCTTGGAGTATCCTCTCTTGTCACCGGTTGGACCAATTCTCGCTGTGAAATTGTTCTCGTCCATGATCATAGCTGGTGGCCATGGTATCAGATTGTCCTCTGGATCATCTGGAATATTGTACAAGGAATTGGTGCACTCGTGGACGTTCCTCGATGTGAAATCCATGCGGATGTCCTCGACGGTCTTGTCACCAGCCCAGTGAGCATTCGCCTCTCCTCGATCATTCAGAACACCGATAGCTGCTATCACACTCGTTTCACCGTTCTCTGGGATCATCCGGTCTTTTTCTGGTTCGTTTGTGCGAAGGGGACGCTTGTAAGTAACTGAGAAATAATCATTTCGTAATATCAAATAAGTCGAATAAGCGGATCGTTTTAATTGTAGCTGGGTAAATAGATATTTATGATAGGAAGATAAATAGCTATATTGATGTACCTGTTGTAATGCCATTCTTTCTTGTGCCATCTATCAAAACAGCATCATTCTTCCCTCCTACTCTCTCATCGGGGCAAACTCCTTTTCTACCATCGCACTGTGCTAAATCCGACATGTAGTAATCCTCAGCAATGAACTTCTTCTTTCTTTTGTCGTATCCAACTACCACCACATCACCACCTTCCATTTGTGCTTTTCCCTCAAGCCCAGACAGACCGAAGGCGACATACTGATCCTCCCTTATCCGTCCTGATACTCGCACCCATACGTCCTCACCCATAACTTCCCACTGCACTTGAACACGACCTTCCAATAATTCTTTGCAGTTGGTTAATTCCTGTCCACCGGGCCCTGGCATACCACCGATTGGAGGACTATTGCTTGTCTGTTATCATCATTCCCAGATTTAAATTATTATTCAATGATTATTCAATAATTATTAGGAAGAATTCAATTATACTCAGGTCAATTAAATTCAATTGAAAGCATCCTTATCTCAACTTTCGAATCCTCGATTCATACTTTTTTATCATTAATTATTCTTGTTTTTAAATTAAGGGTTTTCGATTTTTATTTATGAGCGTATTGAAGAAAAGAAAATTGTTGCTGTGTTGGAAGTTGATATAATGAAGCTATGAATTAAATTGTTTAAATATTGTTTATGATTTTCTGAACTTACGGGGTTGTACCACCATGGCGGCTATCCAGAGGAATTTAAAAATATTTAATCTCCAATTTAATTAATCCCGAACTCATTTCTCAATTAATTAAAAATATTCGTTTTTAAATAATTAATTCATCCCAATTATTGACACATTTTCGATAGAATGTCGAGTGAAAATAGAATGAAAGAAAAATATAATAAAATTGATAATAAAAAGTGGAACAATAGTTGTTGCATGAAATTATTACGATATATAATGGTAATATATAATGCCTATATTGGAAACGTGTTGGGTATGTATTATTAAATATATGTGTGGGAAATATATATATTATTTGGCGTGAGGAATTTAATGGAATGCCTATAGAGAAATATTGAGTGACTCACAGTGATTTTAGTTTGCCCCAATGCAGGTGGCACGTCCAGATCTTTTGGTATCATGACATGTCCGAAATTATGTTTGTACTGGACACACCAGACCGACAGCCAGTCAATATCAAATACAGTTGAACTGCCTGGCAGGACGATTTCAATATCCTCACCCTGGTACCCCCGTAGTTTTGTCAAACTGAAAAACATTGTATTACTCTAATTACAATTTGTCCTCTTAATATTTAATGGGAATTACCTTCCAATTTCATTTGGTACTTTGGTACCCATGATATTGGGCTCAGTGCCAGTTCCCACCCAGAAGTAGGCGTCGGGTCCTGCCCCGTCGTAATGCAAATTTGGTATGTAAAAGGTCTTGCTGTCCAGGATGCTGATGTTGCCACTTCGGAGGCCGTGGGCGAGACGGGAAAATTCGGGGAGAATTCTTGGCTTCGGGATGTCGAGATTCGGGGGTATTGCGATGTCACCAAAGTCCACCTGAAAGGAGTCCAGGATGAAAATCTCATCAGGCGGGGATGGGGATTAAGGGGTCGAAGGGTCCATCCATCATCCTCTCCTGTCCCGAGGGGATTTCCCTATTCGATAAGCGGAACATTCTGAAGAATTCAGGGCTCACTGGCCCAAAATAATCACTCTATTTTTTTAATTATGGAGATTTCCTTTTTTAATTGCTGTTAATTTGGGAATTTTTATTGGATTGCAGTGAAGATTAATGAGGCATCGTTAATGGACGCAGGCGAAAATATTGTGGAATTTGGAAGTGATTTTTCAGGTTCGGATTAATTATAGGATTAATTAATGGGAATTTATTGTTTTATTGTTATTATTTTGGTTTGGATAGGATAATTCGACTGCTGAAATCAGGAAAAATAATGAGTAATTGTAATGGAGAGAACGTAATTATCTTGAGATAGTCGATGGTGAATGAAAATCCGAATTTCCGAGTTTTTATTTTACTTTCATTGAGGATGATGGAAAAAGTTCATTTGAAAATTAACATCTCCCCGTTGTAATCTCCTCATAACGTTTGAGTTAATCCCAGACAGTCCCGGTGGATTTGCTCTCGCAATTCATGGAAAAAAATGTCTCTGAATAATGTGAGCAGTTATTTCAGAAAATCGCGAATTTACTTGATTTTATTTTAATAATCCG